AATTTTTCATTATATTTTCACACCAGTGGAATTCAATTTCATCAACAGCGACTGTGATTTTGTTGCTCGGTAAACTTCACTTTCCATAAATCCCATAAAAAAAATCTAATGGTGTTAAATCATCCGATCTTGGTGGCAATTAGTGTCTTCTCCTCGTGAAAAATTATTCGTTCGTTAAATTTGGTCAAACGTATCAAGCTCGCAAAAAAAGCGGAGAAGGACTGTTGTTTTTCATAATTAATGTCATAAAATAGACTTTGTATTAAAATAAAGTAACCCTATTTGCGTTTTATTTTAATTTGAAGATGTGGCACTCAATTTGGATAACCCTTGGCAAATTTTAGAGAGGTAACGGAATGAAATCGGGAAAAGCGTACAGGTTCGACTGGTTGTTTCTTTTCTGGCGGTTTCAGTTGTTCGCAACGAATGTATTTTTCTTCCCCCGGGGGGGTTCGGTGGTATAGGGTGTCGCACCCTCGTCAGGGTGTTCGCGGCGACAGTTTTTTCCTCGCTGATCTCGACGCGGCGGCTCGTTTTAACGGGCAGACAATGAAGAACAATGTAAAGTGGCGAGGCGAGGTTTCATTGCCTTTCTCGCAGTCGCATTGTTTGCCTCGTCAGAAACTCACAGACAGCTCGAGGGAACGTTTAATCAAGAGTATACTGCGAGCGAAGAATCCTAGTCGATCGTTTGCGTTCACCGGTCTTTGCGACAACGATCATCGTTAATGCTTAAATACGTGATATCCTGATAATTAAATCGCGCCGGCCGGTTCGTTAATAATTTCGAACGGAAACGTTTACGAAATTCTGAAAATCCTATTTCGTTCTATCAACGCTTTCAGCGAATTGAATCATCGATACTGCGCAATCGATCGTGCTTCATTCTTCTTCGCGATGCTTGATTAATTATTAATGCGTATTATTATGGACAGAATTCGTCATTGTTCCCCCGTTTCATCATGGTTTTCGTGTTCGATGATGCATCTATTATTCGTCCCCGCCCGTTCCTGTATTCTCTTCGCTCGTCGATGCAAATCAACGAATTATACATCGACTGTACAAACTGCGATTCCAATGTCCACGATGCGACGACTTCCGTTTATCCCGTTCCGCATAAACAATTCCCTGAACCTGCCTTTCATTACTCAACCCTATGACTAAAGCGATCATTCATACACCGAGAGATGATCCGTGAAACAATTACTATCGTTGACACGGCGCTCCGAGCAATTGAGCTAATGAATCAACGCGTGGAACGAGTTAAAACGTGAAAAGGGTTAAAAGATACGTAAAACGATGCCCTTCGTCGATGAACGCTGAACCAAGTCGACGATAAGGCTTCCTAATCGGCAAGCGATTACAATGACGGATCGCGGACACGGTCTCGATTACAAATTTCCTGCAAATCAAGGCAGCAGCCTTCATTCACGGAAGTTGCAACCACGATATCAACTGGCATTCGCGAACCATTTACGATTTAAACGATCCTTTCGCTCGCGAACACGTGCGCTTCAGGTGAGTCAACGTAACGGAACAACGTGTACACGAATTTTACAGTTACATCCAGCTACGTTAAATTTCTTAGCCACATCGTTGGCACGATGCACGCAGAAATCTACGTGGCTCCGAAGAAATTATGGTCTGTGCGTTTGATTATTTCGTTGATATTCGACAGACGGCACAAGAGGCGCTATAAATCGTTGCTCGAAGAGTCATTCGATAAGCGGAAGTCGCGATGAATCGACCTTCCCCGTTAGACGCCGCTTATAATTATGCTCGACCACTTAATGAACGTCGCGTCGCGTCTCGTCTCGTCTGCTCGTGGCAAGGGTTGCCACTGATGGAAATCGTTTTAGCTCGTTTATAATAAATATAGAACCATCCTATCCGAGAATCGCTGTCCTTAAGAATTTCTAATGGATCTGCCTGTAACGTTCAGTAAAACGTTGGAAAGTTTACGCTGTTGGTTCAACGATAAGTACAAATTGCAAATAATTAACGACGTCCAGGTAAGATAAACGAAAGTTAAGTAGAAAATCAAATAGCAAAATCCTGTCTGCTCGTTGGTACGCGTGCAAACGTAAGAAAGATCGCGTGGAAGCATAAACGAAACGATGGCTTAACCGGCAGGGAGGGGCAAGAAAAATATTTTCACGGTACGAAGGAAGAACGGAAATGACGATGAATCAAGCTTCCTCGTTGGAGAATGGCAATGCAAGCGAGTACACACCTCGTCGGTTCGAAGAACCACTTGACCGTGTCAACGTCTTCGAGGAGGATGGATTAATCATCGATTAGAATCGATCAAGTTGGCTTTGAATGTGGTCGGAAAGCTTGTCGCGTCTCAATGAAACACAGACACTCGACTACCCACGAACTTTCACTCTCTATTTTTTCCCTCCGATGGCGAAGAAAATTCGTATCTACACCTCTATTAATTGGCCCTGCGCCCGCGACAGTATCGATACGCATAGTTTTGTAACTTATCAACCGTGGCTAGCTAATTAGCCTAGATTAAAGCCGATGTATAATGAACTAATGCAACGAGGATGTTTATGCGACCTCCACTGCGCACGGATGTGGCTCATTAATTTACGATATGTTTGCAATTAAAATATTAATCACCGCGGAGAAAAACTATGTAATCTTGGGCGTGCCTCGACCTAGCCAAGCCTCGTGTCCATATCAGACATATTTTTTATCGAAACGAAACACGCACCTTCTGTTTCTGTTTATTACATAGCTTCAAATTCATCGTAGAATCTAGTTATACTGCCTGCTTTCCATTTCCGATTGTTTACAAATTCTCCGATCAAGTTGGAGAACCGTACGCTCGTTAATTCTTTTGTATCCACCAAGCAAATGTAAACAGCGTGGAAAGACAGAAGGAAAATTGAGCCGTTGGAAAATCGGGAACAAGGATATCGTGTGCGAAACGAAATCGATCGCGATGCTGCTTCTAGCTGGAATTGCGTGGTATAGAAATGATTGCATAAAAGACACGCGGGAAGATGACGTTTCGCGAACGAAAGTTCGAATCTTTAGCAGCTACTCTCAAGGACTCTCGGCGAGTACCTTCACGGTTCTGCGAGCGTTCTAAGGACGCGAAAAGTAATGAACGCACAACGCTAGATCGCGCGGCGCAACGAATAATTAAGACGTCGTTGCACTTTTTCTCCTTCGTTCGTCGTAGCAGCCGTTCTCGTTTCAGCGTCGCTTAGCAAACGAAACACGGAAAATCGTTTTACTAGGAAAGCAGGCTAGATTCTTGAAGGGAACTCGACGATGATTCGTTAGCGCGCATTGTTCCACAGGTTACGGAGCAACTCCGCAACTCTTGGAAACGCGTAACCATCGCTGAGTCAACCAGTTTTCTCGCGTATGTGCACCGACTCGACAATCAGCTTCGGAGAGTTTGTTTTTCTTCCGAATTAAACTATCTGCAAAATTGTTGCGTCGTTCTGTCGCCGAATAGAAGACAATAGAAATTTTCTAAATTTATATCGACTCCTCGGGAACGTTCCTCCGTAAAATTTCCGTAAAATTTCCGAATTTCCTACGGGATATCTCACTTCTGAACTGAAGCTATAACCTTCCCGGAAGAAAGGACGCGGATCGATGCTTCGTATAAACGCGAACGCGATTGCAGTTAGATACCTTCGAATCGGAGCGATGCATGCATTCTACGCGCACAGTACAGAAGGGTATATTATTTTTTTTTAGACGCATCGCACCCTGATAAACGATTAAACCAGATTCCCATAAATTGTCGATACGGTCGCGTGTATTACCTATTTACGGGTATGGTCTCCTCGTAAATCTTCATCGATTCGACGATCACCCTCTCCGTGTCCCCTAACCGCGATGAAGATAAATTTCTCAACTGGTCCTTCTGCTCTCTATATAATTTTCTACGTTCCTTCCTCTCGCGACAATTATTCATTCCGATAAACCGAGCTCAGATAACCAGTTGGCTTTATTACTTTTTGTCGGGAGAAAAAAATTGGACGATAACAGGGGTTCGCATTAATGTAGTCGTTAATGGATCGCATTCGCTCGAAACCTTTCGCCATGGTAGAGTTTCCCCGAAAAGCGATCATAGTTCTAAGGGTCACTAACTTACGCTAAACTATGACGTTCTATTCGGTAACACCGTCTCTAGTTTACTTTGAATATTCAAGTTATAACTTTGGAGCGTACGAAATTAAGTTTACCTAGAAGTTGTAGCAAATTCGAAGTAAGAATGTACAAGTTACATACCGAAAATACATCTTGACAATGATTTTTAGTATTGTCAACACAAATAAAGTATTAATTTTAAAATACGTATCTTGTTTTGCTTGTCTGTCACAATTATGAATAAACAAATGAAAGAAATTATGTATACGGTATATTTTGTACGATGAAGAAATATGAGTGACGTTGGTGCCCGTAGGTCGTTTTGTAGAGGACGACTATAGTCGGCGCTGGTAGGGTTAAGCGGGGTTTGCATTGTTTGGCTACTCCAAAACCTCTACCACGCGCGATTAACGATGCGCATATATCGTACCCCATGCAGAGTCCCCCATTCGTTTTCATTTTCGAATAAATGTTTTATAATAAAGGTAAACTCGAACGAGTTTCTATGTTTCAATTCGATTTCTTTTGTCGTTTGTTAAAAACCACACGTAAGCTCTTAGTATATGTACGTGCACCTGCATAGGATACAAGACAGTCAACCGGAACTGATGCGTGAATCGTCACAAGATCGGATTAATCATTACATACAATTTACATTGTCAATGAGAATTAGTCATTATTAGTGCACGCGACATACCGCCTGAGAAAAAATTTTAATTATTGTCTAGCACCGAACGCGTCGAGCGTTTCAAAGAAACAATGCATTTAAAGGTTAATAACCTCGCGATCAAGAAACGTCGAATACACGTAATTATCAGATCAGCTGTCTTGTTTGTTAATGTAACCGCTTGGAAAAAGAGAAAGAAAAAGTGACTTACCGTGGCTCTCGGTGTACACGTCAGGTAGGATTGCGAGCAGCACCAAAATCAGCACCAATTTGCACTGCACCGTCACACCACCGACGATCCATCGTGGATTCGAGCACCGGATATCACTTGGCATGTTTTTCGGGCAGTGGATCGCAGTGCACTAGTCTCACGCGAACGTCATGACAACCGCTTATCACGTTTTTACCTTCCGTCTTTTATCCGCTTTCGTGACGCGCACACCACCCCGTACTGACCACCCTACCAGACTGCTCCGCCGGTCTGGACTGTTGCGACACCTCTGATGGAACCTCTACCCCCTCCATCCACGCGTATCGAGCTCTACCGAACGGCGCACGAACGTAGCCGAACTCTACCGAGCTCGTAGCGCGCCGGAACGAGCCGCGTTTAAACTACGAATTATTCATCCGTTTCGTGTTCTACGTCCCGCCTTTTATTCAATCTTTTTCTCGTTTTTCTTTTTTATTCTTCGATAGCCACTGTTGTATCTCCGTTGTTTTCTTTCTCCTTGACCTTTGGAAATACAAATAATCTATCAGCTGCTATCAATTGATGATAGTATACAATAATACGATTGAAACAAGAATAATTAAGAAATCATTAAGAAAGAAGAATGAAATTATTGACATTTTTTAATACAACAAACAAGTTTTATTTGTTATTTGATTCGAAATTTGTAGAAAGATAGTTCGAACGTTGATTGAATTCGAGGAGAAAAACGTTTCGTGGTTTGACTCGTTTACGAATATCGATCAAACAGCATGCGGAACTTCGGCACGATCGGTCGACGATAACTTGAAATATATCAAAAGCCCTTGTTAATTGCCTTTGAATTCCAACCATGGAAGACTTACGAAAGGAATTGATCAAAAAAATAGTAAATGGTTGCAGGCAGTACAACGTGCACACAACTAAAGACTTTGCTTCTTTTTTGGTAAGTTTTTTCGGGAAATATATTCAAGATAACCTACGTAATTGTTAATTACTGATAACTTTATCGTATAGTTTACTTTATATCAATTGAATCCTGAGTACGAAATCAAAAAGGACGACGACGAACGCAACACTGTAATTGTCGAGACGATAGTGGAAAAAATACACAACCAAGACAGAGCAAGTTTAACGATATTAAAGAATCAATTGTACTTTTCCAAACATTATCATGAAAAAGGTCAGAATTAATTTTAAATATTCCATTTATCGTACAACGTCGCTATCGTTAATGTCTGACATTTTAGAGGAAACTATTAAACGGCACAGACTACGTTTACACCAAAAAACGGGGCCTATGGTAGCGGAAATCTGCGAAACTGATAAAATCTCCGACAATCAAGAAGCTGAAAAGTTGTATCAGAAGATGTTAGTGGTTATCACTGTACTGAGTGGTCTTGGAAATCCTACCGTACCAAGTGTACTTCGGTAAAAGAAAAAAAACCACAATATTTCTGTCTTTCTTATGGCAATATACTGATTTATTCTTTCCTTCAGAGAAGTCTCGGTAGCGTTACAAAGCGTTTTCCAACCTTCGGAATTAGAACAATATGTGAAAATGTCTAAGCGAGAGAAGGAGGAACATTTGATGGAACTGATGTGCATAGTCGCAGGGATACGTTTGTTTAACAGAGATTGTCAACGTGGCGGAGAAGGCATAGACGATTGTGGGTCCCTTATCAACCTTATGAATGAATACCATTGAAAAGAAACGAATCGCTAACGAAGGATGCCTTTTAGTGCCAGCCATTCTACAAGAAGCTGTTAAAAAGACTCACGAGTCCATTATCGAATTTCTGGAACATTTAATGTCGAAGATTTACAAGTTCACCGCAGCCGTGGAGAAGTCTGTCGTAATGAAAGCGATAATACCGTTCGGAATCTTTACGAAGAAAAATGTAAACTGGGTGAAGGAAATGTTGACTGCCTGTCGGCAACAAGAGATTTATGTCAGGTTGTTCCGGCTGAAACTTTGCTAACGATAATTTACCGTCGTCAATTTTATAAACTTGAATCGTTATTCTATCTGTCGTAGAAAATTATTGAGCGACGTGGAGCACAGCGACAAACAGATCCACGACATTATGGAAAAACTTCAGGGAAGACTGTTCAAGCTTCACGACACCGTGAGATATAGAACCGCCATACCCACTGTTCAAGTCTACGTAAGAACTCGATAATTTTTCCTTTTCTTCTACCGAGTTTTCCTTTTGTAATCGTAAAATCTTGTCGACGATCCGTTTAGCCGCAATTCATCGATCTAGCCGACATATGGATGGGATTGCAGGACGAGGTGATCGTATTGAGTAGCTTCAACAATTTCCTTTGGGAATTGCAAAGTCTCGGCATAAAGGTAATTGTTAAACGTAATTATCATACGATTCGATCAACAATTTCAAGATCTCACGTATCATAGACGGTGAGTGTCTTCAATGAAACGATACTGGACGATATGCTGGGCTCCGAGGAAATTCTCACGGATGCTGAGAGATTGGAACGAACTATGGGCAATATAATAAGTAAACAATAGAAATTACAAATTATTAACATTTTAAGATTCGTAGGAAAATTACAGATTTAATTAGGATTCTTCTTTATCAGCGGAATGCGGTGACTGTACCCTTTATTATCCGAACGAAACGAAGGATTTTGATAACATAAATCTGGAGGTAAGATAAGATGGATACAGTTAGAATCGAGCATCGTGCCGAAGGTTCCAGGTAAACGCGACATTCCTAGGTTAACGAATGTCCCATCAGTTCTTAGGATTTTGCGCGTGGACGTTCGTAGACGGCCAAGGAGCTCTGATACCGGGAAACCCGAATAACGGAGTTGCCAAATGGAAAGGAAGATATTATGTGTTCTGTTCGAAGAATGCGGCCGAAAATTTTGGAAAAGATCCTGACAAGTATAATCATCAAATATATAAGATGAAACATTATCAACATTATTGATTAAAAAAATCTTCTCTAACAGTTGCATTTACGATGCCCTCGATTTCATACGTAATAATTTGGAGTACGTGTACCTGTTCCAAGTATACAAGGATATTCAAAATCTAAAAACACACGAGATGTAAGTATAATTACATTTTTTTTTTCTTAATATCCTGTTAAAATAACCGTACGATTGATAAGACCATCGGCAGAAGGGCCTCAATTAAAAACCATCCAGCATCAAATGGTCCAAACGGACGTTCATATACTTCCACCCCTTATCGATAAGGACTATAGCTCAAATGTTTGGGAATTCAGAAGAAGAGCTTTGCATTTGGTAAGTACTGTTAAATTAATGAGAATAAACAGAGGTTTTATGGTTTTTCTCCTAGGCAACCATAAGACACTATGCAACGCATAGCACGCAAACGGATAAGTCAAACTTCCGATACGGTGTTTACGTACAAGCTGCTCCGCCCCGGGACAAACAGATTCAAACGAGAAGAGATAATTATATGAATACAAAGAAACTGTTGACTTACATATTTGGTCTACGGGGAAGATACGATGACAATCAACATGTATTATCCTTCTTGGAAGAGGAGTTGGAACACTTATAGGTGTACGGCTTCATGGATGCGAATGAACAAAATGGATAGGATGTATCGAGGATTATCGACGCATGAAAACAGCTACAACGAGCACCCTTTAAAAAAAAAAAGAAAGCAATATTTTTTAATGACATTTTCAAATACATTTATGGAATATCAGGACAATTCGCATTTTTTTGTTTTGTTCTTTGTTTAAAAAAGAAATTAATATTATTTTACTTTATCATTCCGTGCACACAATTCTTGTTATCCGCGTTGTAATGTTTCCCTTAGTCTTATCGTGGAACGTCGTCAATTTCATTTTCTTGGTGGCTTTTACTGATTTAGGCCAGCATTCGTATTAATTTATATTCAAAATACACAAATTCATTCCATACATCGAGGTATGGATATATCCGGTGTAGAAGTAACTTCCTTACCTCGCACCACGAACCTAACTTATTCTCTACTCTTCAACATTGCGCAGTGCTGAACATACTGTGACTTTTTTTTTGTTTGTTTAATATGCATACATCGTACCTTCGCTGAAATACATTATTCACGTCATTTTTTACCATTAAATCTTAAAAGTTAGGTCAATTTTTTTTACACCAAGAAACCTATATTACGACAATAATTAGTAATTACACGATAATACAATTAAATTTCACTTAGTCATAATTTCAGTGTATAATGTAACTATTATACAGAAGAGGTACAGGATGTTGATTTTTCTTTTGTATCATCTTTCTCTTTATTTTTACCGTACTTTATTTATTTTTTTCTCTCTTTTTTTTAAAATTAATTTTACCTCATATTCTCTCTCTCCTTTTTGTTAACAAAATGAATTTTGCCCTATTACATCCATTGGTGAAAAATAACAGACATCAAAAGAGGATGAAAATATTGTGTGATACTTGAGTGGCAGCTTATAATTTAAAATAAAAAAAATGAAATCTAGTAGAGCTCCATTAATATTTTTTCCAATCGTTGAAAGCATTTAAATTAATGTCACATAATAAAATAAACAGTAAAAAATAAAAAAAGGTCACTTTTAAAATGATTTCAAAGACCTCTTTACGTTGCTTTGACTTTCCTGCCACAACGGCACACTGTATTTTCATACCTGGTAAAATGGGGGTTTGCTGCTGTTTAGAAGAACCATCAGGCAAACCATTGAACCTTAATCCTGAATACATTGACTTAAAACCAGCTTATTGACTATCGGCCATTTTAATTGTTTGCCACATTTCGAACTCGTCCGAACGTCCATGGTACCAGCCCTTTCTTTCTAATTTGTCCCAACGTCGCGTCGATCGAATCTAACATGTTGGTTTGCTACTGTTTTGTGGGTCCAGTCGTCAGCGTACACAGTTTGGACAGCCTTTTAACAATGTTAACGAGCCACGCTTTTCATAATGCCCATAAATTAAAGTACTACACTGCGAACATTTAGCGAAACAAAGCAGCTACCATGGACAACAGAGTACATCGGAATGGTGTAAACATGGCTAACGTCTTAAGTCGCAAGAAATATGTTTGTGTTTTTATGTCTATGTATTTATGTATGTATCGTGTGGAAAGATGGAGAGATGCACTTCGCATCCTTGGAATATGTTATACAATGTTTATAACTTGTCAGAGATCATGATTCATACATGACTTAATCTACAAAATGATTTTTTAGGTACTTCATCATACCGAAAGTTCTGAAACGTTTTACTCCAATTACTTTCATTAATTCATCGTCGCAAATTGCGAACTGTTTGTTCTTCGGATCCTGAAAACAAGCACGGTATACGGTTAGTACAGTTAAGGGGGTATAAGAGAGAAAGTAAAGTATCTAATGGCGAATCATGAAATCCAATACTTACATAAAGATTCCTCTCTTTGATGATACTCCAAACCTTCTTTACAACTTCGTGTCGGGCCATTTGTTCGGCACCAACGACAGCAGCAAGCTCTGGAGACAATGTAATGGCTCGAGTATAGCCACCTTTACCTTTACCACCACCGCCACCGCCACCGCCACCTTTCTTTGCTGCACCACTTTGTGCTTTCTTATTTTTACCCCAATCTTCGTCGCTGTCGCTATCGCTACCCTTCTTCTTCCCTTTCTTTCCAGGTTTACCTGCTAAACAAAAACATGTAAATACGGAGGGAATAAAACGGTATATATGAATTCGTTACAAAAAATCTAAATAAATAAATACTCTTCTTTGGGGTAGCTTTTGGTTTCTTTGGACTGTATTCTTCGTCGCTAGCATCATCGTCGCTTGCACTTTCTTCGTCATCGGAAGATGCTTTTTTACGTTTATTTACTGCTTTCTTTACAGGACCTCTTTTGGCCGGTTTCTTTTCTTCTTCTTCCTCCTCTTCTTCGGATCCCTCTTCCTCTTCTTCTTCACCATCCTCGGATTCTTCGCTGGCAGTCTTCTTCTTCTTCTTCTTAGCTCCATCTTGCTTTTCTTGTAAGCACTCCATGACTAAACTGTCCACTTCTTTTTTCCTGTATGCATCATACACATTTCAATTATCGCAGAATTTTCATCGGATATCAGAGAAAAATAGAAATTTATTTATAACGAGAATGTCGAAAGAGGAACGAGGTAGTCACCTAAAAGAACCAGTACCACACAGAGTATCTTTCTTTTTTATCTAGGACAAAGGTAAACTAACTCTGAAGTCATTTGAACTAAAGAGTGCCTGTTATTGCCCAAACTTTATTTAGTTTAGAATATTATATAATAATAAATTTCCTATTACATTTATTAATGAATCAAAATAGAATACATATAAATCTTTGCGAGCTTTGTTAAATGTTTTTAATCCTGTCTTACCTCTCGGTAAGATCTATGTCCAATTTTCCTTCAATTTGTAGCCTTATTTTCTTAGCAGACATAGTTGTAAGGTCTGCATCCTTAAGGATAGCTGAAAAGAATAAATAATCTGTCAATTGTACAGTTTATTTTAATAATATTATACCTGATCAAAGATACACGATATAATTAATAATCGTTTTGTAATTAAATCCATAAATTATTTCCAAAATGTAAAAGTTCAAAATATTACATAAAACGGATAAAATGTAGGGTAATGTAGGGTAATGTAGTTTCCCGCGCCAGGAGGCTAGTAAATATTGAACGTAAATGGCCGCCGTTATATCGTGCCGGTTGCTGATTGTCTGTATTACAAAGAAAAGAATTTCTGAAAGTAAAACTGGCAGTGAAAATTTATGAAGTTAATTGTGCTTCTAAAACTGCTTGCTTTACATTGGCCGATCGATCGCCGAGCTCGTTGAACTGTGGAACAGCGGAAAATCGGTAAACGTTCAACCGTATATAAACGACAAAGATTCGAGGTGATTGGGAACGTGGTGCGTATTCCTGAAAAAAATATTCTCGAAGCAAAAAAATGGATCAAGGACGAAAATTCAATGTCAAGAGAAATAATAATCGTCTATCGCAGGGCATTACGATTATCTGAGACGGCGGGAAATAGCATAAACTAACGTACATTCATAGCAACGAGGTACGCATCGTGCCTACGATCGCGCATTGGAATAATATTTGAGGAACAATGCTATCACTTGGAGCGATAAAATAAAAATTATTGAAACAGAATTCGTTGAAATATCCTGGAAAATGAGAGCACGGTCCATATTAAGATCGCTTTTAACGGAGTAAAAGACGCCGAAAACAAGAGAAAGAGTGAGATACGGAGCATGCGATGGCTTCAGGCGCGCGCCACCACAGCTTAGACGCGTCATACAGCATACTATAGGAGAAGGACAGGGAAAGCATCCATTTCTAGAAAACCAAGGAGAAATGAAAATTTTATCAAGGCATCGAAAAATTTTGTAAAAAATCTATGAATGGATCGGGTTAGGATTAGATTAGGTCATACAATATATCGCTAAGGCTGTACGTAGATGAAAATACGATGCATCACGGTTGTAATGGCCGGCGTGGGGCACGCCACTTCGTCGCATACGTGCGCGCTAAAGTCGTCACGTCGCAAGAGTAAAGAGCCCGATTTCCTACGTATTCCCACTCACGAACGTACGAATAATTAACAGCACGAATAATTGGAACTTTAATTTTATGATATACGTAGGTCAGAATTCGGTAAATCGAAGGATATCGCCACTTACCGGTGATCTCTTTACGTAGCTCTTCGTTTGAAATATCAGCCATCGTGATACTTCTCGCTGTGCGAACTGCTGCTAACTGAACCTACGCCGGCTGCGGCGGACTCCCGTAGCGTTCGTTGATACAGTCAATGTGGAAAGTGAATCCAAATACGATAGGTTTAGGAAAGTTCAAAAACGGATAACTCATGATGGGTGCGTTAAAAATGAATACTCTATACACCAAATTGTATTAGTTTTTTACGGGCTACAAGTTTCTCATGACGCCCCACTCGTAATTTTGCAATCGAAAGACCTTATTCTAAGGTTCCGCCAGCATGCTCATGTAAACGTTTCAGTTGACACTGTACTTCAAGCGACCGCTCGTGGCGGCCGGTGGCGTCTACGGTACAGTCGGCTCGTACACATAGTGTTGTTTCTTCCAAAGAATATATTTTCAAAAATCCATAACATTGTTATCCGTCACTTTAGAGGGATATTGTATACACCAAATCGGGTCAATTTTTTTTTCTCTACAAGTTTCTCATGAAGCCCCTTGGCCAATATTGTGATTTAACCGATCGAAATATGATTTTTCATAACCGTTCAGGCAATTTTATCGAATCGGACTGTACAAACCGACCACTCCGAGATTCGTAGCGTCGAGCATATAGTCGCATCATATGACAATCAGTATACATTCTACAGATATGCTAAAAAAACGACTAGTTTATTGAATAACGGTTGGAATTTGAGTTACGTTATGCACCGAACAGTCCAACACGAATATGGTTATCGTTAGAGCTAAGCATTTATTTGGCCATGTATCTTTATATCATCTGTATCATGAACTTCATTATTTTTATATATAACAATTTCTAGCATTCTGTTTATGAAACCAGAAATTTTGCGGGTCAATAACATGCAAATACAGGAGATTCCATATTTGCTTGCAATATAAATCAAGTTTATATAACAAATATGCATCTATCATATCTAAAAATTGATACATTCACGTGTAATTGCATCCAATCAGTGCGATATTTTAATAGGCCGCGACTGTCGAAGCGGCCACTTGGTTTCTTCCTCGCGTTAGTGGTACAGTAACAATGGACACGTTTGGAAGGATGTTCCCGATAAATGATGTTTGAAAATTCATAACTTTTTAACGGTAGCTCCGAGGAAAATGCTGTACATACAAAATCGTATCAGTTTTTTACAAGGAAAATGTTTCTCAGGAAGCGCCTTTGTCGATTTTACCATGTTACGCCTCTAGCTGGCATACTCGACGACTTCGCCTTGAATAATTTCAATACTGACTGTACCCAATCTGTTAGGTTAGTTGCAGGGCAAATTTCTCAATAAAATCCTATATAAATTTGTTTTGAAAAGTTTACCAAAATACATTGATATTTTTTTAAAGACGATCTACGTGTTTACATTCTTTTATTTCAGCCTGAATAATATATTTACTGATGACACGTCGAAACATAGTGCCGCCACGGGTGTTTGAACGCGTTAAGATGGCGGTTCCATTTTTAGCGGATTCTATAGTGCGTTATCGATTATTATTCAAAATATTTAGTAGAAACAAATGATTTGTTCCCCGTAGGTGTCGCTATGATCAATTTGTCTAAATGTTACATAGAAAAACTGATTTTTTGAACACGAATTAATAACATTACAACGTTTTACTAAAAATATATTGTTTTCCCTCCCAATTTTCGGTCACTTCCGGTGTAACAACATTATTATATTTACAATGAAGAACTACTTACTCTTTTTTGCTGTTAAAGTACCTTAAATATTTGAGAATGCATTATAAACATGATATTTTCTGGTCTAATCGTCAGTTTGTTATATCCTTTTTATGTATAGTGCATAGGTTATAGTTACAAACTCGTCTTGGAAATATTGATATTTTCCGACAGCAATTGTGTTTGTCTTGCCATCTATCCGATGCAGTACGCACTTCTTTACTAAGAACAGTGACTACAGATGCAAAAGACTGGACATGACTTTGTTTTCGAGGGGTCACGATTTTGGTGGTTCCAGATACCCCCAGGTGAAATAGATCTCCATGTACTATTAAAGCGTTTAATCAACTGTGAGGATATTTTTCCTATTTATTTGAAAAAATAGGATCATTTAGCGACCTCGAAAATGCCCAAAAGTTCCTTGTTTCGCCAAAAAACTAAATGTTTCGTGTTTCATTAGTTTCACAGGGTGCTCTAACAGGCAGTGACTACGGATACAAGAAAACTGGACATACTTTTGTTCACGAAGGATCATGATTTTGAGGTCCCAGACACCCCCAGGCACAGTTAGGTCTGCATGTACAGAACATATAGTCGGTATGACTATCATGCCTGTTTTACCTCACATAGATTACTGAAAAGACACAATTTTGACTCCTTCAAACTCTATTTTTTATTTATTATTATGTTAATATACTAGGATATAGCAGATGGTGCTCGTCCTCAAGGGACAAACTCAAAACCCTTTGTTGGAGTCTTGTTGGATTTGTAGTCACTGTAACCAGCAAACACTAGCGCTCTCTATCAGGAGTCGCTGAAACTAGTGGACAGCTTATCGACTGCAAGGGGATAGAAGTTTATGATTTTATCCTCCTGCAGCCGATAAGTTGTCAAGCAGTTTCCGCGGTCTCCCGATAGCTCGCGCTAGTGGAAACCGATCGGTAAGTTATTGAGTAGTTTGCGCCATTTTTGTATAGATGGCGCTGTGACTGAAGATAAGAGCTCCATCTCCTACCTTTTCGATGTCCGAAGCCAAACTGACGCGCTCCAACAATAAACAGCTAATATGTAGTCAAATTTAACTAAATCAAGCTTACTACCGACCATGACTTAATAAATTAGTCGATAATAAATCAAAGGGATGATGAGCCAAGGATTATAAGAAGGATAAAAGCAGAAATTTCATCTTCCTCATGAACTTATGTAATATGCTAAGGAAATCAATAAAGTAAATTAAATAAACTCTGGACTGCGGGTGTCTGGGACCCCTAAAATCATGATCTTTCAAGAACAAAAGCATGTCCAGTATTTTTGTATTTGTAGTCGCCGCTTTTGGCACAGGTCAGGGGAGAGCTTATGACATCGTCATTTTCTGTAGGAAAATGCGGTACAAAAATGAAAAGTACATAGCGCCATCTATTTAAATCGTTCAAATTCTTCGTGCATGTTCCTTTGTAACCTCTAAACTATACACGACAGTGTTTTACGTCGGAAAAAATTACGTGTACCGTAAAAACGTAGTTTAGTTGGAATCCCATTGCTGTCACGTTCACGCGTTTAATTACTATTATCGTGCGTGAATAACAAACATTAGAGATACGATTCAACTTCTAACGGGTAGAAGAAAACACGATTGACAGAAGATCGAAGAACGAAAACTTGCAAGTCCTACCTGTTGTCACAATATTCGAGCACAATAACAAAATCTTTTTCATAATTTTATGAAACAATTTAATTCATTGTGTAATCTGTAACTGGCGAAGATATTAATCGACTGCATTTAACATTAAATTTTTACGCAGCAATAGGATCATCCAAAGGGATAAAGTTCAATACATGGATCCAGCAAAATTTTGAAAGCTCTTCTATATATATTTGTTACATAGATAATCTCCCTGTGAACTGTATTTATCGATTATGTGCAAATAGAAATTCACAGTATTTGGCACATTCCAGTTTCAATCATTTTTGCTGATAAGAATCATTCCTATTAGGTTATTTACGTGAGATAAGAGTAATCAAGGATGTGATTATAAAACCTTGTTGATTCTGAAGGTAAGCTTATAAATTATCCAGTATTATTTCTCTTGGGAATATAAAAACGTATAGTATGTTACTTGCAATTATACAGAAACCTCGTAAATTATTAACTTTATTCTTTAGGTTCAGGTATCACACAAACTAAATTCAATTGCACTGTACTGCAAAGACTGCTGTTGTTTTGCATAAGGATTAAGTGTCAACTTTGAAAGACTAAACTACAAAAGAAAACTCTTTAAAATGAATAGCTCTATGCGCGAGAAATTTCTTACCTTTGCTGATGTTATAATTAGGGTACCACCTCTATTTATCATAGATGAGTTACTTAAAATGGGGCTTGGAATGCCGAATGATAACGTTGTGCTGGATAGCACAGAGAGTGGTTTTAAAATATCAAAAGTTTCAGACAGTGTTGTTGACTCAGTGACACCTAATTCATTAATGATAGATCCATTTGATTTTGATCATCTTGTCTATAAAATATATTTCATAATTGTATTGAAGAGTCTATGCTGCTGCTTAGGTAAGATATTTAGATTATAAACACTATAATAGATAAGTTTAAAATATTTTGTTTTCTAAATTTAGGTAGTAAACATTGTTCAAATATTGTGCATTTTATTTTTCTGTGTAAAAATTGTTTTGTAATCTTGTTATTATAGTAGATAAAATCTAGCACTTAAACATAAGGATATAGTAGTATTTAGAGTAAATAAATTTGAAAGAATACAGGCTAGCAGTAGTAGAATGGTGTCTTTATATTCAGAGTAGCGTGATTAATTTCTGTAGGTCATTGTATATGTAAAGAGGAGCAGACCTTTCATTATACAATTGTCAAAGTATTCATGAAATGTCAGTCAAATTATACACAGCAAACATGTGACTGATTTCTCTTTTTTTGTACAGTTTTAAAATGACTATTAATAATAAAATGAATATTGGTATTTGACAGACAAATATTTTTTCAGGATGTGTTGCTGCAATATGCACATTTATGTTATGGACAAAACATCTAATAATTGTATACCTATATTTAATATCAGTAGGAGCAGTATTTATATCCTATTGGTCAAATGTTAGTACAATGAAAGCTATTATAGCATACGTGAACGCACATGAATCAACAACTAGCATACTTGATGACATTTTATGTCTTAATTTAAAATACGTTTTAAACGAAGGACCCGGCCTGTTGATCGTTCAAAACTATATATTGCAATGCTTATTAGCTAGTATTTTTTGTTACATTCATCTTGCACCAAGGCATCCAATTCAACAGAAACTTCTTGTACTAAGTTTTATGGCACCGTCAATTTTGGGTCTTTGCCCTCTTCCGGTAAGTTCGATTTAATATATTTGTTTCAATTTAAAACAATTATATTCTTAAAGAAAATTACATGCACGAACGCACGCATCATTTTAATTTTTATTTATATTAAAAACTGGATGTATCGTACAGTTAGCATTTCTTATATTTATGTATTTGAACGTACCGTAACGAATGTAATCTTTTCATTTCCAGACGCAAGTTTTGTACAATGCACCCGTGTTTGCCGCACTTCTACCCTTGGCAGTATGCAAATTTGTTATTTGGTACAACGGAATCTCCATACTAAAAACAATGTACATAGGTTACCAACACGCGCGTAATTTTGTAAGTAACTATGGATTGTCAGCGCTCGTCGAGACAGAGTGGATCCGATTGAACGTACCGTGCGTGTTACGCACGTTCTGGATTCTACGCGTGGGCGGACAAGTGGTCCAAATTCTTAGCAATCATTACGACGAAGAGGATTTCACTTATACCTTAATGATTAAAACTCTGTTGGTGAATGGCTGTGAAACTCTGACAGCGGTCTTAGGAATGACCAGTATAATATCGTTTATCTGCCATTACATCGGTTGCTTCTTTCAATGGGTACTGTTGACAGTGGACGAGGACGAGAAAAGCATCGGCACCCTATCCGCTACTTTGTTTTACGTTCTGGCTCTTCAGACTGGGCTGACCAGCTTGGACCGAGAGAAACGTTTGGTCAGACTGTGCCGTAACTTTTGTTTATTACTGATGGCGGTTCTACACTTTGTACACAACATCGTGAATCCTCTGTTAATGTCACTGAGTGCCTCTCACAATCCGGCTCTTCATCGGCATATTCGTGCCCTGGCGGTATGCGTGTTTCTAATACTGCTACCAGTGTCGTTGCTGGCATTCCTTTGGTCGCACTACACCGTGTGCACGTGGCTATTGGCAGTGTCGGTATTCGGTATCGAGGTGATCGTAAAAGTGTTAGTCTCCCTCGCCATCTACTCTCTCTTCCTCATCGACGCTTATCGCAGCGTGTTCTGGGAGCAGCTGGACGATTGTGTCTACATTATACGATCGTTTGGTAACACGGTCGAGTTCACTTTCGGGATCATCCTGTTCATAAATGGCTTCTGGATTTTAGTGTTCGAATCCGGTGGAGCGATTCGCGCGATCATGATATGCATTCATGCTTATTTTAACATTTGGTGCGAAGCAAAGGCTGGGTGGAGCGTGTTCATGAAGCGTCGTACAGCTGTTAACAAGATCAATTCTTTACCGGAAGCTAAAGTGGAGGAACTTCGAAAATTGGACGACGTCTGCGCTATCTGTTACCAAGAGATGGAGAGTGCCAAGATCACGCATTGCAATCATTACTTTCATAGTGTTTGCCTAAGGAAGTGGTTGTACGTGCAAGATCGTTGCCCGCTTTGTCACGATGTGCTGTACAAAGTGGAGAACGGCCGTCGAGCCAGGGACACGGCGGAAGATCAAAGATAACGTCTTCCAATTAGTGAATGAAGACAGGTGAAAAGACGCATAGTTTTATTGTGATATATACACACGCATATATATATCATACAGAGAAACTGTTGCGAATTCAAAACTTGCATAGTTAAGGAATCGATCTGTGGAAATCTTGCCCGAGAAAGTTTCGTTTCTCGTAAAAAGTCGCTCAAATTTCGGTACTCGGGGTAACGATTGTAACATTTCAAGCGCGACCAAGTCGACGTTGTTGCCCGAACGAGAAATTTGATCGCATGGAAAAAAAAAAAGCTGTAAACCGATAAGTTTCACGAGTAATCGTTTTGTTACCACTTATTGCATATACATTTAGCTAATGGAACTCCTTTAATCTTACGATACCAGAAGCTGCGACTTTTAATGACAGTCGTAAATCGCTCGCACCTAATGTAACTTGTCTTTACATTTCTACAAACGTTTAACGCAATACCGAAGCTTCCTTGTGCACGCGTATTGGGCTTCAATCTTCCATTTTTTCTAACGCTAACTTTATGTAATCCTGGTTAGATGAAATCGCGAACAAAGCTCGTACGATTTTTTCCATTAGAAATAAACGTACTTTGAAATACGATCGAACGAATTATCGCGTATATTTCTCAGCGCGTGAATTAGTTTACTTTAAGCCCTCGAAAGACTGCAACAGAAAATACATGCGTTTCTATTTCTCTGACATAAATTGTAGTCTTTATTTATGGTTTCATACGAGAAAATTTTTTTAATTGATTGTCGAATTAATTTAACACGTTCACTGATTGAATTATAGTGCGCTATAGTAATTGTCCTTAGCTAATGATATTCTTAACACTTTCTCTTCACAAATGCTTAAACTAATTTTAGTAAATTTTAAAATCTTCTCTTTCTTTCTTCACTTGTTTAATTACTTAATTGAATTATAGCCCATGTGACAGTGGACGTGTTAAGTTAATTACAAGATAATGAGGTGGTATCACGAGATTCACGTTTTTTCTTGAATTCGATTGAAGAAAGCAACGCACGATTCGAAGAATTTTCTAGTACCGTATTAGTCGCAGAGTGTTGCTGTGGTACAAAAATTTCGGATGCAATGAACAGTAGACGGTGCGATTTTGTATATCGAGTTTTTGCCGGTCTGAAAGCAGTCTAACATTTTCCAGATCAACGAGACTATATCCGTCTGTTTTGGATTTCAATCACTTTCTCTGTCGTTCCGAAATCGAATCCACAAGCCTTTGTGATAGTAGTTGATAGAGAAAATAGTAAAGTTTCCTAATTTATTGCAACAAAGCATTATTTACTTACACGATTTAAATATCAACCGTATAATAATGTTTCGTTTGTAAGGTCAGATCTTGTCCAATAAATGTTATATTTTTAATACGTTCTTGTTCTTTCGAGTATCCTGTCCTTGGCCCCGACGTATATACTTACATACAAGTGACCAAAAAATTTTACAATCACAAGTTTCGCTCGGAACACGGTGACGAAGAAAATTTGTCGCCGTTTACCTTGCAGATTAATCGCTGCGCCTTTGCATAATTAGAGCAATTCCACCGTGGGTGATGTAACTGGGTGAAGGACACGTTATCGTATATAGTTACCAACCACGTGTTCGGTTCTAGGTTTACCAGGAATTCATTTCAAATCAACAAACTTGGCCATCAAAGAATCAACAATTTAATTAAATAATTTTTTAATTACTTAAGTCCATCCATTTAGTCGAAATACCTCTATGCCTAGAACAAAGACGTAGAAGGTATTTCAGTTATAAATATTCGATTCATACATTCATCCTGTTGACGATAAAACACACTTTCACCCAGAAAGATGATTTCCAAAAAAAAAAATAAAAAATCGAACGAGATAAGTCCGCATGGAGAAAGCAGGACGTAAAAGCTATGGAGAATTTTCGTTCGTATCTCATTTTCGATAACAACTCCTGATCAACTATTCGCGCCAGATATACATATATACTTTCCTAGTCATTTCCCTTCCCCTCTCTCTCTGTTCTATACTCTTTCACATAGCAGTTGCAGACCGCTGTGTTTGATCTCCGAAAGTCCCCAGTTTCGTTTCAGTCTACTGCGCACCGTTGCAGAGTGAGGGTGTAGTTCGTTCTCCACCGAGATTTTTCCCGACACGATTCGAAGCTTGACAGCAACAGGTAAGTACTAGATTTTTACCATTAAACATTTACTTCCACGTTTACGAGCTACATATTCTTTTTTATTTTCATTAAAATTTTCATTGGTGTTGATCACGAATCGATTCGTGTACCACTGTTTTTCAAATAAATCAAAGGCAAAGCCTCGCCGTGGAATAATAAACTAGAAAACGAAGCTACATGAAATTCGTAATCGTATTCGTTACGTTGGAAGTCGAGCGAACCGTTCGATCGTCGTTAATTAACTTACGATACCTGGGTATAGATAAGACTGCTAATGACGCAAAACATCGCCGCGTTTTTACGACGTATTGCTGGAACGGAACAAAGGAGGTCAGAAAAGTTAGCAGAAGGAGCGTGTGACATGAAAAAGAAAAAAAAGATGGATCATCGATGTTCGCAGTAACAGTGAAATTTTTGAAATAGAAATCTAAAAAAAGAGAAGGTAGGAGGAAGGGGCGTTACGACTGGTCCGAGTCTTTGAAGTCTTAAAACTGCATCGAACAAACACGAGCTTATTTTTATGCAGCGTAAAACGCAACATTTGATTCGCGTCGGTTTGGTTCGCTCGGCTGGGAATTGTGGGAACCGTGGTAAAAGTAAAAGTAAAGGAACAACGAGCCGGGTGTTTCGCAACTCGGAAATTCGTACGACGTTTGCTCTGATGTAACTAGTATTACAAATCGTTGCTCGTTCAATGGCCCATGTTATGTATTATTCCAGGAACAAAACAAACGTGTACACTCGTGACTGCGGCAATGCATTTTCTTGAAATTTCCTTTGGCCCAGAGCCGCAGGAAGTCGACGATAACAAAAGGCATCGAGGCAAGAATCGTGTCGTCGCTTCTTCCGGGTTTCTTGCAGTTGTTATTATAATAAAATCTTGTTCCTCGCGTTTCTTCGACGACCGCACGGTCTCTCACGGCCTGTAATCAGTCGGCGGATCTGCAACGAGCTAATTAGGGATGAACGATGGAGGAGAAGCTGTTCTTTGACTGGTTTCTAAACCGTTTCGTACCGGAGAAGCCTGGTTTCGTTGGTAAACGATAACCGATCGTGTCTCGTGCATGCTCGCACGTTTCTCCTCGCTAATTTCTTTCCCTCGAGTTTCACTTAATTAGCTTCAATTGCTTCGAATGAGCTTCCTTGCTGTTAGCCGACTCGTTGACAAAGGTTCATCGAAGAACGCAAGAAGGATTTTCATTTAAAGCTGTTTAAGCAAGAGCGTAGATTATGTTGTGCCAAACGGTTCGAGAAATTCTCAGAACCAGTCCCGAGATCTATTTAGCGTTTCCGGGACGCGGGTGAGTAGGGGAGGATCAGCATGCCAGAATAAATTTGCGTTGACGTTGGGTAAACGAACAGCGAGAAAGATCTATGGCCGAGAAAATTGTACCAATGTCGACGGAAATCGTTTCAAGGCGCGAAGGAGGACGAAATTCGTCTGAATCACTCAACGCGCGTCTAATGATCGCATGATTCAACGTGGTGTAACGATTGCGCTTCGTTCGCGAAATTCGTCTCGACGACTTAATGTTTTCTAATGCGACGTAACGATTACATCACGGTAAACACACGCGGTAGATGCATTACACGCGCTAAGTGTCGTGCGAATGACTTCCGCGATGCGTGTTGCGGCCTACCGCAAAGAAAAACACCTTCAACGCTATCCAGAGGTGCTGTACCTACGCACTCGTCAACGGTGAAACTGCATTTGCTCGCACCCTCTACCGTTTCCGGGATTACGATATTATTTCTCCAAGTAACTTAAAACAGCAGACAAATCTTTTCTATACTTAAACTGTATTTCCATTTCGCGGTCCCGTTATTCGTTATTCCGTGAAATACGATTAACGTAAGCGTTGTGGCGGCTCGTAGCTAAAATTATTGGGGGTGTTGCTCCAGAAAATTTGTAGCCTTTGTTTTAAAAAACCGGCACTGAGGGAGCGACAGTGCTCTCTCTCCCGCGCAGCTTTGCGCGCAGCTTCCAATGTGCGCATGCGCACGCAGTCAAGCCCCATGCCGCTAGAACTGTGAAGCATACAAAGATTTTTGTATCTTTTTCATAAACTGGGGGATGGCTACTGACATTAAGCTTAAGAATTATTATATTGTACAAGTATAAAGAAAGAATTAATGAAAAAGGGACTCGTTATATTAAATGTTATCGATAATATCAAGTGGGAATAGGGTATGCTACAGTGCCTATACGCGAGCCGCGACTGATTGTGGACGAGGCCTAACGCGGCCAGAAGAAAGGCGAACGAGAACGCGAAGCAATTACTTTGCTTCCCCTTCGTTTAAATCGTTCAGGCAGTTTCGTTATTACCTTTTTTGCGGGCGTTAAAGTCGGTCGTCTTGTCGGACTCGTATAGTCAGACTAGCGTTTCCCATGGTCACTGGACGACCGGCAAAACCGATCGATCGTCGATCTAATTCTAATTCTTGTGGCAGATTTCACGGTAGTCGATTAAATATCAAAGGGAAATTGTTCCTTCGAGATGGTGAGCATTTGGTTCGGTGGTTCAAGCTTATATTTCCCCGCGCCGAAGAGCAAAGTTCCTCTTTCGAGCGTCTGTGGCGTCAGATGGATGGAACATGCCGATCTACCGATCCTCGAACAACTGATGTGCTCGGAGACGTACAACCTCTTCAACGAGCCGAACCTTGGACAAATCTAGTAGTACCTTTCGATACCTTTCGATTTTCTCAGATAAGATTCGAAGGAACGTTTCGGTTTACAGCGAGGCGAGTTGCTTGTCTGTCGTCCAGTACAACGCGAATCGTGACATAGTATCAGGCATATGCCTTTGCAATTATCCTAACGTGCTGTCAGTGATCCCGAAAGATTGGCCATGTTGGCTAAACACGTTGTACAGGTAACTAGTCAACCTTTCATTTAGATAGGTATTAATTATATCCGTCGAAGACTGGCACGAACGTTTTTGCTCGAGTTTATGTCGCGTAAAAATCTGTCAGCGGTCGAGATAAGGAAAGGTGAATGCACGCTTATTATCGCTTGTTTTATATTACAAATAGCCAATTACTAGCGAATAGAGATTCGCCTTTTGAAAGAGGCCGTATGTTGGGAGCAATTACAAGGCCATTACTGTCGTTCGTTTATAAAAGGTTGGAAAACGTGACGGAAAGGAACGCGATGTTCGTGCACTTCCTTGCGTGGGACAAACGCTACATCGGCCATTTCTTCGAGGCCCTTCTGACCGGAGTGTTCGACATCGCCTTCTATCTACAGCACGTGATCCTCGTGGTTCCTCCTCGGGTTATCCTAGGTGACCCCTCGAATCGATCGTTCGGCCGATGACGCGACGTTCACGGGTCACCGGTGTAATTTTCTAGCGGACGTGTTCGAACGGCAGATGATCAGGATCTCACCCAAGTGCTTGAAGGACACGTACACGGTGCAATCTCTCTACGTGACCGTACGTCATCTGAAAGATGCTCAGCTAAGGATTCGACGCGTCGTGTGAGGCTAACGAACCATCAACTATCATCTAATGTAATCTAAATCCGTTTAACTACGATATGTATGTACACGCGATAGGGAGGAAGACAACGACGAAGTGATACCGATCATCGATGCCGACTCGAAGCTTCTGAAAGAATGTTACGGCGAATATTACGTCAGCGAGATGGTACGTCATCCCAATAATCGACGTCGATTGATCGTCTCCGAGAACCACGAGGGCTTAGCCACTGGAGTGATGTTTCTGAACAGCACCATAAACGTCGATCTTCTCGACGATCATTTCGAGTTGAATCCTTACAACGGTCTCAGAAAGTTTCACGAAGACGATCTGATCCTGGCGGGCAACGTGGAACCGGCCAGTGAAATTTTCTCCTCCCTATTCTCGAGGAAAGCTAGCGAAGACGCAGAAGAGTTAGAATGCGTTCGATGTTTCTCGTTGAATCTTTGAACTTAACAAATATTGTATATATGTACTATTGATAGGTTGGCGAGAAAACCGTCTTCGGACCGAGAGAGCTGTGAGAGCACCACCTCTTTGAGTTCCAGCGATCGTCAGGTATTGAAGCCAATGTTAACCAGAAAATCAATGGACTTTTCTGAAATCACCTTCAGTGAATTACCATCGCTCACCGATTATTTCAACACTCATTACTATTCGAAAATGTTGACCACCGCGTTCATTGACGGGATGTTTGATGTTCCACGTGAGTTAAACTTGATTTGGAAAATTCAGCCAAGGCTTGACGCTAAGTTTCTTCGATCAACGAAGGGAAAACCACCACTTCGTCGCTCGAAGACGATGAAAGCTTGATGTCAAAGGATGTGAAGCTTCCTGTACGAGCAATCTATCATGGCGAAGTGAACGCGTTCGTTTTGGAAATTTTTGCGACGCAGGAACATATAAGCGATCGTTGGTCGCAAAATTTTCTCCAAGCCGCTTTCGAATGTTTCCCTGATCTCGACTACTGCACGATCCTTCTACCGTTCTCGCATCCTTATCTACCGTTTCTCGAACACTTCGTGGTACGTTGAATTTTATATCATCACTCGAATTATTATAATCTAAAACGCTCTAAACGTTTTCTAAATGATTTAGCGTGTCCCATTGAGGTGTTACAAGGACTACCCGATGACTCTGTTTTTGACTCATCGCGCGGCTCTTCTTGGACAAATAAAGTGTCGCAGAGCTGTACCTTCCGACAGGGACAAGCTGCAGATTCTTTTACAGAGGATTTTTAAACCAGACAAAATTTTGATCGATTTTGACGCGGCTACGAGCAAGGAACGATCGGACTTACGCTGTTACGTTTTTCTATGGAACGATATAGTTATTGGTGCGACGATCCTATGGTGAGAAATGGAAGAATCTTGTTAAGAGAAATTACGAGCTGGGAGCACTTTTTTCGCTGAATTTCCTGCGAAAAGCGTTGGTCCATGGTTCGCGTTAATCTGTAATGTGCTAAGAGTAAAATGGTACGATGTATCTGACGATCAGTGCCGAGAAGGACACCACGTATATCCGAAGACGTTTCCACGTGGAAGATTACATCGCGATACAGAACATACCATACGATTCTTACGGTCGCATCCTGCACTTTGTTCTGATGCCAATCTTCGCCATTCATCTACCGAGTTTCTTCCGCGAAATCATGCGTCTCACCGACGCCATCGTTTTGTACTATCGGCTAACGGACAGCATGTTAAGCGCGCTGGTACAAACTTTTATTCCTTCTACCTTTCGAAATCGACCATATAACCGGAAAGGGTTGATCCAACCTTTTTAGAATTATGTACATACCTGCACGATTTTAGACTCGTTCGCAACCGTTGGCCATTTGTTTGAACGCCATGGTCCCTGTGTGTCCGCGACGAAGGATCGACTACAAATTTCATGGTTACGTGGAAAGGGACGAGCCGAAGACAGAAATGGAACGATTTTCGTTGTTCATGACCACTCAGCGTCTTACTGGGGTCGTCAATGCCATCATCGATGCGAGGATCGTCGTGGTGGGCGCTTCGGATTGCGGCATCGCGTTTCTGGAACAACTCGCCTTCGGGTAAATCTGAAAGAAAAACATAGATTAGTCATAGACTGTCGATTTTCGAATGAATTGTTTGTTATCAGAGCCAGTCAAAATTACACGCGATTCGCCAGTCTGACGCTGATATCCACCAACGGTCTGCCTTTCGAAAACGAACGAAGCAGTGTAATCGAACGTATGATTCCGTTCAGTGGTCGATTCTGTCGAGAATATCGCCGCGAGGTTCCAACGCGAACATTCGTTAACGTGGTGTACGGCACTGTGCTGTCGATTGACAGGTAAATTCTCCTTTCTGATCGTTACGCACCCGCGGTGACTAGTACCAAAGTCTATAGCTAATCGTGATGATTAAGTAGAGAAAGTTAAGACAAATGCACCCTCGTGTACACTTACATTTACATAATCAACAGGAAACAGAAATACGTGACAGTAATGAGCCAAGGAAACGTCTCCTACGACTATTTGGTCCTGACTTCCGGGCTGCAGTATTACAGGCCTCAATTTCAGCAAGAAGTGCAGGCGCAACAGAGAGGGTATAAATCGACAGAACGAAAGTTAAACGAAAGATCTGTAAATAGAAAAATTCTATTTCGACCAGGGAATTAGTGGAGTACGAAACTCCTTGGAATTGTTTGACGATCAACGACGACACGGAAGCAAGCAATTGTCTAGAGAAGATTCAGTTGATTACAAACAACTTTGAAGACGAAAGTCAGTTCTCACAGGATATAATCCTGAACGAAGATTAAGAATCAAAACCACGCTACTTGTTTCTAGAGAGTATCGTCTTTTACGGACACAGCCTGGACTGCTACTGCGCTCTTCAGGGACTGCTCGAGGCCGGAGTGAAGGCTTCTTGGATCACAATAATACGACCTCCGTTACAACACTGCGAAACTGGTGAAACCATCTTTTTCAACGATTGCGAAGTGAGAATCACAGGGATATCCACGGTGATCTTCCGCGATAAATGAAACGAGGCAATGATATGTTGAAGGTATACACGGAAACGATGAACTCGATTTCAAGAAGCGGTGTTACAATGCTCGTAGGGTGGAAATTGATCGACTGGTGCCTGAAGAATTCCGGAGAAGAACAAATGATAGAAACGATCATTGTCCAATTGAAGGGAAGAACGAAAATGATCAATTGCGACGCTTTCGTGAATTTCAGCGAGAAGACGATGAACATGAAGATATTTCTGGGTATATCGGTTTCTTCGAGTACACCCTGCTGATCTATGATAGAAATGCGTACGTTTCAGCGATTTGCAGAGCTGGACTGGTGTTCGATGGTCAGCTGGTCATAGATCCGGAGTTCAAGACGAACGATCCATCGATCTTTGCCGCTGGGACCATGACCAAGTACCGTAGAAAATACTACGCGGAATCCTGGCAACACAAGTATTACAACAGCATCGAAGTCGGCGATAGAGTTAGTATCTCGAATCCTTTCCAAAAGCTTAGGAATATTAAACGCGAGATACTTTTCTCAAGCTGGCGTCCGTTCTTCGATCGCTTATCGACAACCATCAACGCAACAACGTGGAACCCACTGACACGTTAAAAAACAAGAAATATTTAATCCTACCCATGTTTCGTGCACCTCATATCGTGGCCTGCATTTTACCTGGTGGTTATCGTTACCTTCACATTCGCAAGCCTGGAAAAATGCTTCTGCGTAGCATCGCGATTCGTTTCGACTTTTACGTGAGTCCCCGTTACGACGATATTTCTGGCATTCGAGCGATGAAAAAAAGTATTCTCCTCGATTTAGGGCAAAGTGCTGACGACAGGCTCTTGCACGTCGGAAATCGGCTACTTCCGGATACGATTGAACCGTTACGACTCGGTGGAGACCATCACCTGTTTCAGCAAAAAGGTACACTTCATCGTGTCCACGTTTCCTCGATTTTTTATATACATAAAAGAATTTCTCGTTTCACTTAGGATTTCGAAGTGTACCATATGATCGCGTTGTACGGGAAACACGAAACGATGTTGAACGAGTTGAAAACGCGATACCAAGTAAGCCTCTTCCCGTTAACTTTCCGTTAAATTCTTACCTTTGCTAAATGTACAAAATGCGCAAATTGATCGTGTCAGAACTCGCTGATCTCCGATTTGTACGCGTACTTCCGGGAGCCCTGGGCGATGGCGATATTCTACGATCGATTCGAGTGTCTGCGAGTGGAGAACCGTGCTACCTTGTTGTCGAAAACGGTAAAGAAAAAAAGTGATTCAATTTTTGCAGCAAATCTGACGTATTTTTCAAAACAGGCGATCCCTGCTCAGTCATTGAACGACGATTGCATACGAGCTCTGATAAGATCAAAATGGAACGCGGTGAGTGATGATGAAACTAGGAATTCTTTTACATATTTAGAATTCATTGAACACCATCGAATCTGTAGATATCAGACAGCGATCGTCGTTCCATCGAAGCGAAATACGCGGGTTCTGTCTATCAGCAAGAGCTTGAAGAAAGTCTGGTGGACTTTCTACAATTCTCTGAAGAGGATATTCCCGTGTATTGCACCCCGAGAAAGTTACATCAATTATATGCAAATATTAAGAACAGTCCTCTGTACAATGATATTTAAACAAGTTATATCGGTGTCCATCACGAGAATATAATAAATGATCGCGAAACGAGCCGAGTTGTTTCTTGCATTTATGAGAACAAATATCCGATTGATAGTCGTCCTCGATCGACACGTCCGTGTCTACATACTTGGCATGCGATCCCGTCTGTAGGTCAAGTTTAATAGTCCATAGCGACGTTGCTCCATAAAGGTAGCTCAAGGCGCTGCCAATGTGCCACCCACGCATACCGCAATAACAACGAAAACACGTTATACAAATGTCACGGCTGCGACTGTAGCTATTAAACGAGGAAATATTTCATCTGATAATCTCTGTTAGACAAGAATCAACGTTTACTTTATTAATTTTACGTCCTTCCTTTTTCAAAGAAATTAGGTACTCCTAGCGCTAAAACTATAGCGATAACTAGTATAGATGAATCATGCGTTAATCATTACGCGTAGAACCGAGAGATACGACATCGAGGTCTTCAGAATGCTCATAAAACCCTCCAGATTGACGACGAAGAACTTTCCAGCCATTAGATGAACCGGTTTCTGAGCATTTAGGATCACGATCACAATATCCTTGGCCACGTTTGTTGGAAGTTTGTACCAGCTGCAATTGTACGAAGAATATCCGATTTCATCCATTTGACACTTCAAGTAATTACCCACGTAACTGTACCCGAACAGTTGTATCATCAAAGTGCTCAGTATAATGAACGTTTTTATCACCATCACAACATTTCCATCGTGCAGCGCGAGAATAAACTGAAATCCTAGGAAAACAACGGGCAGTTAATTAAGGATGTAATTGTATTTTTATCGCGTTGATTGATACGTTATAATTTAGCTGAATTAATACTTATATTTCATAGCTATGTGACCGAATGAAATTCGCAATGGCAGTCAATGAAGACCAATATAGCGATGAATGAATTATTAATTATTATAATAACGTGTCAATCAACGTGTCAACGGGAAATTAAAGATTTATAAATGCTCACCGCACGTACAAATAAGTATACAACTGGATAACAGTTGCATAGCCAAAACCAAACTAATTGTATCGTTCAGCATCACGCTTAATTTCAATAAATAATCGTGCCTGTTGATTAACAAGTGTAAATTTTCTGCACCTCTACCATTATCGTCGATCGCTCTGCTAAACTTTATTTTCAGTATCTCCACTTGACCGCACAGGTGAAAAACGATACCGAAGAAAAATGCATCGCTGCCTATCGACGATGTTCAAAATTCAAGACAATCTTTCAGCTTTTCAAATCATTACCAAGCTCATTACGAGTCATTACCAAGGTTTCCCATACTGGTGACCACCAACATCAAGAATTCCATAAAGAAAACGATCAGTTGTAGACTCTCTGGAAACTTTACCAACTCTATAACGTGTGCCGAAGGCATAGGGTATGACACTGTATCTTTCACGGTCACGTTGCTCTCCTCTTCGTTACTTAGCAATACAGGCAAAATGGCAAAGATAGCTGCACAGAAATTTGCGGAAAATACCATACTGATAAGCGTTGCTTTTGCCATGTACGCGTGTCGTCGCATGATCGTTCGTTTCTCATTGTCGTTGTCGTCGTCGTTGTCGAGCTCGTTGTAATCTTTCGCAGCCGAAGAAAAATTGATGATCAATCTCGAAGAGTAAATACGGAAACACGTCACCTTCGACATTGCTAAAATACCGCATCCGGACATCATTAAAGCATCCAGATTCGCTTCGGCATCGCTTCCATCCAGATACATTTCAGTGTTCAGGATCACTACCATTAATAACTGCGGAATTATAATAAAGTTTTGAGTAACAAGTTGTCGAATTATAGAGCGTCAGTTGTCCATACCAAAATGCCGACCACGAAAAGGTAACGTATAAAGGCGAACGAATTGTAAACTTGAAGAGGCCAAATGCCCATAGACCAGGAGAGAATCTTGAACGGTCTCATCGCGTAAGCGAAGTCTTTGTTCTTCGATGTCCGCATTTTTACTGAATGCTCGAACAGGTCGAGAAACAGTCTGTTGATCTTATCGCTATCTTTCTGTCATAGCATCGTGCTTTTCGACTCATATTTTATTGAACCGTAATTGCTTAACTATATGTCATCGAGCACCCTTACGGTTCTACGTCAGCTGCGAAGTTGTAAAGAAAATTCTAGGGAGGACGGTTCAATTGCGAATTTGTAAAATTATTGCTACATTTTGTAAAATACAAAGTTTCTCGAAGTAGTTCAGTCTGGCGAGTGTCGTTTCTGCAGAATACGAAAGAAAGGGTTCCACAGTGTTTTCCAGGATGCGTTCAATTGTAGCTGTACTATGTAAAGAATATTCCTACTATTTCTTTAGTAAGTAGATATTTCAGATCACGAGCAAATACATCCTGCGTTACGTAGTATATTATAAAGATAACGCGATGCCTTATCGATTAGACATCGTAGGAACCTAGTCAAATATCTTCTGGCTTCATCAATCGAATGACTCAAAAGAGGAAGCACGCCATTATTATAACTAACTATTTTGGCAACAAACTCATCGGAGGGATTCTCGTTAAGCCCGTACGTCGTATCAAAATTAATCATCTTCCCATGTCTATGCATCGATTTACATTTTGACTTACATTTGATTTACATTATTGCGCGGGTAAAACTGATCGTAAAAAATTGATTTGCTATAGGTAATCAATCGCGTTCGAACCTCCTGCAGACACGTTTATCCATTAATTTTTTTTTTCGATCGGCTACTTGCAAAAATCTATGGAACTTGTTATCGTTAATAACTATTGTTATTGCAATTAACCAATAACAACGGTAAACTTCCTTACGGCAGCAAACAAATACTGCTCGTTCCACTGAAAAGTGTGAAATAAAATAATTTTTAACAAAAAATACAACCGACTTCAAAATGCGCTAAAAAGTATAAAATAATTTATATTTCGTTTATACAACTGAGTAACAGTTATTAATGGAACCTCTTACTACATTAACAAAATTCGCTAAAAGGTACAAAATAACTTCTGTTTCATTTATACCAATACTCCACAGCTATTAATGAAACCAAGTAAACAATCGTTTACCTGAAATTATCAAATAGATCACTTGGTGACCCGCAAGTCATAGGCTACCGACGCCTGAACTGGGATCTTCCTAGTAGAAGAAATGTTTTTAATTTTGCGCCGCCCCTGAAAAGGTAGAATTTAGTATAATATTTAACGAATAAATAGGTTTCTTTAATAGCTGCGAAGTATTGGTATAAATGAAATAGAAGTTATTTTATACCTTTTAGGGCATTTTGTTAATGTAGCAAGAGGTTCCATTAATAATTGTTACGCAATTGTATAAATGAAATATAAATTATTTTATACTTTTTAGAGCATTTTGAAGTTGGTTGTATTTTTTGTTTAAAATTATTTTATTGTTTCTCTTTTCCATTGATCCAGCGTCGAACAAATATTTCTGGTCTCGCGTGATCGACCTTTGAAATGTATCCAAAAGCGCGAAGACCCTGGTACTGGGTCAATATCATGCTATTCTTGTTGCCGCACTCGAGGAGGCGAATTTTGCAATCGCCGTTTGCAAACGAATTCACTATAATGCATCGCAAATGCAAAACAGCATTGCGCGTGTTTACTTAACGCCTGCTTTATTATACTGCTATTATAATTTTCAAGCCTCCGTGACGACTTAAGATCGTTTTGTAGATTAGAAAAGCCACGATTCGCGGTTATACTTTATTACGTTTACATAGCTGCTCCTTAAATCACTACATTACCGCACTTACTTCTTTTAATTGAATTGCCTCGAGCACCCAAAGCACATGCTCGACAACTAAGACAGAAGAATTATGTGTTTATCATTACGCGGAGTACCGACAAATATGACATCGAAGTCTTCAGAATGCTCATAAAACCCTCCAGATTGACGACGAAGAACTTTCCAGCCATTAGATGAACCGGTTTCTGAGCTTTTAGGATCACGATTACAATAACCATGGCCACGTTTGTTGGAAGGTTGTACCAGCTGCAATTGTACGAAGAGTATCCTATATCATCCATTTGGCATTTCAAGTAATTACCCAAGTAACTGTACGCGAACAGTTGTATCATCAAAGTGCTCAGTATGATGAACGTTTTTATCACCATCACAACATTTCCATCGTGCAGCGCGAGAATGAACTGAAATCCTAGGAAAACAATAGGGAGTTAATTAAGGATGTAACAGTGGCGGCACGCGTATAGGCACTGTGGAGCTGCAGCACCCCCTATTTCTACTTGATATTATCGATAATATTTAATATGAGTCCTGTTTTCTTTAATTCTTTCTTTATACTTGTACAATATTGTATAATCCTTAAGCTTAATGTCAGTAGCCATCCCCCAATTTATGAAAAAGATACAAAAATCTTTGTACCGTGCACCGATGACAAGATGTCCCATCAGAAGCACGCATTTGCATTTGTTTCATGGGACATCTTGTCATCGGTGTACTATATGGAACTGTGCACTTCACAGTTCCAGCGGCGTGGTGGTTGACTGTGTGCGCATGCGCACATAGGAAGCTGCGCGCGAGGCTCTGCGCGAGGCTCTGCGCGAGAGAGAGCACTGTCGCTCCCGCAGTGTCGGTTTTTTAAAACAAAGGCTAAACATTTTTTGGAGCAGCATCCCCACTAATTGTAGCTACGAGCCGCCACTATGGTATGCAATTGCATTTTCAATGCGTTGATTGACACGTTATAATTTAGCGGAATTAATACTTTTGAGGCTGTCTATAATTATGAAGGTCGGTTATCATTGCATAGCTATGCGACCGAATGAAATTCAACTGACGTAGCGATGAATGGATTAATTATACTAAACTAACGTGTCAATCAACGTGTCAACGGGCAAATTAAAGATTTATAAATGCTCACCGCACGTACAAATAAGTATACAACTGACTAACAGTTGCATAGCCAAAACCAAACTGATTGTATCGTTCAGCATCACGCTCAATTTCAATAAATAATCGTGTCTGTTGATTAACAAGTGTAAATTTTCTGCATCTCTATCACTGTCGTCGATCGCTTTGTTAAACTTTATTTTCAGTATCTCTGCTTGACCGCACAGGTGAAAAACGATACCAAAGAAAAGACCATCGCTGCCTACCGACGATGATCAAAATTCAAGACAATCTTTCAGCTTCTCAAATCATTACCAAGCTCATTACCAATCATTACCTTGGTTTCCGATAGTGGTGACCACCAACATTAAGAATTCCATAATGAAAATTATCAGTTGCAAACTCTCTGGAAACTTGACCAGTTCTATAACGTGTGCCGAAGGCATAGGGTATTTCACCGTATCTTCCACGGTCACGTTGCTCTCCTCTTCGTTACTTAGCAATACAGGCAAAATGGCAAAGATAGCTGCACAGAAATTTGCGGAAAGTACCAGACTGATAAGCGTTACTTTGGCCAAGTACGCGTGTCGTCGCATGATCGTTCGTTTCTTATTGTCGTCATAGTTGTCGTTGTCGAGCTCGTTGTAATCTTTCGCAGCCGAGGAAAAATTGATGATCAATCTCGAAGAGTAGAGTCGGAAACATATCACCTTCGACACTGCTAAAACACTACATCCGGTCATCATTAAAGCATCCAGATTCGCTTCGGCGTCGCTTCCATCCAGATACATTTCTGTGTTCAGGATCACTATCATTAATAACTGAGAAATTATAATAATGTATTGAGTAACAAGCTGTCGAATTATAAAGCGTTAGTTGTATAAATAATAATTCCATACCAAAAGGCCGACCACGAAAATGTAACGTATAAAAGCGAACGAATTGTAAACTTGAAGAGGCCAAATGCCCATAGACCAGGAGAGAATCTTGAACGGTCTCATCGCGATAACAAAGTCTTTGTTCTTCGATGTCATTATTTTTACTGAATGCTCGAACAGGTCGAGAAAGAGCTGTTGATCTTATCGCTATCATTCTGTCATAGCATCGTGCTTTTTGACTCATATTTTATTGAACCGTAATTGCTTAACTATATGTCATCGAGCACCCTTACGGTTCTACGTCAGCTGCGAAGTTGTAAAGAAAATTCTAGGGAGGACGGTTCAATTGCGAATTTCTAAAATTATTGCTCTATTTTGTAAAATGCAAAGTCTTTCGAAGTAGTTCAGTCTGGCGAGTGTTGTTTCTACAGAATACGAAGGAAAGGGTTCCACAGTGTTTTCCAGGATGCGTTCAATTGTAGCTGTACCGTGCAAAGAATATTTTTACTATTTCTTTAGTAAGTAGATAATTCAGATCACAAGCAAATGCATTCTGTGTTACGTAGTATATTGATCAATTGATTCAAGTAAAAAGATAATGCGATGCCTTATTGATTAGACACCGTAGGAACCTGGCCAAATATCTTCTGGCTTAATCGATCGAATGACTCAAAAGCGGAAGCGCGCCAGTATTATAACTAATCATTTTGGCAATAAACTCATCGGGGGGATTCTCGTCAAGTCCGTACGTCGTATCAAGGTTAATCATCTTCCCACGTCTATGAATCGATTTACATTTTGACATTATTGCGCGGATAAAACTGATCGCGGTTACTGCAGAAGGTAATCAGTTGCGTCCAAACCTCTCACAGATACGTTTATCCACTAATTGTTTTTTTTCTAACGGCTAGGACGATATTCGTTTACCGAAATGAGCGGATTTAGGACATTTGCATACTTCTACGAACGGAAATGTTACCTGTGCGAAAAACGTACAGTTTATCCGAATCGCGAGGCTCCGAAAATAGTGAGATTCAGCGTACCAAGTAAGTTTACGTCGATTTTTGTTTTTCCCTTCCATTGATCCAGCGTCGAACAAATATTTCTGGTTTCACGTAATCGACCTTTGAAATGTATCCAAAAGCGTGGAGAACCTGATACTGGGTCAATACCGTGCTATTCTTGTTGCCGCTTTCAAGGAGACAAATTTTGCAATCACCGGTTGCAAACGAATTCACTATACTTAACGTCTGCTTTATTATACCGCTATTGTAATTTCCAAGCCTTCGTGACGACTTAAGACCGTTTTGAAGATTAGAAAAGCCACGATTCGCGGTTATACTTTATTACGTTTACATAGCTGCTCCTTAAATCACTAGATTACCGCACTTACTTCTTTTAATTGAAATACCTCGAGTGCCCAAAGCCCATGTTCGACAACTAACACAGAAGAATCATGTGTTTATCATCACGCGGAGTACCGACAGATACGACATCGAAGTCTTCAGAATGCTCATAAAACCCTCCAGATTGACGACGAAGAACTTTCCAGCCATCAGATGCATTGGTTTCTGTGCTTTTAGTATCACGAATGTAATATTCTTAGCCACGTTCGATGGAAGCATGTACCAGCCGCACTTGTACAAAGAGTATCCGATACTATCCATTTGGCACTTCAAGTAATCACCCACGTAACTAAATGCGAACAGTTGTATCATCAGGGCGTTTAATACGAACAATGTTTTCGCCGACAACATGGTATTTCCATCTTGTAAAACGACGAGAAACTGAAATCCTGTAAAAACAGTGTGCAATTAGTTAAGAAAGTAATTGCAATTTGAATAGAGGAATGAATGTTTACCGCAAGTGCAAATAAGTATACAACTAGTCGACAGCTGTATGGCCAAGATCACGCTGATGGTGTCGCTTAGCATCTCTCCCAGTTTCAATAAATAGATGTGCCTCTTTAGTAACAGGTGAAAATTCTTCACAACTTTTCCGTTTCCATCAACCACTCTGCTAAACTCCATTTTCAACACCTCCGCTTGACCGCACAGGTGAAACACGATACCAAAGAAAAATCCATCGCTGCCTATTGATGTTTAAATTTAAGAAAAATCAAATTTTTCAATAGTAATTTCTGTTGATATATTACGAAGCAGATGATTACCAAGGTTTCCCACGCTGGTTACCACCAACATCAAGAATTCCGTAATGAAAATGATTATTTGCAGATTCTTTGGAAAATTTACCAGTTCTATAACGTGTGCCGAAGGCATAGGGTATATTACTGTCTCTTCCATAGTCACGTTGCTCTCCTCTACGTTTCTTAGCAACACAGGCAAAATGGCAAAAATAGCTGCACAGCAATTTGAGGATAATACGAGACTGATAAGCGTTACTTTAGCCATGTACGCGTGCCGTCGCATGATCGTTCGTTTCTCATTGTCGTTGTCGAGCTCGTTGTAATCTTTCGCAGCCGAAGAAAAATTGATGATCAATCTCGAAGAGTAGAGACGGAAACACGTCACCTTCGACACTGCTAAAATACCGCATCCGGTCATCATTAAAGCGTCGAGATTCGCTTCGGCATTGCTTCCATCCAGATACATTTCTGTGTTCAGGATCACTACCATTAATAACTGCGGAATTATAATAAAGTTTTTAGTAACAAGCTGTCGAATTATAAACCGTTAGTAGTATAAATAATAATTCCATACCAAAACGCCGACCACGAAAAGGAAACGGATAAAGGCGAAGGAATTGTAAACTTGAAGAGGCCAAATGCCCATAGACCAGGAGAGAATTTTAAATAATGTCATCGCGTAAGCGAAGTCTTTGTTCTTCGATGTCTTCATTTTTACAGAATGCTCGAACAGGTCGAGAAACAGTCTGTTGATCTTATCGGTATCTCTCTGTTATAGCATCGTGCTTTTAGACTCATATTTTATTGAACCGTAATTGTTTAACTACATGTCTTCCAGCACCCTTACGGTTCTACGTCAGCTGCGAAGTTGTAAAGAAAATTCTAGGGAGGATGGTTCAATTACGAATTTCTAAAATTATTGCTCTATTTTGTAAAATGCAAAGTCTTTCGAAGTAGTTCAGTCTGGCGAGTGTTGTTTCTACAGAATACGAAGGAAAGGGTTCCACAGTGTTTTCCAGGATGCGTTCAATTGTAGCTGTACCGTGCAAAGAATATTTCTACTATTTCTTTAGTAAGTAGATATTTCAGATCACAAGCAAATGGATTCTGTGTTACGTAGTATATTGATCAATTGATTCAAGTAAAAAGATAATGCGATGCCTTATTGATTAGACACCGTAGGAACCTGGCCAAATATCTTCTGGCTTAATCGATCGAATGACTCAAAAGCGGAAGCGCGCCAGTATTATAACTAATCATTTTGGCAATAAACTCATCGGGGGGATTCTCGTCAAGTCCGTACGTCGTATCAAGGTTTATCATCTTCCCACGTCTATGAATCGATTTACATTTTGACATTATTGCGCGGATAAAACTGATCGCGGTTACTGCAGAAGGTAATCAGTCGCGTCCAAACCTCTCACAGATACGTTTATCCACTAATTGTTTTTTTTCTAACGGCTAGGACGATATTCGTTTACCGAAATGAGCGGATTTAGGACATTTGCACATTTCTACGAACGAAAGTGTTACTTGTGCGAAAAACGTACAGTTTATCCGGATCGCGAGGCTCCGAAAAGAGTGAGATTCAGCGTACCAAGTAAGTTTACGTCGATTTTTGTTTTTCTTTTCCATTGATCCATCGCACAGTGGGACAGAACGGCTTTCGGCGATTAAAAATCTGCAACTTCGGTTCTATTGGAAATATTTTAATGAAATTTTCTGAAGTTTTTGCCTATATTATGGTAATTAAGTTGTGTTAATATAAATCATATTGAACTACAGGGTGTCAAAATATTCACGTATATAGTGTAACGCGTTCAGTATCCTTCACTTCTTAGACATATTTTATGTCATTTAACAAAAATTGGACTCAAAACTGTTGATAACTATAAGAGAAACGGATTTATTAATTAAAAAATAACAAGACAACTATGAAAATTTATTATGGCATACTGCAAGGACGAAATAAAGTTTTTGATGACGCATATACACGTGGAATGCAGTTAACTGGTTAATAATCGTATGTGGTACTGTTTTTCTATCATCGTGCACAGCGGCCAAGATGGATGTAATTTTATTCAATTGCCATTTTCCTGAAAAAGTGCGAAAACGTGCACCCAACTTTTTGAGATTCTGGTCGACGAAGGTTCGCTCTTTCCTGTAGTAATAATTAAACATTCGGCAAATGCTGGAATTTTTAAGAAATCAAACACAAATTTGAGATTCTAGTTAAATGTAGGTACTTCGTTCTGACGAATTTCTACGACTTTGAATGCGGACCACGGCAAAACGGAAGCAAATATCGATGTACGCAAATAGTTTTTCAATTCTCGAATTCACGAAAATCGACTTTTGATCGCCGAAAGCCGTTTTGTCCTACTGTGCATCGTCGAACAAATACTTCTGGTCTCGCGTGATCGACCTTTGAAATGTATTCAAAAAGGAGGCAAATTTTGCAATCGCCGTTTGCAAACGATTTCACTATAACGCATCGCAAATGCAAAGCAGCATTGCGATTGTTTATTTAGCTCCTGCCTTATTATACAGATATTATAATTGCCAAGCTTTCGTGACGACTTAAGACTGCTTTTTAGAAGCTACGATTCGCGGTGATACTTTATTACATTTACATGGGAGTTCCTTAAATCACTACATTACCGTACTTACTTCTATTAATTGAATTGCATCGAGCACCCAAAGCACGTGCTCGACAACTAACACAGAAGAATCATACGTTTATCATTACGCGGAGTACCGACAAATACGACATCGAAGTCTTCAGAATGCTCATGAAACCCTCCAGATTGACGATGAAGAACTTCCCGGCTACCAGGTGCACTGGTTTCTGAGCTTTTAATATCACAAATGTAATATTCTTAGCCACGTTCGATGGAAGCATGTACCAGTAGCACTTGTACAAAGCGTATCCGATACTATCCATTTGGCACTTCAAGTAATCACCCACGTAACTAAATGCGAACAGTTGTGTCATCAAGACGTGTAATACGACTAATGTTTTCGCTGACAACATGATATTTTCACTTTGTAAAGCGAGGAGAAATTGAAATCCTGTAAAAACCATGTACAATTAGTAGAAATGTTCCATTTCAAGGCGTATACGCCCCACGCTCCATACAAGGTAACGTGTACAGAAATTGGTCCTGTACGAAACATGTTAAGAAAGTAATTGCAATTTGAATAGAGGAATAAATATTTACCACATGTGCAAATAAGTATGCAACTAGTTAAGAGCTGTATGGCTAAGACCACGCTGATCGTGTCGCTTAGCATCTCTCCCAGTTTCAATAAATAGATGTGCCTCTTTAGTAACAGGTGAAAATTCTCCACAGTTTTTCCGTTTTCATCAACCATTCTGCTAAATTCCATCTTCAACACCTCCGCTTGACCGCACAGGTGAAACACGATACCAAAGAAAAATCCATCGTTGCCTATTGATGTTTAAATTTAAGAAAATTCAAATTTTCCAATAGTAACTTCTGTTGATATATTAGGAGACAGATGATTACCAATGTTTCCCATGCTTATAATCAGCAACATCAAGAATTCCGTAATGAAAATGATCATTTGCAGATTCTCTGGAAACTTGACCAGTTCTATAACATGTGCCGAAGGAATAGGGTATTTTACTATCTCTTCCGTAGTCACGTTTTGTTCTTCCTCAATTTCCAGCATAATGGGTAAAATGGTGATGAAAGTTGCCCCGAAATTCGAAGATAATATTAGAGAAATTAAGGCTACTCTGCTCAAGTAAGCGTGTCGTCGCACGATCGTTCGTTTCTCTTCATCATCGAGTTCGTCGTAATCCTTCTGCGCCGAGGAGAAATTGAAGAACAATTCTGCCGAGTAAATTCGGAAACACGCTATTTTCGATATCGCTAAGAAACCACAGCTGGTCAGCATTAAAATATCCAAATTCGCCTCGGCATCGCTCCCGTCTAAATACACTTCTATGCTCAGAATCAGGATCATTAATAACTGCAAAGCGAGTAAAATAAGTAATAGATAATGCGAAGAGTATAAGAAACAATTTCATACCAAAATCGCGATTGCAAAGATGAAACGTATAAACGCAAAAACATTGCAAACTTCCATAGGCCAAACGCCCGTAGTCCATGATAGAATTTTTAGCGGTTTCATTGCGTAAGTATAGTCCTCGTTCTTCGTTGTCGTCATTTTCGCAAAATGCTACATCAGATCAAGAAGGTAGTGGTTGTTTAAACTGTCTTCTTTCTGTTACGGCATCGCGCTCTTCGACTCATGTTTTATTCAGTCGTAATCGTTTCGCTATTTGCCGCTGAGTTACCCTTTATTTTTTATGTCTACTGCGTATTACCAAGATAATTTGAGAGATAGGGTTGAAACTTTCAAATTCGCGTTGCTGTAAAGGGCAAACAGGTTCCCCACCTTCTTGGTTAAATTTTCTGAAATGCAATGTCTTTTAAAGTATCTTGATCTAACGAGTGCAATTTTTATAGAGTATAAAAGGAAAGGCTGATGCCTGCATTTCAGGGTGCATTCAAGTTGTGTCTCTTGTTACTGTACGAAGAAGTTATGTTCTGCTCTCGTGGATTCACTCGTGAATGTGATCAATGCCCATTCTACAAAATGAAGACTTCGTTAGAAATAATGTAAGTAAGAAAAGTGATGGTTCTAATAATTTAACTTACAATATTCTGAGATTATGAACAACAGAAAACTGGTACCTGATTACTTCTTTGTCCAACATAAATTTGAAATTATTTCTACGTATTTTATATCGTAATAAAATACACATTCCGTGTAACACAATACGTTTATTCTCACAAACACCCTCATTTGAAGACAGGATTCAATATTTGATTGTTCAATACTGACTTTATTAATCTGACATAATTCTCTAAGTTTCTATGTTACCTGCTAAGTAGTTTCCTAAATCCTATTCTTTCTAACATTAAAACGAAACTATGGTAATTTCATATAGGAGAATCAAGTGTTCATTATTATGCGAAGTACCGAGAGACAGGACATCGAAGCTTTTAGAATACTCGTGAAAGTTTCCAGATTGACGGCTACGAATTTCCCAGCCTTCAGTTGAACCGGTTTCTGAGCTTTTAGTATCACAAAAACAATATCTTTTGCCACATTTCTGGGAAGGTTGTACCAGCTGCAGCTGTACGAAGAGTATCCAATCCCGTCCATTTGGTACTGCAAGTAATTACTCACGTAACTATACGCAAATAATTGTATCATTAAGATACTCATTGTGGTGGTTGATCTCGTCGCCATCACGATATTCTTTTCCTGCAGCGCGAGAATAAACTGAAATTCTAGAAAAACGTTTTGCGATTAATTAACGAATGAACTGTGTAATTGTAATGCGTTAATTGCCACGGTAGAATGCTTACCACATGCACAAATAAGTATGCAACTGGATAATAATTGTACGACCAAAATTGAGCTGATCGTTTCGTTCAACATCTCGCTCAGCTTTAACAAGTAACCGTGCCTTTTGATCAACGAATGAAATTGCTTGGTAGTTTCACTATTCATATCAAGCATCTTGTTAAACTCCATTTTCAGTATCTCCGCTTGACCACACAGATGAAAGACGATACCAAAAAACAATAAATCGCTGCCTACCAACCATGTTTAAAGTTCAAAAAAACATTCACAAACGCGAAACTATCTTTTTTTCTACATCAACTTCTGTTATTATTTGACAAATCATTACCAAGATTACCCGCGCTGATGACCAACAAGATTATGTACTCGGTAAAGAAAACTGGCAGGTACAGATATTCTGGCAATTGTATCAGGGTTAAAATGTTCTCTGAAGGTAGAGGATATTTTAATGTATCTGCTAAAGTCATATTAATCGTATCCTCGTTTCTGGATAGCACAGGTAGAGTAGTAAGGATCAACGAGCAGGCATTAGCAGCAAGCATCAAACTGATAAACGTTACTCTGCTCATGTAAGCGTGGTGTCGCATGATTCTTCGTTTTTTTTCATCGTTCTGCTCGTTGTAATCCTTCACGGCCGAGACGAAATTGAAAATTAATCTTGTGGAATGAATGCGGAAATACGTTACTTTCGACACCGCTAGGATGCCACAAATAATTAATATTAAAGCGTCCATATTCTCGTCGGCATCGGTATGATCCAAATATAACTCCGCGTGTATGGTGATCAGCATTAACAGCTGCGAAAATTAAAAATGATAGTACACACACTGTTTGTGGTGGAATTTAGAAATTGCTTGATAAATGTAGAAGCACGTACCAGAAAGAAGATTGTACAAAAGAAACGCACGAAGGAGAATACGTTGTAGTCTTGAAGAGGCCAAGTGCCCACGAGCCACGACAGGATCTTCAACGGGGTCATCGCGTAAGCGAAGTCTTTGTTCTTTGACGTCTTCATTTCTACAGAATGCTCGAACATTTCGAGAAACAGCCTGTTGATTTTATCGGTATCTTTTTGTCATAGCATCGTGCTCTTCGACTCATATTTTATTGATCCGTAATTGCTTAACTACATGCGTTCCAGTACCCTTACGGTTCTACGTCAGCTGCGAAGTTGTAAAGAAAATTCTAGGGAGGATGGTTCAATTACGAATTTCTAAAATTATTGCTCTATTTTGTAAAATGCAAAGTCTTTCGAAGTACTTCAGTCTGGCGAGTGTGGTTTCTGCAGAATACGAAAGAAAGGGTTGCACAGTGTTTTCCAGGATGCATTAAATTCTAGCTGTACTGTGTAAAGAATATTTCTACTATTTCTTTAGTAAGTAGATATTTCAGATCACAAGCAAATGTATTCTGCGTTACGTAGTATATTGATCAATTGATTCAAATAAAAAGATAATGCGATGCTTTATCGATTAGGCACCGTAGGAACCTGGCCAAATATCTTCTGGCTTAATCGATTGAATGACTCAAAAGCGGAAGCACGCCAGTATTATAACTAATCATTTTGGCAAGAAACTCATCGGGGGGATTCTCGTCAAGTCCGTACGTCGTATCAAGGTTAGTCATCTTCCCACGTCCATGCATCGATTTACATTTTGACATTATTGCGCGGATAAAACTGATCGCGGCTACTGCAGAAGGTAATCAGTCGCGTCCAAACCTCTTACAGATACGTTCATCCATTAATTGTTATTTTTCTATCGGCTAGGACAATATTCGTTTACCGAAATGAGCAGATTTAGGACATTTGCACATTTCTACGAACGGAAGTGTTACTTGTGTGAAAAACGTACAGTTTATCCGGATCGCGAGGCTCCGAAAAGAGTGAGATTCAGCGTACCAAGTAAGTTCACGACATTGATCCATCGTCGAACAAATATTTCTGGTCTCGCGAGCTCGACCTTTGAAATGTATCCAAAAACGCGGTGACCCTGGTACTGGGTCAATATCGTGCTATTCTTGTTGCCGTTCTCGAGAAGGCGAATTTTGCAATCGCCGTTTGCAAACGATTTCACTATAACACATTGCAAATGCAAAGCAGCATTGCGCGTGTTTGTTTAACACCTGCCTTATTATACCGCTATTATAATTACCAAGCCTTCGTGACGACTTAACACCACTTTGTAGATTAGAAAATCCACGATTCGCGATGATACTTTATTGAATTTACATCGTAGCTTCTTAAATCACTACATTACCGTACTTCTATTAATTGAATTACCTCGAGTGCCCAAAATTCATGCTCGACAACTAACACATGATTATTCATGTGTTTATCATTACGCGGAGTACCGACAAATACGACATCGAAGTCTTCAGAATGCTCATGAAACCCTCCAGATTGACGATGAAGAACTTTCCGGCCTTCAGATGCACTGGTTTCTGAGCTTTTAGTATCACGAATGTAATATTCTTAGCTACGTTCGAAGGAAGCATGTACCAGTCGCACTTGTACAAAGCGTATCCGATACTATCCATTTGGCACTTCAAGTAATCACCCACGTAACTAAATGCGAACAGTTGTATCATCAAGGCGTTTAATACGAATAATGTTTTCGCTGACAATATGATATTTTCATCTTGTACAGCGAGTAGAAACTGAAATCCTGTAAAAACGGTGTGCAATTAGTTGAAACGTTCCACGCATACGCCCCACGCTGCATAAAACGTAACGTGTACAGAAATTAGTAATTTCTATTTTTTTTTTCTATTGGCAATTTGATTAGAGAAAGGAATATTTACCGCATGTGCAAATAAGAATGCAACTAGTTGACAGTTGTATGGCCAAGACCACGCTGATCGTGTCGCTTAGCATCTCTCCCAGTTTCAATAAATAGATGTGTCTCTTTAGTAACAGGTGAAAATTTTCCACAATTTTTCCGTTTTCATCAACGGCTCTGCTAAATTCCATTTTCAACACCTCCGCTTGACCACACAGGTGAAACACGATACCAAAGAAAAATCCATCGCTGCCTATCGATGTTTCAAATTTAAGAAAAATCAAATCTTTCAATAGTAATTTCTGTTGATGTATTAGGAGACAGATGATTACCGAGGTTTCCCACGCTGGTCATCACCATCATCATGTATTCCGTAATGAAAATAATCATTTGCAGATTCTCTGGAAACTTGACTAGTTCTGTGACATGTGCCGAAGGAATAGGGTATTTTACTGTCTCTTCCGTAGTCACGTTTTTTTCCTCCTTAGTTTTCAGTATAATGGGTAAAATGGTGATGAAAGTTGCCCCGAAATTCGAAGATAATATTAAAGAAGCTAAGGCTACTCTGCCCAAGTAAGCGTGTCGTCGCAAGATCATTCGCTTCTCTTCATCATCGAGCTCGTCGTAATCCTTTTGAGCCGAGGAAAAATTGAAGAACAATTCTGCCGAGTAAATTCGGAAACACGCTATTTTCGATATCGCTAAGAAACCACAGCTGGTCAACAATAAAATATCCAAATTCGCCTCGGCATCGCTCCCGTCTAAATACACTTCTATGCTCAGAATCAGGATCATTAATAACTGCAAAGCGAGTAAAATAAGTAATAGATAATGCGAAGAGTATAAATAATAATTTCATACCAAAATCCCGATTACAAAGATGGAACGTATAAACGTAAAAACATTGTAAATTTCCAGAGGCCAAACGCCCATAATCCATGATAGAATTTTTAGCGGTTTCATCGCGTAAGTATAGTCCTCGTCGTTCGTTGTCGTCATTTTTGGAAAATACTCCAACAGATCAAGAAAGTATCCGTTGTTTAAATTGTCTTCTTTCTGTTACGGCATCGCGCTCTTCGACTCATGTTTTATTCAGTCGTAATCGCTTCGCCACTTGCCGCTGAGTTACTCCTTATTTTTTATGTCTACTGCGTATTACTAAGATAATTCGAGAGATAGGGGTGAAACTTTCAAACTCGCGTTGCTGTAAAGAGCAAACAGGTTCCCCTCCTTCTTGGCTAAATTTCCTGAATTGCAAAGTCTTTTAAAGTAGTTCGATCTAACGAGTGCAATTTTTATAGAGTGTAAAAGGGAAGGCTGATGCCTGCATTCCAGGGTGCATTCAAGTTGTGTCTGTTGTTACTGTACGAAGAAATTATGTTTCGCTCTCGCGGATTCTGCAAAAGGAAGACATAGTTAGAAAGAATGTAAGTAAGAAAAGTGATGGTTCTAATGATTTTACTTACAATATTCTGAGATTATGAACAACAGAAAACTGGTACCTGATTACTTCTTTGTCCAACGTAAATTTGAAATTATTGCTATGTATTTTATATCGTAATAAAATACACATTCCGTGTAACACAATACGTTTATTCTCACAATCACCCTCATTTGAAGACAAGATTCAATATTTGATTGTTCAATACTTACTTTATTAATCTGACATAATTTCCAAAGTTTCTATATTATCTGCTAAGTAGTTCCTTAAGGGGCTATACCAGTGTGACCGCTCTAAAATTAGGTGATTTTCGAGAATTTTTTTTTTTAACAAATATTACATCAAATGTTTTTAAGCTATAGGGATGTATTTAGTTAAAAGTCGTATATCTATAATAATTTTTTGGTACAAAAATAATAAATAACAAGCGACTTATACGCTATCTTCCAGGGCTACAAAGAAAAAAGTTGCTCCACTGTTGCAGTGATTGCCACCGTCTGAGTGCTTAAAATGAAAAATGACAAAGACGCAGTTAAACTAGAAGGTATTCTCCGTACCATGAACTAGGATTTTTGAAAAATATCAAAATCTGACGAAATGGCGAAGTTTTGAAGAAAAGTTTGGAAATTAGCCTAAACAAATCGTAGTTTTTTTAATGCCAAATTGGCATTTTTCATCCAATCAAAAAAATTCTAGTTCATGACATGGCAAAACATGTACTGAACACGCTGAAAAAGTTTCGAGTCGATACAATAATTTGTATTTGAGTTAGAGCTGCAGCAAATTTGAGAAATACCGTTTTGAGAAAAACGCGATCCATCGGCGGTAAGCGAGTTTCTGACATGCCAGCAGTTACTCCTTAGAACGTTGCCATTCCTAAACTATTTGAGATTCGACATTAAAATTTTAATATGAAATTCTAGGGAGTATAGACTTTCAAGAAATGCAAAAAAAAATAATCGATTTTTCAAAAGTGTTACACTGGTATAGCCTCTTAAATCCTATTCTTTCTAACATTAAAACGAAACTATGGTAATTTTATATAGGAGAATCAAGTGTTCATTATTATGCGAAGTACCGACAGACAGGACATCGAAGCTTTTAGAATACTCGTGAAAGTCTCCAGATTGACGGCTACGAATTTCCCAGCCTTCAGTTGAACCGGTTTCTGAGCTTTTAGTAACACAAAGACAATATCCTTTGCCACATTTCTGGGAAGGTTGTACCAGCTGCAGCTGTACGAAGAGTATCCAATCCCGTCCATTTGGTACTGCAAGTAATTACTCACGTAACTATACGCGAATAATTGTATCATTAAGATACTCATTGTGGTGGTTGATCTCGTCACCATCACGATATTCTTTTCCTGCAGCGCGAGAATAAACTGAAATTCTAGAAAAACGTTTTGCGATTAGTTGACGAATGAACTGTACTTGTAACGCGTTAATTGCCACGGTAGAATGCTTACCACACGCACAAATAAGTATGCAACTGGATAATAATTGTATGACCAAAATTGAGCTGATCGTTTCGTTCAACATCTCGCTCAGCTTTAACAAGTAACCGTGCCTTTTGATCAACGAATGAAATTGCTTCGTAGTTTTACTATTCACATCGAGCATCTTGTTAAACTCCATTTTCAGTATCTCCGCTTGACCACACAGATGAAAGACGATACCAAAAAACAATAAATCGCTGCCTACCAACCATGTTTAAAGTTCAAAAAAACATTCACAAACGAGAAACTATCTTTTTTCTATATCAACTTCTGTTATTATTTGACAAATCATTACCAAGATTACCCGCGCTGATGACCAACAAGATTATGTACTCGGTAAAGAAAACTGGCAGGTACAAATATTCTGGCAATTGTAACAGGGTTAAAATGTTCTCTGAAGGTAGAGGATATTTTAATGTATCTGCTAAAGTCATATTAATCGTATCCTCGTTTCTGGATAGCACAGGAAGAGCACTGAGGATCAACGAGCAGACATTAGCAGCAAGCATTAAACTGATAAACGTTACTCTGCTCATGTAAGCGTGGTGTCGCATAATTCTTCGTTTCTTTTCATCGTTCTGCTCGTTGTAATCCTTCACGGCCGAGACGAAATTGAAAATTAATCTCGTTGAATGAATGCGGAAATACATCACTTTCGACAGTGCTAAGATGCCACAAATAATTAACATTAAAGCGTACATATTCTCGTCGGCATCGGTATGATCCAAATATACCTCCGCGTATACGATGATCAGCGTTAACAGCTGAAAAGTATTCACACTGTTTGAGGTGGAATTTAGAAATTGCTTGATAAATGTAGAAACACGTACCAGAAAGAAGATTGTACAAAAGAAACGCACGAAGGAGAATACGTTGTAGTCCTGCAGAGGCCAAATGCCCACGGGCCACGACAGGATCTTCAACGGTGTCATCGCGTAAGCGAAATCCTTGTGTTTCGACGTCTTCATCTTGTAAGGTTCTCGAGGAGGTCGAGGAACAGTCTGTTGCTCTTATTGTTCTCATTCTGTCGCGGCACCGAGCTTTTCGACTGATACATTATTCATTCGCAATCGCTCAATTACCCGTTATCGAGCACCTTTTCGTTCCCTCGTAAGTTGCGTGCTTCCGTGCTATTCAAAAGATGACAATCCAATTGCGGACATCCGGTTTTCTGTGTCATTTCTATACTTTCCTACGGGGAATGAAGGATTATCCCTTTCCCTGACTGCTTTTGCTGAAATGCATGGTCTTCCAAGGTAGTTCAGTCTAACAAGTGTCGTTTCTGAGGAGCACAAAAGAAAGGCTGGTGCGTGTTTACCAGGATATGTTTGAGGTACATTTGATCTAATGGTGTAATGAGATGTTTTGCTATTCGTGCTCCTTTCATCACAGTGAATAAGTCTTCGGTTTTCGACTTACGTCCAAGCAGTTTTATTGAGTACCTAATACTGACAGAATATGAAACTGTGATCAGTTTACATGGTGTAACTCAGTTTTGGAAATTAATTTGACGAATGTTTTTTCTCTCAGTGCGACTATTGTTTCCAACAGTGTGCTGTTATTTTTGAATACTGTATGCTTTGACTAGTAACTATATAAAAGACAAATAATTTTAATAGTACGTGACTGCACAACACTTGTTTTATTAAACTTTGTACAAACCCCAAAGTTTATGTATTATCTATCAAGTATTTTCTTCAATCTAATTACTTCTAAACTATAGACGTACGATAGCTAATACAGAAGAGTCAAGTGTTTATCATTACGCGAAGAACCGAAAGGTACGACATCGATGTCTTTAAAATGCTCATGTAAGTTTCCAAATTGATCACGAAGAACCTTCCAGCCGTTAGGTAAACCGGAACCTGAGCTTTTTGTATGACAAAAATAATGTTCTTGGCTATGTTTGCCGGAAGGCAGTACCAGCTGCAGCTGTACAAAGAATACCCGATGTCATCCATTTGCGACTTCAAATAATTACCCACGTAACTGTACGAGAACAATTGGATCATCAAACTGGTTAGTATAACGAACGTTTTCACCACCATCACGGCATTCCTGATGTTCAAAGCGATAAGGAACTGAAATCCTGAAAACCAGTATACAATTAGTTAGCACAGTAATTGCAATATTATTAACGTGTTAAATTAAACTAAACTGACAGCGCTGCTATTTTTTAATGCCGGTAATCATGTTAACAAGTAAGGATTCATGAATACTTACCGCATGTACAAATCAACATACTGCTGGCTATCATTTGTATAACCATAACCGAGCTGCTCACGTCGTTCAGCATCGTGCTCAGTTTCAGTAGATAACCATGCCTTTTGATCAGTAAATAGAAACTCTCTGTAGTTTTTCCATTATCGTTAACCAACCTGTTAAACTGCATTTTAAGTATCTCCGCTTGACCGCACAGGTGAAAGACGATCGCACCAAACAATAAATCACTGCCTATTGACGATGTTCAAAATTAAAAGAAACTAATTAATCGCAAGATTATTTTATCTACGGTAATTTCGTCCGACATTCTACGATTCAAATCATTACCAAGGTTCCCTGCGATGGTGAACATCATCATTATGTACTCCACAAGAAAGACCAGAAAGTAAAGATTCTCTGGTAATTTCAACAGCAATACAATATGTTCAGAAGGAACAGAAAATTTTAATGTGTTTTCAACAGTGATATTGCTGTCCTCATTGTCTTTTAACAGTAAAGGCAGGGCAGTGAGGATTGCAGCGTATACATTGGAAAACAGCATCACGCAAGCAAACGCCACTCTGCCCATGTAAGCGTGTCGTCGCATTATCTTTCGTTTCTTTTCCTCATTTAGTTCATTGTAATCCTTCAGAGCCGACTTGAAATTGAAAATCAGTTTCTCCGAATGAACACGGAAACTCATCACTTTTAATAGCGCTAAACTGCCACAGGCGATTAGCATTAGGGCATCAAGAGTTGTTTCAGCGTTGCTCGGGTTTAAACACATTTCTAAGCTGAGTGTCAGTTGCATTAATAACTGCAAACACACGTGAATCGCACAGTCTGAATCTGAGGATCAGGATTAATTATATAAATGAAGAATTTCATACCAAGATACAGATTGTTACGATGAAACGTATAAAGGCGAAACGGTTGTAAGTCTGGAGAGGCCAAGTGCCCACAGGCCACGATAGAATTTTGAACAGTACCATCGCGTAAGCAAAATCTTCGTTTTTCGTTGTCTTCATCTTGCAAGGTTCTCGAGGAGATCGAGGAACAGTCTATTGCTCTTATTGTTCTCATTCTGTCACGGCACCAAGCTTTTCGACTCATACTTTATTCATTCGCAATCGCTCAATTACCTGTTATCGAGCACCCTTTCATTCCCTCGCCAGCTGCATGTTACCGCGGTATTCAAAAGATGAAAATCCAATTGCAGACATCCGGTTGTTTGTGTCATTGCTATACTTTCCTACGGCGAATAAAGGATATCCCTTTGCTTTTGCTGAAATGTATGGTCTTCCAAAGTAGTTCAGTCTAACAAGTGTCGTTTCTGAGGCGCAACAAAAAAAAGGCTGGTGCGTGTTTTTCAGGATATGTTCGAGGTATATTTGGTCTAATGGTGTAATGAGATATATTGCTATTTGTGCTCCTTTGATCAGACTAAATAAGTCTTCGGTTTTCGACTTACGTCCAAGCAGTTTTATTGAGTACCTTATTGTGACAAGATGCGAAACTTCTATCAGTTTACATCGTGTAACTCAGTTTTGGGAATTAATTTCGTCAAATTTTTTCTCTCTCACAATCAGTGCGACTATTGTTTCCAACAGTGTGCTGTTCGTTTTGGGTATTGTATGCTTTGACCAGTGACTATACAGGGTGATCGACAACAGATGGGAGATTATTTAAGGGGTGATTTTAAGGATTGAAAAAAGACGAAAATCAAAAACGACGAAATAGCGTTTGCGGCTATGTTTTCCAATAATTTACGATTAAAAATTCGAGTAAAAAGCGCTTAAAAGCTGCGATCTGCCCAGCAACGACGACTGAACGTCAGGTCAGCAGGGGTGGGTACAGTCATAACCAAGAAGAGAAAGCCGAATGCTGCAGTACCGCGAAAAAGAATTGCACGAGGTAAGCATCTACTATTCAATGATTCTTAGTTATGACTGTACCCACCCCTGCTGACCTGACGTTCAGTCGTCGGTGCTGGACAGATTGCCGGTTTTAGGAGCTTTTCACTCGAATTTATAAACGTTAATTACTGGAAAACAAAGCCGCAAACGCTATTTCGTCATTTTTGATTTTCATCTTGTTTTAATCCCCAGGATCACCTCTCAAAAAATCTCCCACCTGTTGTCGAATACCCTGTATAGAAGACAAATAATTTTAACAGTACGTGACTGTACAACACTTGCTTTATTAAACTTTATATAAACCCCAACGTTTATGTATTATCTATCAAGTATTTTCTTCAATCGAGTTACTTCTAAACTGGACGTACGATAGCTAATACAGAAGAGTCAAGTGTTTATCATTACGCGAAGAACCGAAAGGTACGACATCGATGTCTTTAAAATGCTCGTGTAAGTTTCTAAATTGATCACGAAGAACCTCCCAGCCGTTAGGTAAACCGGAACCTGAGCTTTTTGTATGACAAAAATAATGTTCTTGGCTATATTTGTCGGAAGGCCGTACCAGCTGCAACTGTACAAAGAATACCCGATGCCATCCATTTGCGACTTCAAGTAATTACCTACGTAACTGTACGAGAACAATTGGATCATCAAAGTGGCTAGTGTGACGAAAGCTTTTACCACCATCACGGCATTCCTGGTGTTCAAAGCGATAATGAACTGAAATCCTGAAAACCAGTATACAATTAGTTAACACAATAATTGCAATAATGTTAACGTGTTAAATTAAATAAACACTAAACGTACCATGACCGGTTGTAAACATTTGATTAGAAAATTCGCATAAAATGTTATCGCTTTTTCACATTTGACATCATGACTTTTTCTATTAAATATATACAATTAATTTTACATCATTTATTTATATTCTTATTTGTTAAATCCGATAAACACGTGTAACCTAGCGTCATTTACCACGACAGGTCATTTGATCGACTGCGGTACAAATAGTTATGTTTTAAATCTCGGTACGTCTAATGTTAAACTCGAAGAGCTGCTTTCTTTTAATGCCGGTAATCATGTTAACAAGGATTCATAAATGCTTACCGCATGTACAAATCAACACACAGCTGGCTAACAATTGTATAATCAAAACCGAGCTGATCGCGTCGTTCAGCATCTTGCTCAGTTTCAGTAGATAACCATGCCTTTCGATCAGTAAACGGAAACTCTCTGTAGTTTTACCATCATCGTTAACCAACCTGTTAAATTGCATTTTAAGTATCTCCGCTTGACCGCACAGGTGAAAGACGATCCCAAAAAACAATAAATCACTGCCTATCGACGATGTTCAAAGTTCAAAGAAACTAATCAATTGCAAGATTATTTTCTCTACAATAATTTCTTCCGACATTCTACGATTCAAATCATTACCAAGGTTCCCTGCGAGGGTGAACAGCATCATCGTGTACTCCACAAGAAAGACCAGAAAGTAAAGATTCTCTGGTATTTTCAACAACAATACAATATGTTCAGAAGGAACAGGAAATTGTAATATGTCTTCAACAGTCATATTGATGTCCTTATTGTCTTTTAACAATACAGGCACAGCGGTGAGGATTGCAGCGCAAACATTGCCGAACAGCATCACGCAAACAAACGTTACTCTGCCCATGTAAGCGTGTCGTCGCATTATCATTCGTTTCTTTTCCTCATTTAGTTCGTCATAATCCTTCACAGCCGACATGAAATTGAAAATCAGTTTCGCCGAATGAACACGGAAACTCATCACTTTTGATAGCGCTAAATTGCCGCAGACGATTAACATTAGGGCATCAAGATTTGTTTCAGCGTTGCTCGGGTTTAAACACACTTCCGAGTTGAGTATCAGTTGCATTAATAACTGTAAACACACGCATATCACACAGTCAGAATCAGAGCATCAGGATTAATTATATAAATGAAGAATTTCATACCAAGATACCGATTGTTACGATGAAACGTATAAAGGCGAACCGGTTATAAGTCTGGAGAGGCCAAGTGCCCACAGGCCATGATAGAATTTTGAACGGTATCATCGCGTAAGCAATATCCTCGTTCTTCGTTGTCTTCATTCTTGTAAAATGTTTGAACAGATCGAGAAATAGTCTGTTGATCTCATTGCTCTTTTTCTGTCACGACATTGTACCCGGCGACTCATATTTTATTTAACTGTAATCGCTTAACTACCTGCCATCGAGCACCCTTTCGCTTCTACGTCAGCTGCGTGTTGCCAAGAAAATTCAAGAGATCGAAATTCAATTGTATACATTCATATCCATTATTATTGCCATACGCATTTCCCTTTTCTTGACTGCTTCATGTGAAATATAAAGTCTTTCCAAGTAATTCAGTTTAACGTGAGTTCTTATAGTCGTTCCAAATTTTGTAAGAAACTGATACTGTTTGAATTGAAATTTCGTAGGGCTCGATAAGGCTAGTACATTATTAGGAATTGGAGTGAAACGCTGAGAGGGATGCTCCCTTCTAGATACCAAGAATCCGTCCGGAAGGTCGGCGACGCACGGGACTTGGACTCATTGTCAGTTGTCGCAGTGTTATACTCGATAATAAAGAAGTTCAGTCACGTGTATTGTGTTGACCTTCGCATAATCTTTTTGGGAAGTTATTGTATTCATTTATTATGTAACTATTACGATTTCTACGCCTTCGCAATATATCAAACGATCCAAGTGATAATGCGAGATTCGCTTACGTAACGAATGTCAATTTACCGGGCAGACGTTTATCGCGCCTTTAGCGTGGATCAGAGCACGTTTGTTCTCCGTAAAAGGAAATATTCGAGACACGTATTCGTGACGCGTAACGCTGATTCACGTGCCTTTTGTCGCGATAATTGTCACGGTTTTTCTCAACTGCAGAGCCGTACACCTGGACTCCCTTCCTTATCCAACGTATTCCATAAAACTTTGTTCCGATTAGTTTTTATTTCCTTCGACTCGCATCGTCGAGCAACCGCGTCTATTTCTATAACACTTCGAGCAAACTGTGAAATAAAATAGATAAATTTCTTGCCCGAATTGATTCATCAATGAAGTACCTATTATCCATACATCCTAGTTATCCGAATCATCGTGTCCCCTACGCGTTTTGACAAATAGAGTTTTACTCTACTTAATCAATGTTAAATTCTCTGTTCGCAGGCAGAATGCTGAGGTCAGCCTCGCCGCAGTATCCCAGCAGAGCAGACGATATTCGTGTAATTCGTTTGACGGCTGATCAGGAAGCTGTTCTTCAAGAACAATTTAACAGATGGCCGAGGGCACCTCACACAGCGGATATCGTCCTGTTGGCAGCCGAGACAGGACTCTCCGAAGCCGACGTTGAGGTACTTTTTCTAGAAAATAAACATTTTATATTTTCACCGTCCGGCGAGTCAAGTTAATTGATGTTTTATCTAATTTCATTTACGTGTTCCAGGCATGGTACGCTATCCGATTAGCCCAATGGAGGAAGGAACAGGGCTTGGGAGGAAATCTTGGTTTACATTAACGCATTTCTAACGTTGCGGCCCTCTCCAACGTGATCGTACTTGTGTACCTGAAAATGTAATTCTTGTAAGGACTCTGTATGAACCTGACAACGATCTATTCTTTCACGATCTTCCGTTGCTTTCAGCTTACCAATTGTAGATGCTGTTAACACCTTACCTATCGCTTGCAGATGGAACGATAAGTATTATCGCTTTTTAACTTAATAGTAAGTAAATATTGAAACGAGTAATCAGTTAAATATCATTATTAAATTATGGATAAACGGTTAACAATCAAAGACCACTGACATCGAAATGTCTGTTAGGTAAGGTGTTAACTTAGAACCACGCGAAATATCGGTTTATTTATGTTAATTGTAAGTGTATAGAAAAGGTAAGAGAAAACGTTACGAACGATGGTACCAAAAAGTGATAGAATGATGTAGAGGAATAATTAGTAATCTTCATTATTATTTAATTCGACTCTATAGTTTATGAAGTACTTTCGGGGGTAAGCAGAATAAAAATACCCCCGTTCAAGTGCCTATAAATAATATCGTTTACTCGTAAGGAAGTCGTACAAACAAGACATTACCAGCGAGTATTAATCATAGGATATACGTATGCATATGACCTGATTATGGGTCATGAAAAAATTACGTTAGTTGTAATATATCAGGTACCACAAATATGTTTTAATGCTTTCGGATAGTTGTGCTAATAATCTTCACCAGAAATGTACAAAAAAAAAAAAACGAATACACCAACTAAAACAAAAATGGGTATCATACAAATTATTTAATTGTCGATACTACACATTTGATCTATACATAATAGTCTCTTAACGGCGTAACCCCAGAAAATAAAAAGTATAACAATTAAATTTATGTAATTTACATAATTCTTTAAAATTACAGAATTAACACCTAACTAGAAGATCGTCTCAATCGTTTGAACAGTTTATCTGATGCCAGTATCTTTCCCAATTGCATCCTTGATGGATGTTAGGCCATCTCGTTTGAGCGCGTCATCCAATTCTCGTTTAATTTTTCCTATTATCGGTGGTCCAAAATACGTAAACGATGTGTAAACTTGCACCAAAGAAGCACCAGCTTTGATTTTATTGTAGGCGTCTTCTCCGCTGAAGATTCCACCGACTCCAATGATTGGAATGGTGCCTTGCGTTCTTTTATACATATCAGCAATCATTGCCGTCGACATGTTGGCAAGAGGAGCTCCACTGAGTCCTCCGCTTTCGTTTTTGAGATGGCTTACTAAATTGTTTCGCGTAACTGTAGTATTGCATAGTATTAAGCCGTCTACTTTAGACTTCTTCTTTAGTATTACATTCGCGATATCTTCCCGTTCAGATTCAGACAAATCTGGAGCAAGTTTCAGTAATAATGGTTGAGTACTCTGTATAGATTGTCTAACTTCATTTACTTTTGTCAGTAAATGTTCCAACTCCTTCTTATTTTGCAATGATCTCAATCCTGGAGTATTAGGACTAGATACATTGATTACAAAATAATCTGCCACATCTGCAAACTTCTTAATGCCATCTATGTAGTCTTGTACAGCATCTTCAGAAGTTTTGTTTTTGCCCAAATTGATTCCAATTATACCATTGTAGTTTTCTTCAGTCCTGAGCTTTTTCAGACGTTCCCACACAGAGTCATGACCTTCGCTGTTAAAGCCATACCTATTGACAACCGCATTATCTTCTACTAATCTAAATATCCTAGGTAGAGGATTACCAGGCTGAGGCTTTGGTGTGACAGATCCTGGAAATGAAATTATATAGATGATTATATTATTTTGACGTTATGTCAGTTACAGTGCATATAAAACTACATACCTATCTCTACAAAACTAAAACCTATTTTGTCCAAATTCTCCACAGCTTCTCCTTGCTTGTCGAAACCAGCTGCCATACCTATTGGATGTTTGAATCCCAGGCCCCAAACGTTGATAGCAAGAGAGCTTGGATCTTTTGTTTTTTGTCCAGGCAAAAGGCCCCATTTTAAAATCTTTACGGTAATATTGTGCGCGAGTTCGGGGTTCAGTAGTTGTGCAACAGGAATAATATACTTATTATAGAACCTTTCATCACCTCTATATATGTTATAACCCCCATATAAAACAGTAGCAGCAGCGGCGACTTGTACAAGCGACTTTAATTTTGCTTTATTAGACAATCGTTGGGCCATTTTTCAATATTTTCTTGTAATAAATATATTTTTTTTCAAGTGCATAAGCACACTTGAACCTCCTTTTAAGGTTACGTTGTATTTTGCCTGACATACAATCAACCATTCACGACGAGATATCGTAACAAAGCATTATATTGTAATGTTCGCATAAATCACGGGTTAACTATTGCAAATATTTAAATAAAACGTTAAATTCAATATAAACATTTTTCAAATGTTTCTGTCACGCGAACAACGCGTGTTGCCGCCAGACATTACCGCGCCATCGTTAGACTACTTTGTCAACTATAACTTCAAATATTCAAACTTAAGATATTGAGATTCATCACTTCTTTTATTTAATTATTTATGCATTTAGATTATTAAATTTATAAATTAATATAGGGGCTAATTTAACAGGGACAGGAATTCAATTTCAAACTTGGTTATCGGTTGCGCGCGGAAAATATTAGGCGTTTATCATAATGCGAAGCACCGACAGATAGGACAGGGAGGTTTTTAAGATACTCGCATAAGTTTCCATATTGACGATGAAGAATTTACCAGCCATTAGATGAAACGAACGATGAGCTTTCATTATGACGAAACTAATATCTTTCGTTAGATTTCTCGGAAAATCATACCAATTACAGCTGTACAAAGAATATCCAATGCTGTCTATTTGGCGTTTTAAGTAATCACCAACGTAACTGTACGCAAATAATTGTGCCATAAATGTGCTCAGTATGGCAAACGATTTCACTACTACCGCGATATTCTGAACATCCAGAGCAAGAATAAACTGAAATCCTGTAAACAAACGTAAATTATGCGTGAATTAAGTAGATACGTATACATAACCTTTATGTCAATCAACTCCTAACGTCAAAGTGGAACTGGGTACATGGTCACTAACGTGATAAATGGGCGAGATAAACAGATTTACGGATACTTACCGGTTATGCAAATCAGCACAGAACTGGAGAATAATTGTACAATCAAAATCGAGCCGATCGTGTCGTTTAACATCTCTCCTAATTCCAACAGGTAACTGTGTCTCTTAATTGACAAATAAAGATTCTCCTTGGGATTTTTATTTTTATTGGGCATTCTAGTAAAATCTTTTTTTAGTATCTCCACTTGACCGCACAGATGAAAACTAATAGCGAAGAACAACGAATCGCTACCTGTTGATGACGCAAATATAAGGAAACATATTTCACGCCAACCATTGAGGAGGATAAATCTTTACCAAGGTTTCCAGTGCAGGTGATCAGCAACATGAGAAATTCTGTCACAAAAATCGGTAAAGTCAAGCATTCTGGAAATTGGAAGAAAGTTAAAACGCGTTCCGATGGTATAGGGTATTCCAAGGTATGTTCTAGGGTTACGTTAACCACGTTTTCATGGTTGTCGGTCAACATGGATACCGTGATTATAAGTAACGAACTGATATACGAAAATAATATCACGCTAGCACACGCTACTCTTCCCATATACGCGTGTCGTCGCACAATCTTTCGATTCTCTTCTTTATTCAGCTCGTCGTAATCCTTCAGGGCGGAAGTGAAGTTCAGAACAAGACCGTCCGACCGAAAGCGGAAATACATCACTTTTGACATCGCCAGGATGCCACAGGTGGTCACGGTAAGAGCATCCAAGTTCTTCTCGGTGTCGCTTCCGTCCAAATAGATTTCGAAGCTCACGACGATCAGCATCAAGAGCTAGAGAAATCAGGAAAGGTATTATTCAACCTGTTCAATCTGATAAATGTAGAAATTCTTACGAGAAGAAAGATTGTAAAGATGAAACGCGCGAAGGAATACGCGTTGTAATCCTGAAGAGGCCAAGTGCCCACGGGCCACGACAGGATCTTCAGCGGGGTCATCGCGTATGAAAAGTCTTTGCTCTTCGACGCCGTCATTCTTGCAAAATGTTCGAACAGATCGTCGCAGCATTGTGCTTTTCGACTCATATTTTATTCAATCGTAATCGCTTAACTACCTGTCATCGAGTACCCTTTCGTTTCTGCGACAGCTGTACGGTTATCGAGGGAGTTTCAGAAACGGGAGCTAAATTATTGAGATCTAACATTGTTCCTTAATTTTGCTATCTTCTTCGAAGGATACCAAGCTAGGAAGGTTGAATTATGTTTTCAATTTCATTTTCGTGGAGGAAAATATGTCTTTGCGAGTAATAGCATTATTTTTTTTATTATAAACAGAGGGACCATCACACGGATAGCATGTATAAACAGCTTACGTATAAAACATGTGATTACGTCTTCATCATTACTCTCAAGACCGACAAATAAGAAGCAGAAGCCTTCAACGCCTCCTTGAAAGTGAGCCCGTTCATCGGAACAAATTTTCCAGCAGTCACGTGGCACGATAAGTGTCCACGATGGATCATCAACGTCAGGTCCCTCGCTGCGTTACCTCGTAGAAGATACCAGGACGATTTATATGCAGCATTTGCGATACCTTCTGCTCGAGACTCCAAAATGTCGCCGGCGTAGGCGTAAAGGTACAGTTGTATAATCATCGTGAATATCATTATTACGCTTTTAAATGTACCGAGAGTGTCTCCTGTTCTCAGATAAACCAGAAACACGAAACCTAGTTTCGAAGATGATGCATGGGGTGTGATTGATATAATTAGAGCGTAGAAAAACCGTAGTAAATTAATAATTACCTTCTATGCACATTATTAACGTACTACTAAACAACTGCAACAGGATGATTACGCTGAAGCTCTGTTTGAGGTATTTCGCAAGCATGACGAGACGACAATGTCGTGCCACTAAATGACCGAGCTTTTTATGCGAGTCGAACTCCTCGAACTTCATTTCTTCGAGGTTCATCTGTAGAACTTTGAACTGACCGGAAAGGTGCATCGTCAAACTGAAGAACCATCCGTCATTGCCAGACTGGGAGATGGTCATAACGGTTAGCTGCATCACTTGAAGCATTACAACTCCAATTTTTAAGTACAAAGGCATAACCCCGTAAACACAGGTGGTCACTGTCATATGGTTCAACGTCCAAGTATCGTTCGAGCTATCAGTTGAACCCGTCAAGTATTTCATTATCTGAAGTACGTATGAAATATTCTTACCTTATATTCACTGAAAACTAATTAACAAATAATTAATAGAAATGTATCAAAGACCTGCTGTTTCAGGATCTCGTCGAACGAGTTGGTTTTAATTATGATCGAAGGTGCAGACACATAGCACATGTAAAGTAACGCCAAGAAAGCGGTTCTTCCTGTCTGGAAATACTCTGTCATTACTCGTTGGTGACGAGGATCTTTGACGGTAGACCAGTCTTCCATCACCGAATTAACAAGGATGCGCATATGTTTCCAGTTCATTCGGTTAATTAATAATTTCAACGCGGTGGTGACGCAGACGATGCTCAAAATGACAGCGTCCATCGCTTCATCAACGCTGACACATTGCCGATAGAATTCCACGGACAGACTGTAGATATAACTGGTCTAATTACAGAAAGTATTCCGTGGGAAGATCTTGTCGATTTTTCCAGATTACCGTGATCGAAGGTGAAACTTACGTTTATAACCATGGCAAAGAGAAATCGAGCGAAGGGTGCCAAGTCGTTGACGTTCGACGGCCAAATTCCGAGTATGTTCAATATTTTCTCTTGCGGTATGAAACCACTTTCGAACTTTTCGTATTGCTCCTTTTCCGTCTTCATTTTCAAAGTTGCGCTTCGAGAAGAACTGTCACTCGGACTGTGTCCTGTTTCAAGATATGATTTACCGCGAGCCGCTTGCAAGAGGTTGCGTGACGTTTACGCTCGCTTACACTCTGTTCCTTTTGATCTTTTATTCAGGCGAACGTGCGCGATACTTTCGAGGGTTGCGAGAAACCTGCACTTCCGTTAGGATGGGAACACAAAGTTGTCGCGAGACAAAACGCCATCAAAAGAATAAACGGTGGCCGTGATTGCAGGTCTATCGGGTTGGTTTCTATTTATCGTTACAGGACGCTTGTAATTTTGCTGATTTTATACTTTTTCTTCTTCGCGTTGGTATAAACTTACCCCCCTGCGAAACGCCACGGTAGTTGTATCAATTTTTAACGCGTTCCATCGAGGACCGACGTTATCAATTATTAAGGTAAAAGTAGCGAAACACAGGGCCAGATATCGCGAGGGAGAGGAGCATTTCACCTTTCGTCGCGGCGAATTTCCAGCGTTCCGCATCGCGCGTATCAAAGTTCATCGAGTGAAACGCGAATGAAAATAACAAGTCCGATCTCGTAACGGTGTTTCTCAACGAGCAGGAACGCGTCGTGTAACTAAACGCGATAATATTGTGGAATTTATTCACGCGCAGATCAGAAACATAGTACACATCCTAATTATAATAATGACTACACTCTGAACAGTTCGATGACTGTTCACCTTGATCCGTGGACTCGAAAATTTTATCCCCGAAGATAGACGTCATCAGTTTTCCTGTGAGAGGCTTCTCGAACCAGGAATTACCAAAACTCGGTCGAATACCAAGAATACGAAGAAACGTTGATCATGGTGGTACCGAAATCCTGGCATTCAGCCACATAGTTGGGAACCGGTTGAACGATCCTGGTTCGGTTGTACACAGTACATCCACGACCTTGGCGTTTCGAATGAAACGGGACGTCGTGGCACCGCGTTGACGCGCGTTCCCCAATTCTCCTCGGGGTCAACGACCGCCCGTTGGACAGAGCCACCGAAAGTGGACATGCTCGAAGTTGGTTCCACCGACCAGCGACCACTCAATCGAGCGCCCAAACTTTCGCGGTTCTCAATAACCAGCGACCCTTCTCGAATCGTCCTGGATTATCCGTGTCCCTAGCTCGGGTGAAAGGAGATACTTTCGGAGATCGAGCAGGGTCTACTTACTTTCTATGGTTCATCTCTCGAGTACTCGTAATTTATAAGCCGAGCTTAACTCGCTTCGATTTTTCGAACCGAGTTCCGAATTTGCCGAATTACTCAAAACCGACGAACTGTATGAAACAAAAGAAATCGAACTACTCGAATATTCGAGCCGTCGTAAAGCTTCGATTTACTTGAGGATGAATTTTCAGTTCGAATATTCGTGTAGTTCGATTTTTTCGAGTAGCTCGGCAAATTCAACTCGGCTCGATCTTTGTTTGACTCGAAATTCGAGTACTCGCACACCTCTACCTGTACCAAGTGAAATTAGAATTTCTCAGACAAATATTTGATACTAATTAATCAAAATATCTTTAAGTCAGAGTTCATTTCGATCTTCCCCTCTTGATCTTACAACTTCTCACACATCTGTCGGTGTGTACATAGGATTACGGTACTGGAACGTACAGTATAAATACACGGCAAAGATTCATGCAAATCTGCAGTTCCATTCAGCAAGAAGTATCGTCCGGACGAGGAAAAGATCGAAGGATGCAGCGGGTATTCGGTGGGCATCGAAGTGCTGCAACCGATGCACGGCGTTATCGGCTTTCACGCTGATGGCCGGGTGTTGTGCCTACCTGCTCAGGTAGGTAAGTACCGTTCGTCGAGCTACCTTCGTCGGCAGTCACGCCACAACCTTCGTCGCGTCAGGTGCGCACGGATCTCCGCGACCAACGGGACTCTCTGTTCGCCAGTTCCCTGATCGCCGGCACTGACATCGCCTTTATAATCTTTCTTCTCGATAGCCAGAGGTAAGCCGAATTCAAGCATATCCTAAAGTGATACTCGCGTACCACGCACTCTCCTGTTTTCCTTTCAATTAGAAAAATCGAACGACTTTTATCCTCATTTTTCCCTTCGTTCGGGACACGATCGTTGGCGAGAAATCGAGATCTGAATTTTGTGGTAAATAGAAAATCAATGGCTCGTTGCGTTTTACCGTTGGCCAAGTAGAAGGAGTCTGATCGCGCTTTGATGCACCGTAGCTTTCCGATACGCATCGAATACCGGTGTTCCAAGCTTCACTGATCGTGTCCACGTTGAAAACGCAATCGAACACGCTCCAGTTGATCCAGATGACTACCGTTGTTAGAGCTGCGCGAATTTTCAATCAACTTCACTGCGGACGAGATCCAGTCTGAAAATTTTTCTATATTTTAAATTGTCTTAGTTGCTATATCTACCTTCTTTCATTAATCGCCAAGGTTTTTCCTTATCTGTATACCGATAAATTTTAGAACACTATCGGTTAATTTATGCTAGAAAAACAAATTTAGAAACATCGAATAAATTGGAGCATTTGCCATAAAATTGAATATCGTTCAACGGCAAGAAGAAATAATCGTTCGGACCTAATTTGACTTTCAATAGACAATGCACCAGCTGTGTTGCAATTATTATCGAAAAGAAACAAGTGTTATCTTCACCAGTTTAAGTTATGTGCAACGATGACGCGAACTAGTTAAGGCACAAATACGTGTTCCAATCGGAAAAAGAATATTCACTCCACATGTAAGTCTTCGAGTTTTTAACTATACGCACAGGTTCGAAAGATACAATAAGAAGAAGCAACTGACCGTCGAATGTATTATACGGGACGAGCAAGTTACGTTCCAGTCAATGTATAAAAGTATTCTGACCGTGTCTAACAAGCATCTTTTTAATCACTCATCAGAACGGCTGCAAGGGATCCATGAATCTCTATAGTCTAATAAGAACGTTCTATCGTTTCTCTGTTTTCTTGATAGCGATACGTCAGCTGTTCGAGAACGGTACGCGTTGTCGAGCGAAACCATTATTAATAACACGAATTTTACCGTTACATCGTTCAATTATCCCGCGGAACGGCATACAGAGAGAGAAGGAACAAAGGAGAAGATGGAGGAAATCGTGTCAATATCCGGCTGACCTTGGAAATCGACAACGTTCCTCGAGTACTGCTTGCTTTCCCTCTCATTCGTGCGAGAACAAGCTGCATCTCTTGCACTTTCCACGTGCAATCGATAAACAAACGGACGAAAAGGATCTGGTTAATTGCCTGAAACAATAGGCGTTCGATCGATCACCGGGAGGGTGTTCTTCTGGATGAAGTACGGTCGCCGGACGTTGGCTGACTTGTCAATTGACGCGAGTTTCGCGCGTCGGAGGAACGATGACTAACTCGGTCTGTACCGTTAACCAGAATCGTTCCTTCAGCCGAAGAATGTCAATTTCATGCGGTTTACGGTACTCAAATTGCGCGTTAGAATACACCGCTCCGATTGTTCGTTCCTTCTTTTCATTCGGGACGCCTCTCGGGGATCAGTCCTTTGGCTGGTTGCGATGCACAGCCGTCTCGAAAATTCCAGGTATCAATGGTGCACAGGGAGGTGCAGAAACGAACGGCACTTTCGTGCAATGTTCTGAATTTTAACGTTCGCCGTTCTTGTATCACACATACATGATCGATTTCGCGAGGTGCTTCTTCTAATTAAGGGTTATACGTTTTCGCTAAGCGTACAAGAGTCGTTATCGTATTTGAAGATAAAGGTAATGGCCACTAATGAACAAATAACCGCATAAGGTACCACGGTCTTAACACTTTGGACAAGTGTTCTAAGACTTTTCAGCGATAATGTTTATCATGACACGTGTTAGGCTGGTTACATTTCTGATGTCATACGTTATGCCTTGACAGCTAACTTAGGTACAGAACTTACAAGAAAGTAGTAGAGCAAGTGGTGTTATAAAAGTTTACGAGGTAAAAATGGTGGACAATTGAAGAACGATCCTAACAGCTCGATTGTTAGCGAGATAACGCTTGCGTCCAACGGTATTCAAGTGACCACGAGCCGAAACGTTTCCGGTGTATCACTCACGCTTAAAATCCTGCCGACGACCTCTTGCGAGGTGTGCCTTCCTAAAATAACTCGACCACGATCAAGATCCGGTTGAAGGTGAACGACTCTCTTTAACTCCCTGCCACCTTGGGATCAAGAACGAGATTCCGCGAACTCTACATGGATATCATAAGGTGTTTCCCTATTAATCGGTACCGTATTTTTTTCAGAAATAATCAAACGAACCTTGGAAACATGTGGTTGCCGAGGACGTGCGCTCTGCTGATCGTATTGGCTTTGGCAAGATGCGAAAAACCCGAAGAGGAGGAGGATGCTTCGACGGTGTTCCTCGAAGCAGCCAAATCCTTTTTATCGAACAAGGACAATTTAAATGGACTTCAAGGTTTGGCCAGGACATTTATACAGTCGGATGTGGGGAAACAGGTGAGAAACTTCGTTTTTTCAAGTTCTCAAGGGGCAAAGATAACAAAATAGCAGGATAAGATGATCAAAAGTGCCATTGAGCCGAATTTATTCAGTAATGCACCATTTTATAGCTTATAATAAAAAACCACTGTACACCAAGTTTCAACCCTCTATCTCGACCGGGAGGGTAGTTACAGGGTGAGGAAGAAAAAGTGGTTTTTGCCATATTTTTCCTATTTAATGACATTCAAAAAATCTGAAAAAATTCTAGAATATTCTAGCCATGTTTCTTTATGATTGTGAATTTTTTCAGATTTTTTGAATGTCATTAAATAGGGAAAATGTGACAAAAACTACTTTTTCTTTCTCACCCTGTAACTACCCTCCCGGTTGAGATACAGGGTTGAAACTTGGTGTACAATGGTTTTTTATTATAAGCTATAAAATGGTGCATTGCTGAATAAAATCGGCTCAAGGGCACTTTTGACCATCTTATCTTGCTATACCCTTTAACAAGATCTATATTGATTATGCATTTTTTCTTTGAACAGTCCAACGAAATGTTCGATGGAAAGTCCAATCTAGACGGTATAGGACAGATCGTGTCGGGCATTGGCAGCTTGTTTGCCGGCAACGAAAATCATCAGGGTATCGATCTCTCTCTGATCGGATCGGTTCTCGACGGGATGATGAATTCGAACAAAAATACGAAGAGAGTCTCCAGAGATGCCGAATCGAAGCCCAAACCACCCGGAATAGATTTGGACGGTATTCTGGGCACGTTCATGGGTCAGAATGGTAATTCTGACCTGTTGATGGGCTTGCTGCCGATGTTGTTACAAGGTCTCGGAAATAATGACGTACACAACGAACCTGGCAAGATGCACGATCACTCGGGACACTCCTGGTACATGCCACCGATCCTGGAGAATTTGCACGTGATGTGGGATCACTTCAGTAATTCGGAACTAGGCCAAACTTTGTGGAAGAAGAGCGGTCTAGCTCGCTTTGTAGGCCAAATTTCCAATTCCGAGGGACGCATCCAGTACGAGAAACTTCTGGACAACATCGAGAACCCTTCTGTTCGTCGCAGATGGATCAGGTCGCTGACGAATTATATCGGGGAGTGGATCTCCCATATCTCCGATCCGCAAATCCAGCAGCGTTACCTGAATACGGTTCAATTTGTTGGGAACAGTTTCTTGAAATCGCAGGGCTTTCCGAAATCGGCCATGTTCGACTCGATGAGGCCGGTAGAAAGTCTTTCCAGGTAATTGGCAAATAGTACGAAGGGTAACTGGACCGATCGTGAACAACTTTATGAAATTAAATCATTTTTCCATAGGTTAGTGAACGCAATAGCGAAACGATACGTAGGGATGAAGATCGACAGTTCGCAGTACATTAAACCAGCGGAAGCATACATCAAAGAACTAATCACCCTCGCTTCGGAGAAAGGATTCATAATGTCTCGAGTGAATGCCAGGGAAATCAGCAACAGACTCAGTGAAACGATCAATCACGACATCATTGATCCCATATTGAAGGTAACAAATATCTACCAGGAACCCTAAATATTTTTCTTAATTCGTGATACGATTTACAGTCTTACCGTGCGTACAAATGGGCGATCAAGAGGCCACAATGCGCTAGTCAGATCCTGTGTACAATCAACGAACAGAACGATCAGGATAAAGCACAAACGCGTCTACGAAGCGGTTTGTTGAAAGTAACCAGCTTTCCAGCCGCTTGGGCTGTGAGCAGCAAGTTAGGCACCAATTTCTGGACCCTCTACGGGGCCATTATGGACCACGAGAGATGCGTCGTGAGTAGAATAATTCGAAGACCACTTTGATACGTCCTAGAACCGAAAGTCTAACGTTGACCTTTTACTTTCCAGAAAAAGTATCCAGCCGAATGTACAGATTTCCACGAAGAAGAGATCCGAATTACCACGGAAAGCGTTCACAGTGAACTTTGATCCGTGGCTAACAATGAGTGTGAACTGTGAGAGACATTTACGACATACAAAGTTTATTTTACAAGCACAATGTCGCAAACGGCGACTATCGTTTTTATATGATACTTGCTACCTGTCGTGAGAATGTATGGTGATGAGATAGAATTCATTTTTTAGTGGGATTATTCGAAAGGTCGACCGAGTAAAAGTGTGTCGCGTTGAAAACACTTCGCTTTTATCGCGTGTACATAAAACAAAACCGTGAAAATGAACGTAGAACAACTAGGCTTTAAATTTCACAGAATCTTTCGTTTATCTGAAAAACTTAGAAATATCGTTCTCTTTCCTTCTTCTGTTAACGCGACGCGATTACTTTAGTTTTAAGCCTATCGAAAGTGTGATCTTACGATCTGATAGAAAAAGAGGCAGCTACGATTATTGGTATCTCATTTCATTTCATTTTTATATATTTGTTACTTCTAAAGGAATCTATAAAAATTCTACTTTATACAGAGAGCGTGCGAAAAAGGCACGTTTCGTTACGACGTTCCTAGGGACATCGTAAATTCGAGCTTAAGGAGAGCTCGTTCCAGGAGGGACGAAGGTTCAACGACTAGGAGATCGCTCGTGCGTTTTGCACCGGATTTATTAACAGCAATGTCTGTGTAACAACTCCTGTAAATATTAGATGAAAGCCAAATAATAAAGTGTACGTTGAATGTACAAGACACATCATAGGCTGATCATTCTCCTCTTTCTTGCTTCACCATTATTTTCTCTTAATGTTTTTGCATGCCCATTCGAGGCCCTCCTGATAATGAAACATTTTAATTTCCTTAATTATCACTCTATGTATTTCAAACAAAGCGATAGACGTACCTTGACGCCTTTTCCTTCAGTCGCGATACAAGATTGTATTTGCCAATCGCGATCCTTGATATTATGCAACCCGAGTCCTTCTGCGATTTCAGCCGCGGTTACAGCCTGTCCAAGATCTTGTTTGTTCGCATATACCAACAGCGGAACACCTCGCAGCTTCTCCTCCAACAAAAGTTCCGATAACTCTTGACCCGTTTCCTCTAGTCTCTTTACGTCCGCGCTGTCCACAACGTATATCTGTGCAATAATGGTCAAAAAGGAGTTAAATGTATCTGATATGATGCTACAAAAGAATTACCAGAACATCTGTATTTTCAAAATAGTTTCGCCAGTAGGGACGAATTTTTCGAGCACCGCCTATGTCCCACACATTCAATTTGAAGCCTTCGCTCTGCACGCTTTTTATGTTGAAGCCTTGCGTAGGCGTTACCTTGAATAAACAAAATATTTCATTAGTTCGAATCTGCGATAATAAAAAGGAATGTATTTCATACCTGTGTAATATCTTCGCTCGCTAAAGATCTTAATATTGTCGTTTTTCCTGCATTGTCTAAACCCAATAGTAACAGACGCAATTCTTTATCTGGATTTGAGCGTAATTTCCTCAAAATTGATAAGAGACCCTGTTTTAAAATAAAAATGTATCTTTAATATTTAATAAAATAATTAGAAAAGTATTGCATACAGTCAGGGGTGCGACAGTTTGAATTTGAATTTCGCGCCCAGTGCTACTCTAGCAGACGAAATCACTTTACGTCAGTGCCATTGCGTTCGAATTAGAAGGAAGGTTCTTGCAAAATTTTTTTTCATTCTTTTATTAATTTATGGATATATTTAGGGAATTGCGTTAGAAAAACATATTACAAATTAAATAGAGTATTTTCAATTAATAATACATGTTGCAAGAAGGTTAATTATGTTGAAACTTGAAGGTACCATGCTTGATAGGTTATGTCGTATGCATATTGTGTTTCAAAATGTACGTTTTGAACGAAAAAAGGTGCATTATGAAATAGAGTGCATTTAAAATCAGTGGTCTTTGATTCGTTACCATATTTTATTATTTGTAAAACGGGAACCAAAACAGGATAATAGTCGACTCGAACACGTCTACCGCTTGGTTATCCTCCACCCAATTTGTTGTGTTGTTTCTTTCGTATCTAAGGAAACTGATGCTATCTGTACCTTCTGGCCAATAATCTTCCAAGGTATTTGTATAGAACCAGCAGGTGCATATTTTGTTACATGTTAAAAATGAGGAATAGGTTTATTCTTGAAAAATTAGAATAAGAAAATAAACTGTTTATTGTATACTGTTTAGTTCCTATTTGTACTAATTAGTCTTATGCTCATTTGATGTATTCAATAAAGAACTATCATACTTTTGTGTACAATCACCTGATTTTATTTTTAGAAACATGTCACTTTATTACGCTGGTTTCAATACCAGCATGCTTTTCTATAAGGATGAAAATGTAATTTTTGCAGTAGATTCATTTACCAAAATTTCATTTCCTGAAATTACTGATTTTCAAATAGCTTGGGGTTATTTTCTGATTTGGAAAGGAAAAGAATTATATATTGTTAGGAAAGCGGAGGAAAATCATACAGATACAAATATGCAATTAATACAAATTCCAGAAACAGCAGTGAATAGGTATAACTTATAGATGTTTAATGAGTTTAAAGAAATCATCTTTTATGGTTCTATTATCTTTATAGTTGTAAACAAGTTGCAATTGGTAAAGACAGTATAATAATCTTATCAGACGACAATAAGATATGGCAATATAAGATCTATGAAAACTCTTGGAAAAAAGTAATCAATTTTATTTCTGCTGGCAGTGACTCAGAAAATGAGTATCCTGTTAAAATATTGCAAGGGGGATGTACTGTGGTTTTAACTAATCTAGGTACATATCTGGCATGCTTGTAATTTAAAAAACTTCCCAAGATTAGCATGATCACTTGAATTATGATTCAGGTAGAGCCTTCAATGTTCCTACCCTAGTTGAAATGCCAAAGAGGGTTCAATTCATAGATGTTGCATGTGGATTTGATCACACCATTCTATGTGCCCAAAATGGTGATATTTATTCAATGGGAATGGGAACGTATGTATCTTAATTATCAGAATGCATCTTAATTAAATCTAAAAATATCGACTTGTACAAAACTAGACGCGGTCAACTAGGACACGGTGATCTAGAAGACTGCGATAATCCTAAACTCATTGAAGCTTTAGCTGGTATCAGAGTAGTACAAATTTCAGCTGCTGGCTCGCATAGTGCCGTTGTAACAGAACAGGTACAATGAAATAAGTCGGACTAATATAGATCGTTCGCGTAATGAATTTTAAACTGTAGGGTGACCTTTACACCTGGGGATGGAACACTAACGGAGAATTGGGATTACCTAATCAGGAGAGCAAAGTAGTAGCTGTACCCACGTTGGTAGATTTCACGGACGATCAAAATAAAAACGTAGAGGTTATTGTTAAGAAAGTGGAATGCGGAAATAACTTCACTATTTGCATGATGGGTACGTGTTTAAAACCAGGCATTAACATTTCAGAGAAGAGATACATTTCGAGTAGGTACATATTTCTGTGATAGATGATGGCACACTTTGGGGTAGCGGATCCAACAAATACGGACAGTTAGGACAACCCCGTGATGCCCTTCCCGACACTCCTAAATTCGTCAAACTAAAAGTTTCGTTGAATTCCGAAAGAATTACAGACTTCAAGTGTCGTGAATGGGGTACAATGCTGATAACAGAATGAGATCATAATTTTTTACAAGTAAAATGTTACAAGCTGAAAATAAAGAGAATGTTTTCCAAAACGTTTGTCATTTCACTGTGGTTCAAAGACCTTCAACGCTTCGTTTGCATCTATCAGCGGTAAAATAAATAACCGCTTCGTTGTTAATATTTTCTCGTCGCTTAAAGACGGTGGAGGAGTTACAGGTACCTTATCATTTGCTTTACCTTTCCTTTTACCTGCAACAAAGTTTTATAATTTTAATTATAGTTCAAATAACAAAAATATGTTTCCAGTACCTGTAGTCATCCTAGCTTTTTCGATTGCTTTAATCTTTTTAACACTTTCACGAAGTTGCATATTAAAAGACATCGTTTTATCTGTAAACTTCACCGGACGTGGTGGCCGAAAAACGAATGGTAGATTATAAGTCTGCACCTCTATCGGTTCAACGAAAACTGCGTACACAAGGCTGTATCGTAACTCGTTGGCATACCTGTTCAATAAAATTTAATTAGTAAGTTTTTCCGTCGTATATCGTTTACTGTAATGAAACAATTAACTCGCATGTTGTATGTAGACTCGATTACTTTCTCCAGCGCGAAGAGTGGATCAATGTTACTCGAATGTTTGGGAGTTTCTTGTAACAATGATGAAAATTGACTTTTAAGCGTCTGTTCCGACTTACCCACATTTCTTCGTGGTTCGTTGAATTGTTCTTTCTGCAAACTATCGTTCACACGAATTGAATTAATGTATTTGGCTGAGTATTAAATAAAAAAAATGCTACTCTTTTGTGTATTCCTCCTCTTCTTCGGTTTCTTCTTCTGCGTCACTTTCGTACATAATTTCGTCCCAGTACAACAGTCTGTCCTGATTTGATACTTCCTCAGCTGCCGCCATAAAGATCTCTCTCATTTCTTTAAAAAATTCTTCTCGAGAATGGTGCCTCTCTGCTAATCGATGCAAGTTTGAAGCAGAAACTGTTGCCTATAAATAAGATACGAATTCGTTACCTCGAAGCAAGGTAATTTCTCCAATTAACCAGCTGATCAACACGCCCAAGTGATGTTCGTCGAGATCCTTGTGGTGATAGAGGAGCTGAAGGGCTAACATGTTCAGAAACCAAAAGGATGCCATGTTCGTCGCATAATCGGTGATCTCGAGAATGTTTCCCAATAATCTGTAGGAAAATTAATATTATGTGTATTAGTGTTAGTAATCGGAGAGAAGAGAAGAATTCAGACTCTATGAGATCCGCAGGTTTCTCGCTGTCGACGATGATCGGCACGCTCTGTAAACTCTTGAATTTCCATGGAAGGGTTGTCAAAAGTTTTCTGGCCAACTCACCGGAAGTGCTGGATCCATCGACGGGACCCGGTTCGGTTAGCTGTAATTTCGTGACCAATCGAAATTTCACGAATTCGTAAACCTCTCTCGCGTACGACGTTTGCACGAACAAAGTTTCCACGAACCGGCGAAACGCGTATCAAAAACAATCGCGACTAAAATGACGTTTCGCGAAATTCGACGAGAGTTTCCCTGTCAAATTTTCCATCATCTTGGACGCGATCGACCGACCGGTTCCGATATTTCTAACAGCAAACGTTGCAGACGAAACAATCCGAGTTACAAAGTTCAAACCTCGTTTCGAGTTTCGTACGATCGATAGCTTCTATTCTCGATGGTGATCGTTGAATCATGCGGTAAATTCGACATTCTTGGATATTTTTTACCGGACGAATCCTTCGAGACGATATCACAGGACACGTTTGAAGGATTGACAGTTTCTTTTGTCGAAACGGAGCAACGGAATCTGAGGAGGCGCCTTCGGGAAGCATCAATGAAAATAAAAAAAACAGTTCCCTCGTATTTTTTTTTTTTTTTGTATTCATTGATTTTATTTTTTAATTTTTTTTCCATATTTTGTTCAATATTTTCAGAAAATAACACTCCAAAGCGAAAAAACCGTATATTCTCACCAATCCCAATGTGTTTTGTATAATATATAGATATATATTATACTTCTCATATATAATATATATGTATATATAATATATAATGTATACTTTTATATTTTTATATATAATAATATTATGTAGAGTAGCGCACACTTTAGACTGTTATGTATCGATACTTTTTATAATTTCATCGATAAATTACAAATATTGAAAAACATGAAACAGACACAGCCGGCGGGGACGCGAGGACTTGAGCGTCCTGGGACATCTTCTTGTGGAACCGCGAAAAGAAAAAAGGATTCTTTTCTTGCGACTTCCGTTTCCCTCGATAATCTTTAAACAACTCATTTCGATCGACGACCGTTCGCGAAAAAGGGATCGAAACGAGGGAAGAGGCGGCAGACGAAGAAGAAGAAAAAAAAACGTTTGTTTCATATTTAATAAGAGGGTTTTGCGAGTCTTCCTTCGTTCGTTCCTTCAGGTCGTGTTTGTCGACGAAGCAGTGAGGGAAACGGGAAACGCGACGAACCGTGCACCCTCTCCAACCCTTGGAGACACCATTAATTACCTATAATATGTATATCAGTCGCTCGAAAATCCCCGGGTCCCGGCGCGACTGACATTTTTTTGTTGTATATTTATATATTTTCACACCGAAGTCAGAAAGGCAATACGCAGTATGAACTTACTTAGTACATTTGTGTGTGTATGTGTGTACGCGTATGTGTGTGGCTTTTACAACTATTATCCTTCTTTTTTTTCTTTTTCTTTTTTCGGTATGTTTCTCTCTCTGTTTTCTGTTCGTTTTATTTTTCCACGTTGGTTTTGTTACTGTCGTTTATTTTCATGTTTGTTTCGCGTTTGCTAGTGTTCGTTCGTTTGTATGTTTGCTTCCACGCGTTCTTCCTGCTTCTTCTTCATCTTCTTCTTCTTCTTGCTCTTCTTCGTATCTTAACAAACAGACTATCTTTTTTACGATTTCGATCGCAATCATATTTATACACCGTTTGCTATAGTTTCCTCTTTCTACCTCTTCGTCTTTAGCGTTTCTTTCCTGTTCCATTTTTCTTCTTGCTTTCTTTCTGCTTTGTTTTTAATTACCATTTTCATCTAAAAAAAAGAGTTATATACGCGTGCGTGTATGCTGTTTCATTCGATCGTTCGTCCCGTCTTTCCCCAGTTCTTTCCGAGTCACGAAAATCATCCGGGGATACCGTGAAATTAAAAAGGAGAGAGAGAGAGAGATATATAGAGAGGATAGACGAGTATTAAAGATAGAAGAGAAAGAAGCGCAAGAGAAGGGTGCTCGAAAGGGTGGTATCACAGGGAAGAAAATCGTATGCGGACGCAGCAGCCAATTAATTAAACTGAAACATAAAAGATAATGTAAGCAAAGCACAATCAACATAGATCGAAGCATCGAAGAAGAGAAAAAGGTGGGATTTGATGGAGAGCCGTGATTTCAAGTCTTTCTTTCTCTTTTCTACTTTTCCATCTAACGTAGTTAACAAAATTTTTCTTCTCCCCACTTTTGAAAAAATTTCTCTATCAATTCGATTGATCGTGTTCGATGAAAAGAATCGAAACACCGGAAACGATCGATATAATCGAAAGAAAGAAGAAATCACTTCGATCAAGCATGAACTTTCAACGAAGCGCAAATAAAAATAAAACCGAGGAAATTAAATATTTTCAATCGATTTTATTGAAAATAATACAACAAAATATCTCATAATAATAATAATAATAATTAAAAATAATTAATAATTAAAGATACGTACTGCTCTACTCGATATCTAGATAATCATGTCTTAGAACGTTGTTTAAATAATAATAATATTATCATCGTCATTAATCACTGTAATAAAATAATAATAATAAAATAATAATAATAAAGGCAATAAAGTTAATAATAATATTATATCGTAGAATAATGCATCAATAAACAAATTCAATAATCTACTTATTGGTTAATGATTCGTCATCGTCCTCGATCGCTATCAATGGATCATTTTTGTCTTTACCTATTCATTAATAATGGATAATTAATTAATTCATTAATTAAATTACACGTTGCTTGGATATGCACATAGAGATATAAAGTCGTTTTTGGTCCCACCTAACTGCAAACGTTATATTCGTACAACTTTGTTCCTTTTTTTTTTGTTTTATTTTTGTTTATCGTCGCATGGATCGCTTTATATGTATATGCTCGCGCGTGTTATATGTGTTCTTCGTGTGTGTATGTACGTGTTGCAAATAACTATTGTTCAACTATCGGTAAAGCTGTCGTTTCTCGAAGAAAAAAGAAAAATTTCTATTTCGCGTATACACATGACAATGTATGTTCCGTTTGCTCATTTCAATTCGCCTTCTGCTCTTTCGTTTTTTGTTTTTTTTTCTTTCTTTCCTTTCCCTATCGTTCCCCTTTTTATCTTTATCGTTTATTATCCTACGTTATCTGATAGTATCTCTGTTGTTTCGTATCTTCCTATGGGACTCGTGATCGTTCCCATCATGACGGTCGAATATAAGCAAAAGAAAGGAAAACGAAAAAAATAGAAGTCACAGCGTGTATGTATAATAATATCAGCAACGTCGCGACCGAAGGTGATATGCCGTTTTTTGGAAACTTCCTTTCCATACCTTTCGTTCTTACGTTTCGAACTGAATTTTCTACTTTTGATTTCGTTCGTTCTTCTCCTTACTTTTTCTCTGCCTTTGCTCGTTTCCTGGCGATCAACGGTCGCGTTGCTGTTCATCGAACATATATCTTTTGATACACTTTTTTTTTTCTCTGACTATTTGTTTCTTTCTTTCCTCTTCTTTCGCGTCCTTCTTTTTTTTTTATTTGTTCGTAAAAAAGAAAAAAAGAAAAAGAAAAAGAAATTTTCTTACAACTGGCATTTCATTACGCTCGTTTTATAATACGCTTAAGTTACCTAATAACATTACTCTCACTAGATACATCACCGTGCGATGAGGAACACTTTCGGCGACGTCTTCGAGCCTCGATCCTTTCCCCGACGGTCTCGAAGATGCGTTAGTTTAACGTCGCCTACACAGTTCATCCCCATTCACGACAACATTTTTACAGCCAATCGAGATAATTTCGACGAAGGGACCAACAACCCCCGGTGCCGATCCAATTAAACCTAATTCAATCTTTCGTATTAAGGCTAGGTTACGCGAATTTTATTTTACAATTTCTCGCACGAATACTGCTTCATATCAGTCGCATGTTCTTCCGTTAGTCTGGTTGCGCTCGTTTCGACGATTCCCTCGTTTCGCGATCTCGCTTAACACGTTATCTACCGTTCGCCGATCAAGTAAACGCAATTTAATAATAAATCAAGGCTAGATTTCAGTATTAATTCCTTTTGAACAAATTTCTGGTAGGCAAGGTGTTAAGCTTAAGTGACTTTATAAAGCTGTTTGAAAATTGTTCGATCGAGAAGCTAAGATTTTTGTTTGTTTCTATTTCGAGAGATCGATGCGAGAAGGCGTCGTTGATTTTCAATAAATCGAATAAATTCCGAACCAGACTGTACGCGGGATTAATGCCAGTTGTACGCTTCCTCGGAGACGACTAGTAACACTGCAGGGAAAAGCGCGTTCTCGCGAATGAAATTTAAAACGGAAACGCGCGCGGCCAACTAGCTAGTTAAAGAAGCTAGATTCTCGGAGTGGAATGTTCACGATTTATAGAATCACGCACGGTTTCCGCACACGAGAACGCGAGGTTTCCCTCTAGTCTCTTCGTTGGCGATTCTTCGAAACGATTGCCTTACAGTTTCACGGAACGGGAGTAAGAATCTTTGCGATTTTTTAGCCGAATCGTTTTTCATTCGTCCGTTTCTGTAAACCGTTCTGCAATCGATCGGTCGAATGTTCGCGTCGCATCGTTAACACATTTCAAATAGTATAACCTCACAACCATTTTGATAACAATCAATCTTCAACAAAAGAGTGTCCTACCTCAAAGAATCTTTAAAAAATGCGCCAACCTGCAAATCGATTTCCGTCCGGCTTCTACCGTTCCTCGCGTACCGATATACATGCTACTCTCGTATTCTGCTTTCTTCGCGGTAGAATGCCGAAAAAACGGAAATTAATGTTTGCCGGCCGACGTATCACATGTTTCAAAGCTGCGAACCACGTACTTGCGATCTGTTCGTCATTCGTCACTCTCTCGTTCAATCGCACTTTTCTCGAACGCGATTGAAATAAATGCCCAAGTTATGCCGTGTTAATCTTTCCCGTTCAAACTATCGGCACGACCGAGCGCACCAACCTGCTTCAAAGTTTCGCAAACAATTTCTAAGACAATTTCCCTGTATCAAGGCCAAGTAATTAACGATTACCAACTAGATAGGCTGGCTGGTGCGCGCGGTCTTCCTTAGTCACGCGTTTCCGATTCATCGGACGAATTCCGATCGAGCAGCGACAAACGGCGACGGTATCGAGGTCTGACAACCGGTCGAAGAAATCACCGTTCGTCCGACCGCTGGTCTTCCTTGCCCGCTAGTTCCGCAAATCAAGCGATCAACAAAAGTAACGTTACTAATTACACGATTAAAACGACACTCCTAGATCGCGCGTTAAACCGCCGATATAGCTATACAATTCGCTTGGTGGCGTACATGTACACGATTAGTACGCGCGGGTACCTTTCGTTTTGTTCGATCGTTGATTACCTGATCGAAAGGTATCGATATACCTTCGCACGCGATACATTGGTCAAACGTAATTCCCATCGACGAAAGGTTGGTCTATCGGTATACGATTGTGTACACGTTCGCGTAATCTTTCCCACCGAGTCTAAGTAAAGTATACGCGCAAATTTTTCGTATCGTGTTTCTGTGTGTGTGTGTGTGTGTGTGTGTGTATAAAAGTGTTTTGTAAAAGGTACAGGTGTTTAAGGTGTTCCGTCTCGTGATCGATCCCGCTTGTGTTCCTCCAACGAGCTCTCCCGCCTCGTTTCCGCGAAACGGGTTTAAAAAGGAATAAACCTTCGAAACGAAAGAAGGGAAGTGCGAGCTTCTGACCGGCGAAATAGAATAAGGAATGGCTGCCTGGCTGTGGAAAATACGGCCGGCAATGTTGCTCGCACTCGGACGTAGGGCAACCGTGGACGAACTCAAAGGGTCCCCCCGAGTTTTCGATCGAACGCGACTCTTTTGCTCGACGCATCTCGTATTTCGAGCAGCTCGCGATAGTTAATAATCGTCAACGAGATAGCAAGCGATCGGTACGCGGTGAGCGCACGCGCGCGCGCGAGTACGCGCTATAGGCGCCAGGCGCCAAGCGCCGTGCACCTGCGGCAACCGCGCTCGCTCGCGCGCCACACCGTCGCTTACACGTATTTATCTATATATGGGTGTGTGTATATATATATATAGATATACCTTCTTTATATATATATATATATTTATATATATAAACGACAGCGCCTACCGCCATAAGAATGACCGATAATCGATATATAATCATCGCGGTGTAAACAATAAATGGCGACACGTATATCGAGAGGTCTCGTTTATTTATAATATATATCTATGTAACGCTTTGGACGCGCCTTAAACTTCCTCCCTTTCGATACGAAACGATAATATATAACTGTAAAATCCATGTGGAATATAAAAAATATTCTCTTGACGTTTCCTACCTAACTATATGAAACACTGCGCTAAGACTGTATACTTCGTTACGAAACGTATATGCGCGCGCGCGTCTATGTGTACGCGTGTGTACGTGTTTCTCGTGTGTCGTTAGCAATCGCGTACGAGTATACTGTGTATACGGGTGTATATATGCATCTGTTCGTGTAGATAATATGTCTGTATGCGTGTGTACGATGTGTGTTGTATCGAGAAAATTGTTATATGCTCTAAGAGAGGCGAGGGCCAACCGTGGGGTCCGAATTTCGACGTATACTTTATAATCATATCCATTTTGTTAGAGGGGAATGCATCGGTTTGCAAATTACGGTTCATCGTTCGCGAGAAAAGATAATCGGACCTCTGGCAGGGATCTCGCCTCGTACGATGGTCACTTAATTCTACGAAGATATGCCGCTGAACGAAACAGGGCTGAAAGAAGGAGAGGTAGGGAGACAGCGGACAAGGGCAGGGACACAAGGGTGGAAACGTAGAGTCGAGACGGTCGGATACGCGATGCCGAGCGTCATCAAGGTACGAAGGTTGTTACCATTAACGCGTGCAAAAATGTTACGTGGGTTACGCATGCTTCCATTGTACTTGACGAGCGATTACGAGTGACTGGGAGGCAGGTGATCAAGGAGAGAGAGAACGAAACTTAAGCTGGGTGTACGAGTTTAGGTAGGAGGCGATGGGTGTCGACGCTCGACCGTGAATCGATCGATCTGCGCGTCGGAAATACACCGTGACATACGTATCGTGGAAACTTGGTGTCTCTACAAACGTGAACTACCTAAGAGATAAGCTTCCGGCGGGATTCAAACGACGCGTCGCTCGAAACGCGCCTCTACCTTCACGGTTTTCGAACCTTTCGTTCCGTTCCGTTTCGTGTTTGCTTTACAACACTGACTCTGTTGCGATCAGACGAGCGTTTTCGCTAGACCCTTCCAAGAGTGGTTCCGCGACAACTTTCCCAACTGTACCCTTCGTGTCAAATCGTAGCACCCAATGGTAGAAGATTTTTTGTTTTCTATATTGTATACTCGAATTGAACCGCATTTCATAGAGATTCGTTTGTTTCTTTGCCGCTTAAGTGGCGAATAAAAGCGAGTAAAAGATTCCACCCGTGAAAAGGTCTAATTTGTATGGGAAAAGCAGAAGGTGAGAAGACGCGCGAAAAGCAGCGGAATCCCTCGACAGTCGTTGAAACGCGTTCAACGCGCGCGACTTTTCGTTGAATTCGGGATTTTCGCTCGTCGGTGTGCGCTCGGTTTTCTCTATCGTTCGAAAGAAAATGCAGGAAATTCATCAGCCAGCTAGACTGTGTTTCGATCGACGAACGTCAAGAGAGCTCGTCGCGATTCTCACGGACTTGTACAGGGTGTAAGGGCTGAAAGGTGTACCGTTGAAAACTCGATGATGGAGGAAACAGTGTTACTGGTTGGAGGATTTAGCAATCGTGTCGTAATCGCAGCATCGTAGCGGCCTCGATGTGTAACGCGTGTTTCGGTTTACAGAAAGTGATGTGATACGTGTCCTACGCGGTATATACAAGGTTTGATTTCTATCCGAAGATCGGCAAACACCGCGTCGATGTTTGCCCGATTTATGCCCAGATTAGACTTACGGTCGATTAACGATCGTCTCGCGCGGCCTCGCCGTCTCGAAACAGCGCGAATAATTAAAAAAGAAAACGATCGACGAACATCCTGGCGGAATGTCAACTGAACGTTTGCCTTTCGATGCGATTCGTTCATGATTCTTGCCTTCGCGCAGAGAAAATCAGGGAAAATACGGATTACGAGTTACGTATTAAAAAAAAATGAAATAAGACGGAATGATCGTGGAATGACCGGTAAGAACGAACGATCGATTTGTTTGTTTGTTCCCTCAATTTGGATTGGTTCGAGTAAAATTGAATTCCGTTTTATACTGTCTTCGGAAAAAAAACTCTTAAGAAAAGGTTTGAGCGACCAACGTCTATGGAATAACTCGAAGAGTTTCGAATGATCGGTACTTTGGTATCGATACTCGTTTCGTTAAACATTTTCCTCTTTCTCTCTTCGCCTATCTACGCGAATTATTCGAGCCTTTTTCTCTGTTCTCGAGATACGTAAGTACTTTGAACGAAAAGAAGGAGAAACTAGAAAGCGCTCGAAGAAAGATACTCACGCTCGTAGAAGAAACTAACGACGAATGGGAGGTGCTGGTGCCTCGAAGGCGCGACAAGAAACGCGAGTAATCAACAATAAAAAAAAAAAAAAAAAAAAAGAAAAGTTACAAGAGACGAATGGTTACGAATTGCACTTGGATTGGTCAGAGACTGATAAGTCTCGCGTTATCAAACATAAAATGTTTTACAAAAAAGTAGTACCTATATAGTTACAAAAAAAAAGAACATACGTGTTTAAGAAATTAATCATCGTTCGCGCGTTTTTATTCGAAAGTAATCGATAACTTTGATAATTACATAACGATGGTAATAATAATAATAATAATAATAATGATAATAATAATAATAATAATATTAATAATGACGATGGTGAGAAATCGTAACGCCGATGATGATAACGATATCGATGTTAACGAACCGCGACGATAATGACAACGAAAATGACACGGATAATGATAATGATAAGTACTATATATCGATTAACCTATTAACAAATGCACGATTACGCAGAGGCACACACGCAGCAATATACATACAACGTATTCACAAGGGACGCGAATCCTTCAAACACTCTCGAGGTAAACAAAATTCTAAACTAAACGATACCAATAATAATAATATTAATAATAATAATAATAATAATAATAATAATAATAATAATAATAATAATAATAATAATAATAATAATAAGGATAATATTTGTAACAATAATGACACACTGATAATGTATGCTTGCATGCGCGTGTGCCTGTGTGTTTTACTCGAACGCATGCCCGTCAAATTCGCAAATATTATCTCCTCTAACAATGGTAGCGCTAATAATAATAATAATGACACTTACAAATAGCGATGATAATAATAATAATACTAACTCTAATAATATAGCTATCAATAATAATAATAATAAAAATATTAACCATAATAATCTGAATAGCAATAATAATAACAGCAAATAATACGCGCAACTAAATCAATGAGTCTTGTCGTTAGCGCATGCAGCTGAGCGCAAAGGAGCGCTTCTTCGTTACGCGACAATAATCGTCGTAATTACAAAAGCTCGCCGGAACAATTAAGTATGCCCTGGTCACGATCGATCGTTCTCGACCGGCAACGCAAAAATATCCTACTGCTATATTCTTTTGCTTTCTTTCTTCTCTTCCTCAATTCTCTCACTTTGAAAATGGAATCGACGCGAAAAAGGCAACGCAACGTCGTACCGCGAAATTCGTGTTTTTCTTAGAGAGCACTAGGCTAAATTCAGCATCGGGAAATCGCGGCGAACCTCCGCTCATCTCGTTATTATTATACTCTTTCCCCTTATTTTCTCTTTTCGCGAATCACTCTGTACAGTTTCACCCCCCGAGACGTTTCACCCGCGTCTTTTCACAGCCTCGCGGTCCACGATTGTTCGTCGAACGCTTGCTTTTATCCGCGCTCCTTCAACGGCGACCACCGACGACGATTATCGAAAAATCTCTCGTTCCCTTTACAGTTTCTTTTTTTTTTTAAGAGCATATAAAAAGTCGTGTGGCACATTGACGGTTGGAATGTTATCATTGTTTCATTAAATTTATAATAAGAATCATAATAATTAATAATAGTAGTAATATAGTACTTCTTTGTGTTATTTATAATATTCTTTTATGTATGTTTAATAATTAATTAATAATAATAATAATATATATATAATATATATATACCTTTTTTTTGTTTAATTAGAGTAGTTTGTTTCCTCTGCACTTATCGTTTATGTTATATTACTTTTTTTTTTTCTGTGCTGACTGCGGGTTTTGATTTGAGGGGACATACGCCCGGCTCTGAATCTCGATCGTTTCGCCCGTCGATTCTCTCGATCGTTTTGCGATCGAACCCGATCGGAATGAATCGTACGGGCGAAACGCGTTCCCAGAGAACGGAAAACCGGGCGATCCTTGTATTTGCATTGCTCTTCGTGGCATCTGCGTTTTGCTTGAATCACTGCTGGATTATGTGAAATGTAGAGATTTATTAGCTGTAATATATAATGTATATATATTTTGTATAGCTCGAGGGCACGGCGATCGTTGCGAGCGTGGAAAAACGTCTCGCGATCGCGACGTGGCCTGGCTCAGACAGAGAGAGATGTCTATTGTAGCTGCTGCTGCTGTTTTTGTGTGTTGTTGCCGGGTTGTATTGTTCTCGGTGCCCGGGCGAGTATGCAACCCGCGGCACTCGGGCGCGGGATCGCGATCGGACGTATCATCGACGCCGCAGCGCGGTTCGAAGACGAAGAAGAATTTCACGCGTTTGTTTTTCCACTCGCGTTGAATATCTTTGATCTTCTCGTCGTAAGATGTTTTCGAACCGTGCAGCGTCCGTCACGAACGCGTCCCGCTTTCAAACTGCAAGGAGACGACTGGTATCGGGAGGCTGCGATATCTGTTGTAGCTGTATGTAGTAGTAGTACTAGTAGTAGTAGTAGTAGTATTAGAAAGCAGACTGTGTGTACTGTTTAATATTGCTGGTGTTTTCGTTTAGCGTGTCACCGAGTGTGCGTGTGTGATCGAAAATGTGGCAGGTGAATTTGTCAAAGAGCGTTTGCCATAGGTTGTCCGGATGAGGAGTATTTGTTCCAGTGGATGGATGACGACGATCTGTCCAATATATGGGATTGTTTGGTGCGGAGGAGGGATCGGAGCGTTGAGGATATTCTTTTTTTTTTCCTTTTTATCCTTAGATTCGATTGGATTCGTAGTTTCTCTTTTTTCCCCTTAACTACCTCTTTAGCATTCGAACGGTTACTTTAAACGTTAAAAAGTTTTGTAGCGTATCGAAACATGCGCCTGGCCTCGCCGAATTTCGGCGGGACGTTGAAGGGACGGTGAGCGTCTCAAACGACAGGATTCTTTCCTTCATTTTATAATTTTTTCGTTTTCGTATACGTAACGCGCCTCTCGGACGCGTGTGTTTTGATTGATTTCACCGACAGTTCAGCGTACTTGGTCCGTAACTAGTTGGTCGTACTTTGAACTTCCAGTGCGTGTGTTCCAGAATGATTTTGGTACAGACAGGTTTGATTGAAGCACCGAGACCTACGGCACCGTCGTCAACGTCGTTAACGAGCCGATTTCTCTGATCGTTTCTCGACGATAATCTTTTTTTATAAAAACGTTCGTCGAGAAACGATTCGTTCGGCTCGTTTCTTTCTCTGAAAGTTAGACCGCTCTCGATGGATGATGCGGCGAAGCCAGGCTTACACAACGACGGTATAATTCGACGAACGAAAAAAAGGAACGAAACAACACGATATTAGAAACAACTAAAGCGCCAAACTACGAGAGTACTATCTGGTGGTAGCATACGTAGTAGCAGCGCCATTTACCTAACCATTTACGCTACTAGTCGAAAAAGTGTAGGCTTAGCCGGTGCCGAACCTTCATCGCCTCCGATCTGGTCCACCACCCTCGCGGAAATGAGATCCGCGACCGACGAGGACGCATCGCTCTTTGCCGCGACGCAACACCGACTCACTTCGCTCCCTTAAACCTCGAGAATAGGAACATGAGAAAGTAATTTCGACTCGTGTATGGAACAAGAAGTAATTGTACTTTAAAGAATACATCACCTTTTTCTTCTTTCTTTCTTTTTTTTTTTTTTTCATCTATCTTTCTTTCTTTCTTTCTTTCTTTTGGATGGACGAATATAACAATATATATTTATCTATGTATATATAGACCTTTGCACGACGAACTTCGTTCTCACCCGTTGCCTCGCTTCACGCCGAATCACGCGACACGAAATTACTCCAGACAAGACAAACGATCAATAGTGTTTTTCTTTATTTCCTTTGTTCGCGCATCGGCGAATCGACGAATAGTTCAGTCGGTCGATCGGTCGATGCCGGCGAAATTCGTAGAAAACATTTTATAAAAGTTCAATGAAGCTAGTCGTTTCGAACGAAATCTCGCGTGAACTGTCGCGCGAGACAAACCGTCGCGCTACTACACGCTCGCGAATGAAAAGAGAAGAGCTGTTGAAAGGCTGGCAGCGAGAACGGATGATTTCGCGTTCGTTCCCAGCTGTCGCGAGAGAGCTCTGCAAAGAAAAATCGCTGTCAGTCGCAATACGAGGAGGGTCCGCGATTCGGGCTGATGTCGGAGGCGTGGTCGAGCACCGGCTTTCACCGTCTTTTGCCATTCTCGCTGCTCGAATCTTCCGATTGTTTCTTTTCCTTTTTCTTTTTTCACATTTTTCTATTTTCTTCTTTTTTTTCTTTTTCGTCGTAATATCTCTATCTACCTATCTATTTATCTTCCTTCCCAGGCGCGCCAGTCGCGTGCACCCACGGGTGCACCCAACTCGCGCGCGCTTACGCGTCAGAAGTATTCGTAACGTTACCGGTGTCGTGCCGCACGTCGAATCGACTCGTATTTTGAACACAAATCGGCAAGTACGCGTATACGAATCCACGGGAAATGTACCCGACAACTTTCCGTGCTTTCAGAGTCATTGCATGACTAGAGCCTACAAACTCGTTAAAGCCAATTAGAAAAGGTACCGTAAGTTTTACACCGACCATCTCTGACCGTTTCTCTGCTGACTTTCAATCTTTTTGATCGTCGATCTAACACGATTCTTTTGCTTAAGTCTGTCTCAATGAAATTTGGAATTTTCAGCAATTACTAATCTCTAATCATAAATCTCTAATTCGAGAACGATCAAAATGGCACAGCGTATCGTATCTTGTCGTCGAATCGACGTCGGCTTTATGTTTGTGTGTGTCTGTGTATGAGTGTGGTTGTGTAAAAATGTACGTGTCCCCTGTGTTCTCTTGTACGTGTACGTGTTTAACGCGTGTCTGTACGTGTACTCTATACGTGAACGACAGGCCAGCTCTTCGTTGATCACGAAAATCCCAACATTCGAGAATGCGTGAATTGAAAATAGAATTTAAAAAACGGTAACCTAGCGCGTAACAGTTCGTTTTCTTCGCTTTCCTTTGACGCTTGTTTAACGCGTGTAAATGTATGGAATTGCGTGTTAGTCGATGTCGAGGAACGTGTTACTTCGTGTCAACGAGGGTGTGTGTGTGTGTTGTGTTGTTTGCGTGTAATGTAGGTGTACCTAATTGCACTTATTCGACAAAACGGAACGTAAAAGTGAACGCAAGATGGCGGTTGGACGGCCCTGGAACGTGTACGGAGGTAATATACTTTTAAAATTTAGTTTTTTTTTTTCTTCTTTTAAAGTCGCCCATCTCGTTTTCTGCCACCCCTTGTTCCCCCGCTCACTGCCTTTCCACGCGTACCGAAACCAACCCCCCCAACATTCGAACTAAAGCTCCAGTTTGCTGCTACGGGTATTAACATTCGTCGTTCGTTCTGTTGCGAGTCGTAAAAACGTAACGTCGAAACTTAGGCACAATTTGGAACTGTTTAGACCATTTCTACACAACCCCACCCCAACCAAAATTCGCGCGCACCCTGCTCGAGGAAACTGGACGTCGATCAATGGATTTTTCTTTCTTCATCTTGAATTCGCGTTAACGCTGAAAGGAAAGGCCGAAATCTTTCAGAAAATAGTAGGACTTTTGAACGAGAATTCGAGCCATCAAGGATGCGCGGGTCTAGTTTCCTGTCGCGACGGAAACGCGCGAACATCCCCCTACGCAAACCGTACCAAAACGTGACGATGCTCTGTGAGGTAGCTGACATTGAGCCGTTTCAGGGCCAATCGGACCAAATCTTCCAGTTTTTATTTTTATCTCAGCCCGTGTTCAACGAACGGAGAGACGAGCGATCGAACGTTCAATTTCGGTAAATAGTCGAGATTAATTTTTACCTTTTCTCTCGAGATAAAGCGACGAAAGAAGTAGAAAATAAAAATGAAGAAAAACGGGAATCTTTGGACCCGACTTTCCGAGCGATGCCCGCCATCTTGGTCCCATCTGACCACCGGTGTGGATAAACGTAATATCTCGCGATCTCGCTTCTCCCATATTTGTTTCCTTTTTTATTTTTTATTTTTTTTTTTTTGCTTTCTTTCTTCCTTTCATTCATTACTTTTGTTTGTTTGTTTCTTTGTTCATATTTTTCATTTGTTTGTTGGCTTTCGATCTGCTCTCCCTTTCTTACTCGTCATTTTGTCTCCGCACACCGTAATTACAATAGTATTTGTTTTTTTCTTTCTCATTATATCCGTAATCTTACACATATACACTAGCTGGTTACAATAATTTGTGAAAAATATACATCAAAATTTTGTTACTTTTTACATCACAGATACTTTAATATAATATATCTTCTTTGAATTCTTAAAGATTTCTTTTTTTTTTTTTTCCTCCCCGTTTTCGACCAATCCGTCTCTTGCCGGATCGTTTTCTAGCGTATCGCCCGCGACGTGAAGGGAGACGACCGGAAATCTGCCAGCGAAGGCTACTTTGCGTCCAAACGGTACTTTTCAAAGGGAACGAATTTTCTAACATACACCACGAAGTTTCGAATTTTGTCAACGAGCTCGATTCGTTTCTCGCGGATTCGATCCTTCGCTCGAGCGTCCCGCCGTCTCCCGAAAGGAACCGAAATGAAAAGAGAAAAATAACGTAAATCGACACATTTTCATCCTACAGTCGCGTTGGCAACGATATCTGCCCTAGCCTGTGTCACTAATACTTCTCGCGAATCTCTACTTACGTTCTCCTTTGAAAAAACACGAAATTTCGATATTAGAGAATATATTATACTCCCTCTTAAAATCGCAACAACGACTAACCAATGGACAGCTTCTTTAATATTTCCGATAATGTTTAGAATCACAGAACGTTATCCAATTTTTATCTTGTCATCTCTCTCTCTCTTTCTCTCTCTCTCTCTCTCTCCCGCGAAAAGCAGAGAGGCATCTTTCTTCCGTTGTAGGCGCGCGTGCCTCGTGTCAAAAGAGGCTTGGAATTCCTTCGGCCGGAAACGAAACGTACCGTGCTCGTTACACGAAATCGCTGCGGCAGACACGTTGACGCGACTGTGTGTGTTGTTATTGGGAAATCATTATACGGCAGCCTCGTTAATTACGCCGTTGGCGCCGATCGTCCCAATTGTCACGACCCAATCGTCTCGTTTTCAACGAACGCGAACGAGACTCGCAGTTGCCGCGTGCCTAATTTGTGCAGGAGACGAGGCTGTCGTCGTCGAACCAGAAACTTCTCACCCCCCCCCCCCCCCCCCCCCCCTGTATCAAATCTTATCGATCGATCTTCCAAGATATACACGGACCAAATTATTTTTGATTATCCTCTTATCACCGTAAACTTTCGAAACATTATTGTGCGTTAAATCATCGAATCGAATCGAACGTACAAAATTTCACGCGCCTCTATTTAGTTTGTTTAATTTTGAAACGAACGTGTCAATGGCTCGAGAAATCGAAAGAATCTGGTCGATGGATCGACGACGACGGTGTTCGGCTCCCGATTAATGGACGCGTGTAGAACGTCGCGACGTATACCTTTGTAACCGTAATTGAATTAACGACAATCATAATGTACGCACGTTTTACAATCATCCGCACGATAAATATTCATTTTCCACATCTAACGATAAATCTTTTCGGGGTAAAGGGGATATTTATCGGGACATATTTCTTTCATCTATCCCGGTAAATTGGGGTAGAAAAAGGTGGTGAGGGGTAATCGAAGGAAGGAGGGAGGGATGGAGCGAAGGACGATGTTTGAAACGAGTGTAAGAAATAATTTTTTTTTCCTCTTGTTTCGATCGGTGTGGTGCCTAGTGAACGTTTAGAAAAAAAAAAAATGTTACTTTTCTTTTGAGGTATCGAGTAGTTAAGATCACATCGAACGATTTACAAGTTTGACGCGAAGCGTGTGGTCGGCTTGGGTGATGAGCGATTAAAAATTGGGAGGGTTGGTGTTTGGTCAGTGGATACAGGGATAGAAGGAAGGTTTAAATTTACGTTTACACACAATCATGATTAGTGCTTGCATTTCGCTTGTGTTTCTGCTGTTCAGCAATTTCATTTTAGTTTGCTTTCTTTAACCCTAACGAGACCTTAACGTTTACACTCACAATCAATTTACTTGTTTTATCTTGTTCTCCGACGCGCATCACCGCGCGGCTGGATTTGCACCCTTGTTCTTTTTCCCCTTTAGAGTCACCTCGCTTTGTTAATTCACGGTTTTTTTGCTTTAAGTTTACGGGTAAATTTGTTTAAGTTTAGTTCCAAAAAACACCGAGAGAGAGATAGTTAGCCTTGCTTACACGATTTTACTTGTATTATTATTATACTTTTTTTTTTTTATTTCTTTATCGTAAGGTATAATTTTTTTATGCGTTAATAAGGAATTTTTGCGTATTTTTTTCGTTTTTTTTTTAAAACACCGAACATACATGCCTTATACTTTATGTACAGCCTAGAGTCTTTCAGTCGTTACTTTGTTTCAAAGAGAGTCATGAGATTAATGCGTGAATTATCCTTTCGTTTCCTCTGTCCTCGTCCATTTTTTAAGTTCTCCTTAGAATCGACTCGATGAATCCTCCGTGTCAAGCGAGAAATACAGGACCGACACGTGGATCGCGTCCGACGACGCGTTCCACGTCCCGGCTTTTTCTCGTCCAACCCCTTTCTACTTTCTCTCTTTTTTCATTTTTCTCTTTCTTTCACTTCTCCTATGATTGGCTAACGAATCGTACTGTTTCGAATCCGTCGGTTTCGTCGTTTTCGTCTTGGTCCAACAACGTTCTCCTGGCTCTCGAATACTACAGCTAGCGAAACGACGAAATCGCAACCACGCTGTTAAAACGTGTTCACCTACATATTCAAGGATCTCCTTCTGTCGTAACGGAACTGTATAATCGGATAATACGAGAAGATACCTCGATAGTCGCGCGCACGACGCTCATGGACAATCTGCGAAAAAATTAGTCAAAAGAGGAGGGACTGGCGTTCTTCGTGTCGTCGTCAGAAAAATCCTCTTCCCCATGATCATCAATCTCAACGACCGGATCGAACTTTTCTCTTCTATCGGTTTTTTTTTTTTTTTTGCAAAAATCAGAGAACATTCTAGACACGCTAACGTCGTCGTCGAAACGATCGATAAAAGCTTTAAAAATTTCTGTAATCCCTGAAAAAAGTACGAGCGAACAACCTAACGTGCTTTTCCATCGGTTGGTCGAACTTGTTCGGATAATCCTCGAAGAACTTGATTTTCGACTCGTTAGGATTTCATCTAATTCCACCTACGTTTTTCGCGCGTTTCTCGTCGCCGTGAGGAAAACACACACCTTCACGAATGCGTGGAGAATTTAACAAGGAAGAAACACAGCCAGTGTCCAATCCTGACGAATGAATCGGGTGAATGTTTTCCCCGCGAAGAAGAAATTCTACGAACGCCGCCGCTAATGGTTGCTTCTGTATTCCGTTTTTCTTTTTTTCTTTTTTTTTTTTGCTTCTACGAGATAGAAAAATTGCATTCGTATCAAAATGTGTGGGCGTCGCCACGCGTAAGAAAAAATTTTGCACTTCGGTAACCGAGTCGAGAGCAAGCGCGCGCCTATACAGTGATCCCATTTCGTGAATCGGTGAAAATTTCTCGCTGAATTTTCGTCGTTGCATTCGCCATAGATTCCCTCGAGTTCCACAACGGGGAATAGGATCTTCGTCGACGAAGAAATCGACTCGAAACAGACGAAAAACTTTAACGAGAGTTCGCACAATTTTCTGCAATTTGTCGAAATGTCTTTGTTTAGAGAAAACATCGAACTCGAATTCCTCGTTGACGAAGAACCATCTTCATTTTCCTAATTTTTTCCTCCCGAGAAAAAAAAAGTGTAAAAAAAAAAAAGAAGAAAGAATGAAATAGCAACTTTTTACCCCTCGTGTCCTCCTTCCATCATCCCCCTATTCGTTTCTACCGAACGCCAGCCTCGAAATAACCGAGATTAGAGAAATATTGTCGCCTCGTGAAAAAACGCCACCTATACGCGCGCCAACAAAAGTCTTGGCTCGTTCTCGTTTTCGCACACGTTCGTAATGACCAAAAATATATATGTGTGTATATATATATAATATATCATTCCTTATATAATTATGTTGCTCCTTACGAGTTAAGTAATGTTAGTAGTAGGTAATAAGTTTTGCGTTAGGTAGCTTTTACATCGACAGAGGAAAATATACGTTGTTGCAATTAGTCAGCAATTTGTTCTCCAGTGTTCTCCCCTCGTGTTGGAAAAGTGTTTTAGCGGCCAACGTTACCGCGCGCGTAATCGGCCGGGAAACCCCGCGGAAAATTCATCGCGCGCTCCTCCTTTTACCCAACGTGTATCTTTCCTACGGACGCGTGCACGCGTGGACTCGTGTTTATATAGGTGCTGCTCTCGTGTGTGTGTGTGTGTGTGCGTGTGTGTGTGTGTATATGTTTTGTTTTAATTTGAATTTTCCCCATGAATATCGCCCATAGATCACCGTCTTTACGACAATGTCAGAGGTATCCACGCGTCTACGTACCGTATGGTATCGCGTTTCTGTGTACCAGTGTATGCGTGTAAAAGGTAGTGTTTGTTCGTGTACGAGTTTTGTACAATAACATCGCATCGTGTCTCGTTTCCGTTTCTTGCGTTCTGTTCGAATCGAAATATCGCCATAGTCGAAAAAAAGGTTCCGGTACGACCTACCGTCAGCTGGACGGTGATCGACTGCCGGATACGTGTAACTGATGGAATAGCAATGGGTTCGTGGATGGTTGGATAGCGTTTACGCTGTGTTTTTTTTTCTTTCTTTTTTTTTTCTTTCGTTATTCGTTTCCCTTTTCTTTTCTCTCTCGTTTCCTTAACGCTTCCTGTTTTGAACTTGCCTCGCGACGTTCGAGGGGCTTCCGGATGGAAAGGGCAGGGTCAGGCTAGGGCCACTACCACGTTCGTGCCACGTTTCGCGTTTTGTCGAAACGTCCCTCCCTCTTGGTCCTACGCAGCCAACACGGACAGAGGAGGTGCTTGTTACTACTCGCCTTTCGTGACCTCCTCCACGAAACGGTCGCATTCGCTTTCACGAGTCAACGCGACGCGTGCTGCTCCATTTCCGGTTCTTTGTTTGGCAACGACGGCCGACGGAGCGGCGTTCACGAGAGAGCACCGATTATCGAGCACGTCCGCGGAAAAGGAGGAAAACGCGGAGCGTGCAAACTGTTAGTAGCGAAAGGGGGAGAGAGGTTCGCGCAAGGCGAGTAATGTATATACCCCAATCCCCCACGTGTGTCCGTGACGTGGCGATGCGTAAAACGCCGCAGCATTGGGCGGGAATCGGCTTATCGTATTAAAACGAATCGTTCGCCATACTCTCGTTATTCTATACTTTACTGATCAACGATACCGACTTTTTTTTCCTACTGCTCAACGGAGTCTTCCATAGTGATCACGGGGCCGCGCTGCTCCGCCGATTGTTGGCTGTTGGTCTGCTCGCCGGACCTGTTGCTTCCGGTACCGTAACCCCGCTGCAGTTGCACAACCAGTCCGCTCACTGCACCGTACTCTTTCGGCTGTTGCTGTTGTGGCTGCTGCTGCTGCTGCTGCTGTTGCTGCTGCTGCTGCGGCTGAGTCTTCTGGCTCGAATGATCTACTATAAGCTTACTATCACAGGCACTTTTTTTGTCAGTTGATACGGCGTAGAGATTGTGTAAGTCCGGGTAATGATTTTGCTGCTGCTGCTGTGGCGGCTGCTGAATGGTCAGAGTCTTTCTATCGCGATCCTCCTGTCCACCATTGTGAACCTCGCGCTCCCTGCTACTACGATCGATCCTCGAGTCACGAGTACTGTCGTCGTCCCTGCTTCCGGCTCTCGATACGGAGAGCGGAGTGGGCGGCGAGGCGAGTCGATCGCTACCGTCGTCGGCGCGACCCCGTTCCGACGGGGACGGGCTCAGATCGACGGTGGGCACGCGTTCCGGTCTCTCCGGCACTGCTCTGCCGGCAGTCGATGGTCCCCTGTAACTCTCGTCCTCGCTGCTATCCTGTGCCAGCCTCGGCACCGGCGTTCTCCTCGAGTTTCTGCACAGTTGATCGATCAACGCCTTGCTCCTCATCGCTTCCGGCAGCTGTTGTTGTTGTTGTTGTTGTTGTGGTTGCGAGGAACTCTGCTGTTGCTGCTGCTGCTGCTGTTGCTGGCTCCTCGTCTCGGTCATTGTTCGCTGGTCCCTTGGAATGCCCGTCTCGAGGCTCGACCTGATCAAATTGTCCAAGAAACTACCGTTTGCACCCGAACCGTCGTATAAACTTTCCGACACCTCCCGCGGCGTCTTTGTCATCGGGGTGCTACGAGAATTCGAGGTGCCTGGCGACTCCGTGGTAGCCGCGGCCACGCCGATTCCATCTCGGTCTCGTTGTTGTTGTTGCTGTTGCACCATAGCCGCGCTTCTCTGTTGCTCTTGCAAGCCACGAATCCTGCTGGAAGCAAAGTATTGTTCCGGCAGGATCGGCGGAACGTTCGCCGCACCCGCCATGAAGGGGGTCGGCATGAACGGCGTCGGACTCCAAAAGTTGAACGGCGCGAACGGTAAATGGGGCATGCCCTCAATGAACGGCGGCATTTTCAGTCCGTTCGGGCCTGGAATACCGGCCGGTGGTGTAAAAGGTTTCTGCGGTTTCAATTGCGGTTTCTTGTCGGCTGTACCGGGTCGTACGTTCGCAGCTGCCGCGGCCACCGCCGCGGTAGCGGTCTCCTTCGTCTTGTCGTCCGATTGCTTCTGGTCCCTGCAAAAAGGAGCGATAACGCGAGTAAGCGTAAAGGACGGCAGCATAGTTTTCAGATAACAGGAGATACCTACCTCTTTCTTGGCCTCATCAGGTGCCGTTCCTTCACTTTGTACTCGAGGGTGGAGTGCGGCACTCCGTAATAGCTGCCTGCACGATGAACGCTCATTTCACCCCGTTGAACCGCGCGTACAGCCTCGACCAGGCTATCCCTGTCGTAATTTCTATATTTGCCGCGTTTCGGTCTGGTTCCTTTGCCACCGGTGGCGGGTTTCTGTTTGTTCGCATCTTGGGTCTGTTGCGGCTTCGACTGCGATTGGGCCGGTTGCGTGGTCGGCTGAGGTGGCGTGTATCTACCTCTCTTGAACGGACTCGGATCCGTCATCATCGTCTGCTGCGGTTGCACTACACCCGCTGTTTGGCATCCAGGAATTCCACCCGCTGCCACCGATTGACCCTCTTGGAATTTCACGCTGATGCTCTTTGCAATGACGTCGCGGAAATTCACCGCTACCGTCTTGCCGACCAACGAGTTGGTCGGGCTGCTGGTACCGGAGAAGGCCGGGCTGGCCCGTTCCAGGAGGCCAGGACTCGAAGCGGCAGCCGCGGCCGCGAAACTTTGAGCGAACGCGGCCGAGGTTGGTTCGCCGTTCTTGCTGGAACATCCGGGTGTGCTCGCGGGCTTGTAGGACGGAATCTTCAGAATCGCTCTGCCCTGAGCGCTGTCGCTCGCCTCCTCCTCGATGTTCGGATTGAAATCGTCGTTGGTGATCGGACCGCGTTGCTGCTGTTGTTGCTGTTGCGTCTGCGACTGAGACTGCCCTTGCGAGTGCGACTGATGATGATGAAGCTGTTGATGCGCTGGCTGCGACTGGTCCCCGTTTACGCTCTTGTTTAGCCTCTTATCTTCGCTCATCAGCCTTCTCATCACCTCTGGAATGCGATAGTCTTGCGTTTCCATACCTGCGAACAATACCACCTCGATTTTGTCGTTTCTTTCGCGCCTAGGTGAGCATTTATCTTAAAGCCGGATTAGTATTCGAGAACCGTTTACAAAGTTAAGCGAAGTTCCGTTTGGAAGGTGAAAAAAAAATAAGGTGTCGGCGACCCGTCGACCGGGGCCTGGCTTCTATCGATTTCCGAAGACCTACTAGCTCTTAATATACTTTTCGACTTTCGTCTCGGCCCTCTAGACTAGTTGCTCAGTCAGCGAACGAAATGACCTAACGTCTATGTCTGTCGGAAATAACCCGAATCCCTTGTACCGACAGATGCAGACGTTCGCAACCGTTAATACTAGCTAGGTAGGTCGGTGTGCTCGAAATTCCATGGAACCAGCCAACTCGTAATCTTTATTAAATCTTACCCTTAAATGGCGCAGCCGCTGCGAGCATCTTTTGTATGTACGGACCGATGTTGGCGTGTTCAAGACCTGGCCATTCGCCTCCTGTTTCGTGTCCTCGTTGAAGCAACGTTCTCAACGAATCACCGCCGCTTCCTTCCAGGGCGGAGAACCTGACGAGATCTTCCAAGGACAACAGTGGTTTCAGCAAAGCTTTTTCCACTTCCTTCTCCTCTTCGGCTCCGGACAGTTCCTTGTCGTCCACCTGTTAAGAATATTTTCTTTCTAGCGTTTTCTGCACACCCTAACCGCGGGGACAGATTCAAGTTTGGATTATTCATAGCAATGTCCTCTCGAGGAAGCTCATTCTATGCCTTGATTCTCGTTATCGGCTCTTCGTCGAGAGGCACTTTTCTTCTGTATGCGTGTACGTGTGTCTGTGTTGTAACCGTGTTTGTTGTCCAGGTAAGTAACTCTTCTTTCGACAAATGCAAAATGACCAAGCGTCATGCAGGGAATTTACCAGAAAGAATTGTTCGCAGAAAAAAAGCGTACGCAAATAATAAATCGGTAAAAGAAAATATGCTTTTCTCTTCTTATCGTTATCATTTTCCGCAGAAACAGAAAGAGAAAGGCAAGGTCGAAAATTGAGAACCAGCTTGGGAATGTTTTACTCCTCGACGAGCAAAAAGAGACCGACGCTACACACCAACACTTACCTCGCAAACATTATTCAAAGTACATGCATTCGGATCAAAAATAACGAAATAAAAAGAAAAACATGATCTACCGAAACTAAACTACCCGCGCTTCTTCTAGCAACACCAGCTGAAACTTCGTTCAAATGAAAACTAAAGATCAAAGACTAATTTTCCATGAATTTTCCGAGTATCCTGGAAAGTCAGTCCTTGACACAGCTTTGAACGCTTCGAAACAAAGCCACGCCACGTGTAAGCATGCCTTTCTAGAACATTAGTGTGAAAAATTATATGAGGGCGTGTATATCGAACTAACGCAGCTTCATTAAAAAGAAAAAAAAAAGAAAACTATCGATGCAATTTTCCTAACATTCCATCGGAATCGGCAACCGGTGCTGAAGCACAATCGTCGCGACGGTCTAAACACATCGAGGATGCACAGTGTGTCGAGGTTGAACAAGCGTAATCTTGGTGACACCGGAATTCGAAGGGTTTGTTAACCCGCCGCGAACAAAAAAAAAAGGAAAAAAAAAAAGAAAAGGCTCGCCCAATCCAAGAAGAATTTTCCTCTCGATCGTTCCGCAAAACTTACCTCGAGTCTTGCAACCTCGCCAAGACCAAGCGGCCGCGTGTTAAACTACAAAAATAGTGAGACAAAGGAAACAAAGAATTAAACAGCCCATGCAAAGAAAACATTCGACACTACTGAGCATCACGGCAACCGACGAGGAATCGCGTGAACCGACGATTCGCTCTCGCCTCGAGGCGCCCAATTTATAGATTATCCTCTCCTCTTGTTCGTCGTTCTTTCTCATTTATTTTCTCGTCAAGGAAGAAGAATGAATGCTCGAACGACGGCAAAACAAGTAGATACTATCGCGCTCCATCGAGATTCGGTCCACGCGAATTCTACGATCACCGTGGCAGAGGTATGTTTTGGGGAAGCTCCATTCGTTCTTCCTAACCAAAACCACATTTAGATACAAATGGGCAGTATTTATTCGCGAATCAGTTATCGAGAACCATCTTTTCCTTCTTCACACTGTATCGTACTAACGTCCCCCTAACCCCTTTCGTTGTTTCCTCTTTTATGGCTGTCTTTGGATGTTTTGCGACGTTTTATAAGGAAAACTGCGTCCAAAGGCATTTTCTTTTATCAACGGTATCATTTTTTCCTCGCATCGCCCGATAACATAGAACGACCAACGACGAGGGAACAAGTAGCGAACCTGAATACGATTATTTCGATTTACAGGAATGTAACGCGGGAATTCGACGAAAACGCTAAACACTGAAATTCCTACTGTCTTTGCTAACACGATTTCTAAACGAGAAACTTTAAGACCGCGGCGACTGAGAGGCATCGAGAAGGAGACTCGTACCACCGGTGCCAGAAGAAGCGTGGTTTCAAAACGTGCTGCATCCTCCACGCTTTCTATACCCTCGAATCAACTATATCTCGGTCTTTGCCAATTCTCAATTCTCAATTCTCTTTGGAGAACATGTGCGTCTCCAATTGTACACGGGGTCACAGTTGGATATCGTATCGTCGACGTCGACGTCAACATCATCCTCGTCATCACCCTTGTTCTCTCTTCCTTTCTCACGCTCACACGCTCTCTCGTTCTTACTCTCTCGATTTTCTTTTGTTCTGTCCCCAAAACCTACCTCATCCACTTGCGGGGGCGGAGTGGTCGCGGAGGCGTTTTGGGTCGTATTTGGTGGTGTTGTAGTAGTAGTAGTAGTAGTAGTAGTGGTGATGGTGGTGGTGATGGTGGTGGTGGTGGTGGCTGGGGCGCCGGGCTCGTGAGGGTGTGAGTGGGTGCTAGACAGGGACGCGTCCCTTTCGCGTTCCATCGCAAGCTTGTAGACCTTGTTGCGCAGGGTGCTACGCGGAATCCCGTAGATCACTGCCGCCCTTCGTGTACCGAGCTTGCCACTCTGGATATCCCTGAGCGCGGCTTGCAGCTCCTCTTCGGTGTAAGTCCTCCGGCCACCACCGGCACCCACCACGGGAACACCACCGACACCTGCCACGGCTGCTGCGGCCGCCACCGCCGTCACTGGTCCGGTCATTCGCGGTTTCGCTCGATAACACGAACTAAAAACACAATCCACGTGCTTCAGCGCGTTATCTCTTTCGAATATTATTCTTTCTCAAACACAGGCACACATACTTTCTTTCGATCGTTCAAACCTTTCAACCAGTAACCGTTGATGCACCGACACCAGATTCTCTTACAATAAGGATTTTTTTATTGGATTCAACTTAGGATTTATTGCGACCACCGATGAAGCAACAAAGGCTCCCTTGAGTCGCTTGATCAAACTTTCAAAGAAGTTGGAAATTAATTGACAAGCAAAGCCACAAATATCGACGTAATCGAGCCGGGTTATTCGTTACGTTTCCTAGCCACAAACTCACGTGCCTAGGTGGTTGGTCGAACGAGCATTCGGTAGCACGGCGTGTACTCGGTGGCCACGTGGACGGTGTGGTACGCGCACGTGTTCCGCACGAGAAACGAATCGATCCAACGGCGTGCTTCTCTTAACACTTTGATCTCCGGCATTAGCCAACGTTTAGGTGCATTAGAACGAATTTCAGCTACGAAATTATACGGTTCACGGGGAGGAGGAGAGCGCGCTCGCTACGAAGCATTACGCAATTAAAACGTTTCTAAAGTTTCATTTCGACGGAACGACCGTTCATTAGCATCTTTTGATTCTTTTTTAATTGCTTTTGAACAAACAACGAAACGTAAGCAAATTGCGAAGAAAACATAGATAAACGGTGTTTGGGATGATTGTTGGAGCAGAAAACTCCGTCGTTAGATCGCGGTGGCAATTGTCGTTAGGTCAATTGTACCAGCCTCTAATTTCGAGCGTACTCGCGTGGTTTCGACGCCGGGCTATCTTATCGTTAATTACGAGGGGGCGCATGCGCGGACGCGATCCGAGACCCTGGTCCCGTCTTCTTTTCTCCAGCTACGCTGTCCGCCCGTCGCGTCGATCTTTCTCGCGCACGGTCGCGCTGTACGACACGCGAGCGAGGTACTTTGTGCCTTCGATGTGTCAGGAGGTGCAGATTACGGTGGACTAATAATAGACGACGATAAAAATTTGACGCGCAAAATGTTCCGCGGGGAAAACAGCGAAAACACGAGGGCAACGTACCGCCGCGCCGCGGCCGACACGCTTCGCGACTTTGACTCCCGCGCCTAGCCTTTATTCCCCCTTTCTGCTGCTCCTTCGAATTATTTACTTTTTTCCCAAATCCCGATCGTGTTAAAGAACGTTCGAACTCGAGCGTTCCATTTCGTGCGTGAAAACATTGAACTTAAGCTTCGAAGGGAAAACGCTGAAAACACTTAGTTTTCGTTAAAACGATTGTTCATCGGCGCGCATCGATCATATTAGTTTGAATTTTGAACGAGGACCGTCCGATTTCTCTTCCGTTCATCTTCGATTAACTTTCACGGCCGATTCGGACGCGGCAAGTTTCTCTTTGCAATTTTCGAGTCACCCTTTGGAACGGAGTCGCGATGCTAGCAAACGATAACCGTACAAAACGAAATGCATCGCGATCGAGCGTTTTTCGTTGCTTTTGTCGAGGAAACGAGATAATTTCGGATTATTCGTCGCGAACAACGTACGCTTCGAACGTGAACGCATTGTCCGGACTAAAGGACGAAAAATGTTACAGACTTTCGAGGATATTTTCGTAACGAGTGGCTCCGCGAACGACGAGACACGCGGCGGAAAAATTTTCGAACAAGCGGACAGCGAACGAGAAACTTTTTAATTACCACTTTATACGAGCCTGCTATAGCATTCGAACGTGCATACACCGCGAATCGTGTTTAATAATACAACTTTTGCATAATGCAAGAGTGTCGAACGCGGTGCGCGAGAGCTTTTCGCTCGTTCAAACGATAATGACAGAGTCATTGTGAAGTACAATCATCCTGTTCCGAGTGGCACGTTGCCCGCTAAAATCGTCGTTCGTTTGACGATCGAATCTGTTCTCGATCGTCCGGGGTTCACGCGTCGCGATCGCGGAATGCTCCCAAAGACGCTTTTCTTTGCTCGCACGGAATGCAAATACCTATATCAGAGACATCAGAGGCAGCTTCGTTTCGCTACGAAGTGTAAAACGAGTAGCGCGATAACAGTGGCGCGAATCGACGCGACGCGACGCGTCTCTTGTTCCGGTTACCAAGCTCGACGAATTTCAGTGAGAAACGGAACACGACGATCATCTTGGTATTTAACGCAAACGTTTCAAATTTTTCGACTCTCGGTCGGTGCATCGTCACTTTCTATAGCTAGCAATAAGATTAACGAACGATTACTTACTTAAAGATACTCTTGGGGTCGATACCTGCCGTCATCCTTAGAGGTATTTTCTGTTGTTCCAGCAAAGATATGTTGTTATCCTGCGACAGAAAGGGAAACGGTATCGTTCAGGTGACACGTTGATCGCGTGCGTATCGTACGGAATCGACTGGTATAACGTGAACAGTTTAGTAAAAGCACGAGACGATTTCATGTCCACGCACCAGTAGGCGGCAGGAGAAGGAAGCGAGTCTACACAACCCACGCCAGAAGGAACACGTACCTGAGAATTTTTCGGTTTGGCCGAGAGATCGAGCGGTTGATCGGCCGACGTTCCACTGTCCTGATGAGGCTGCACCCCAACGAGAGGCGCCTCCCTCGGTGGTAGACACCACTGGGGCAACAAGGTGGGGTAGGTGCTGGTGAGAGCCGCGGCGACCACGGACGCCGCCATTGGGTCCACCTGGACCGACATCGGTGACTCGGCCGATCGCGAGCTGCTGCTGCTCTCGCTCTGCGGGCTCTGCAGGATCCGACATCGAGCGTTACGTTCGTCCGACTCGTCATTGGTGGACGAAACACGCGAGGAAAGGAAGGAACTGATTACCACCGGCGTGGGAGGGAAGAAACGTGGTCATCGGGGATGAAAAGGAACACAGACCCGTCGACGCGACGACCAGGACAAATCGAATCCTGATGAAATTCGCTTTTTCGCGTACGCGGCTCGGCTTCGTGAAACTTTTATAAGGTAGTCGCGTCAAAGCGATCAAAGCTACCCCGACCGGATGTACCAAGGCGGCCGCTACCTTTGCGCGAAATAATCAAAAATTGAACGTTTCGTATCCTCCGTATCGAAGGATCGCTTTGTATCGTCATATCGCCATATCGCAGTATCGCTTTAACGCAGGCTATTTCTTCTCGATACGATGAATTATGCCTTTCGAAACGATGCATTTTCGCGTGGCACGACGACGACGACACCACGGTGACGGAAGCGAAATAAATTATTCTTAGTTTGCTGGTTCGCACGATGTAACGTCACCGTGGTGTAACCGGGTTCGGAGAAATGGAGCGAAATCAAGGAGTTCGAGCGTCGCATATATCAGCTTTATACCGGATCTATACTTACGAGGGGTGGCTGGTCATCGTGCGGTAGTTTGCCGTCCAAGCAAAAGTAACACTTGTCCAACGGCTTCCAGTCTTCTGGCGGTGGGCTGGTGCGTCGACTTCCAACGAGAAACGACGCCACCGTGTTTCTGCTAGCTACCGGGTCAACCTCCCGACACGGCAACCCTGACCTGGTCCCATCCGGATCCGTAACCGGTGTCGACAGTGCCGTCGGTCCGCCTCCACCGCTCGGCACTTCTTGCAACTCTTCTTCTTTCTTCACCCTTAGCAAGCCCTGCGTCACCGGTGTCCGCTCCAACGCAACTTCGTCCGTTCGTTCCTGTAACAAAAGTTTCATCGTTCCACCATCTACGTTTCAAAGCGCAAGTCGTACAAGAAAAAAGAAAAATGATAGCGTAAACGAACCTTGGTCCCTTCCGTATCGGTAGCGTTGGCGATCGGATAATCCCGTGTCGCTCGATCCTTCTCCCTTCTGAGAGGACTGACGGGCCTGTCGGCGCTTTCGTCGAGCTTCAGCCTTTTCTCGACCTCGCTCAAACTCCTTCCATCCTCCTCTTCCTCGTTCTCTTCGTCGTCCTCTCTGTCGTCCGTGGTCTCGGCGTCGTTTTGGCGGCGTTTGCGTCGCCGCCTGGTCGGAATCGTGGTGGTTCCGGTGGTCATGCTCGGGGGGATGGTGCTGGCCGACGCGATCGTCGCTATCGTGCCGGTCGCCGTGCTGCTGATGGTACCGATACACGTTGCCGTAGTAGTCGGTACGATGGGCACCGTTACCGTAGCCGTCGTCGACGGATCGGCTGTCCTTGCCGACGATTCCTCTCGCGCGACACCGTTCGCGTACTCGGCCTCGCCGACCTCGACCTTTATCTCGTCGGGCCTGAGTCGCCGCGACTCGTCCGACTGTTGCTGCTGATAATGGCGATGGTGGTCTTGAACGGAGGATTGAAGGTGATGGTGGTTCTGCAGGTGATGCCTTTGGAGGCTTTCCTGCTTCACCAGGCCCGTGGTAGTCGCCGTCGTTGCCGCTGTCGTGGTGGCCGCTGCCGCTGCTGGTCCGGTCCCCGCTCCGGTTGCCGTCGCCGGGGACGGTGACGCCGTCGTTGTGGTCGTTATCGTTGTGGTTAACGAGGAGGACGCAGGATGAAGCGAACGCGGCCCAATTTGTTCCAGGCTCCCGGGCACCGGGTCGCAGGGCGACGAGAACGCCGGGTAAAGCCGGTGGTGGGGCTGTGTCGTCGCTGATTCGCTGCTGCGAGTACCGCTGTACAGGGTGTCCTGATATTGCTTCCATCTCCTACGGCCCATCAACTCCTCCGCTACCCGTTCCAGACCTGCGACACCACAACAACTACGTCAAACAATGACAACGACCGCTTATCCGCGGAACCCTTGAACAAGGATTGCAAACTTCGTGCTCGATTTTAAACGAAACCTTTCGCTTCGAGCACAACGGATGATGGAAAAGCATATTTTCCGCGCCAACGCGGAGATCCGTTGACCGCGATAACTCTCGTACGTATTACGTCGATGTCGGAATCACCAAAATCGCATGTTCGGGAAACCGACCGGACGCGGTGGTTTTTCGAAGGACACGGCGCGCCTCGACGGTAACACGCACGTCCTAGAAATCTTACGGTATGTCGCAACGAAGAAAATTGCAGCGTACAAAGTTGAAATTGCCGATACAACGCGAACGCTTTTAGTCTTATTCTTTTCTTTCTCACAACCCGTTTCACATCGATGATGTGAATTTCTTGGCAACTTTTAAGATAGACACGGTACCGTTCTTTTCTTCCCTCGTAATATACCTGTATGTATATATATTTAAAAAGGTTGAATCGCCACGCTGGCAATTCGCAACACTCGTTGCAGTGGCTAACGATAGACGCGTTGATAAGAGAATTTTTTTCCCTTCCTTATCCAAAGGCCGAACAGTCGAGCGTTATCGTAACACATGACGTACCTCGTTGCCGGTACCGCGACAACGAAAGCTTTCGCGAAAGTCGACTTCCATTCGAGCGCACGTACGCTCGTTCGTTCCTCGCGAATTTTTCATTCTGAAAATAAATATTCAACGAGAAACAACGAGCTCCGATTGTACCGTTCGACCACGTTTACTTTTCCTTCCCGATCGATGTCGCGATGAAACAACTAGTATAGTTCCTATTTCGGAGCGGCGAAACAAACGCGTGACAACGAGAAAAACGTGCGATAAGCGCGGCAGGGGCAGAGAAAAATCTACGCAATTTTCTTTCGTCAACGAATCACGGAAAGTTTCGTATCTCGGGGTTGTACGACTCGTTCGTCGAATCTCGAACGAGCTGAAATTGGGCCGCAAATGAGTTTTGTCTTGCTAGAGAGTCCCTTTGAATGCGTCAATTGATTCTAAACAGACACCCGGTACGGTGGCACGCGTCCCGCAAATGCACCATAACTGTCACGCCATTTGGTCGTCGCGTGTGCCACTAGTAGCACACACCGATCTACCAATGCACCTAAATACATTTACATGTGTACGTGGAACTCGCGTGCGCAAGAAGATCGAGCGCGGTGGCGATTTTTCATAGCTACCACTTTTATTTCTCACCGAATTGATTTTGTCGTCCGGCCAGACTGGCTTACTTGCGCCGATCAAAGCCAAACTGTCTCCTCTTTCGAGCTCCTTACTTTTTTACGAATCGTTAATGAAAAAAGAAAAAAACAACTACCCGGAGCCAAGAGAGAATAGGGTGTTAACAAGAAGGATGTGTGAAAAATGTTGAAAACTCGTAGTTTCTACATTTTGTCATTGGTTCGATAATGTGTAACACGCGACGAATGTTCGATTATTTACACGCGAAAAAATGTCGCGAAGGTAGGCTCGGGCAGCATCGATCGGGAACCCTGAATTAACGCTCGCTTGGCTGGAAAAGGAGTGCGCGCAATGAAAAACATCTGAATAAATTATTATTGTTTGTCGAACGTTTCGAGCGAACACTGCTACGCCCCCCTCGTGGCAGCAGTCCATCGTTGTCCGTACGGCCATTATTTAAACGCTCTAGTTCCACGCAGCTTATCAAATACAGGTATAATGCCAGTTTGCGGAAACGCGAACTGGATCTGCGTCGAGCCACTGCAACGTATCTGCTTGCACGCGTTGCTGTCAGAAAAACGTATGACATTACGGTCAGGGCTGACTTTATACCCAGCCAGACTTTAAACCTAACTCGAGCGGAACGTGATAGTTTTTCGATCGATTACACCTATCCGTTCCGTAATTGTTTTCGGGATACGTTGTTCCCCCCCCCCCCCTGTACTTAAATTAGGCGTGATCAATCGGTGTTTCGTGTAACTTGAACTGGTGTGTCATGTCTGTTCGTTCAGCAGAAAAACGTGACGCGGGTATAATGCTTTCCGCTCTAGCCTCTGGTAGATTTTAATAATGCATCGATAAGGAGAACGTACAAATTGCACGAGTTAACGCAATCGCCGTAACTCGTTAATCGACGAGTTAAGAAAACCTCGAACTTCTTCGCAAACGAAGCGAGCGTAAGTACAGCAAGACAACCACGGCAATTATACGAATCATCATCTCGCGGCAACGTGGAGACGTCAAGGCTGCGCGGTGAGTCATGAAAATCTGTCCAGAATAAGGCGATCCTTACACGAAAATCATATTTTTTCCTTTATTTCGCGATAAATTTAGCCTCGTTTCTCGATGACGTCAAATCCAACTCATCCATCGGAACACGAACAAAAGAAACGCGATGAAGAACGATAGACGCAACTTAACGGCGCGGCGGAAAGAACAGGAGCAAAGTGCGAAGATTCCTTTCCTACGATGAAATTAAGCGTAATTCGTTCCCCTTGTATGCGATTCTTCGAAAAACACGTGAAAACAATTGCTTTGTCTTCGGTGTTAATCGCACCGGTTTCAGTCCGACGTACTTTCGATACCGTACACACCATTTAGAATTCCCCTGTTTCCTAGAAAGGCCCGATTAACTTTGCGCCCGAGTCCATCTTTAACCGCGTCCACCGGTTGCAGCATCAACGATCTTCCACGTAATTAATGGCCTACGAAACAGTAATCTGGCAAAGGTGTCTGCCTCTTGGTCGAGTGGGCGTCGAAACACGAATTTCCAACTGAATGAACGCAGATTCAGGAAAATGCAATGGTATAGGTGTAACGTAACGAAGAAACGGTAACAGCTCGAAACGAGAGATGTCTTTTGCAAGACGTTCTCTAATGACGTAAACTGCACCGAACCGAGCAAGGGTGAATTTATCTCGTCGTTCGTAACGGAGCACAAAAGCGTTTTCATCCAGCCAGGTTCCTTTACAAGTTCATCGTTCCTTTCCCCAAACGGTGGAAAGGTTTTTCAAACTTGGACGAAAGAAAAACACCGGTCGAATCGAAGATGGGAAATCTCTGTACCGTCGACCTTCCTTCCAATCGTTACCCCCTTCCTTCTCTCAGCTCCGAGTCCTATGACTTGACATTTTCCACGAATGCTTGGTCGGGTAAGGACGGCCATTCTTCGTTGGATATTCGTGGCGAGTAAAGTTCGAGTCCTTGATCGATTCCAGAAGTAATTAGACGGTTGGCGCGCCTTTGGATGAAATTCCAGCAGGAGGCGCCGAACCAATCTTATCTGGCGTGCCATTTAAGAAGAGCAAGAAGTAGGGCAGATGACCACGCCCGGGATTAAGCGAACGACCACGCAGACACTTGGCACCAGCAGCTTTTCTAGCCTGTAAAACGACGATTCCGTGCTTTTTCGAGGTTTCCTCGTGATTCAATGGACGAAACGAGATCGTCGAGTATCGTAAATTGCTCCAAAACCGTCGACTACACCAAAGGGATACATTTTCTTTCTTTCTTTCTTTCTTTTTTTTTTCTTCGAAGAGAAGAAGACCAGGAAGCAAGGTGCAGCAGCACGTTCTAGCATAATAATAAATGGAATCGAGATGGAAAAGAATTTGTAGCGGTCCCCGGAGCGATCGTCTAGTCCGGATCGTTCTTTTGATAAATCGAGAATCAAAAACGGGGAAGATTCGAGAACGAAGGAGAGAATCTACTACTTTCGACGGGTGTCCTCGGCGAGTCGAGGATATAGCGGCACCATTCTTCAATTCTAAATCGAATGGCCTCGGGCCCCGTCCGACCAATGACAGAGCCGCAATTTTAGATCCCAAGCGCGCGCGCTATATTTCCCCCAACAGTTCTGAGGTCTTGGTGTTCATTCCCTTGGTCCCGTCACTAATCGTCGGCCCGTTTCGACCAATGGCAATCCGGTTTAGACGAGAGTAGAAGGTTAGGAAATGGGTGGTCGAGCATGGTGGGGCCGCAGCTGGCTCTCACGACGCACAAGGCTATCCTTTGTCCGAAACTCGCTTGCGATTCGCCTGCGCCGCCAAGCTAAGCCTTCAGGACGATAATAACGAAATAAGTGCGATAACGATCCCGCTCTCGGACGGTACCTAATGCGCCTCCCAACTGACCTCTGTCCGCTCGACTTACGAAATTTCGCGCTTCAAACGTAAGTCATAGGAGTTCGATCGAGCGACGTTAGAAAAAGTGAAATTCAGCTAACGAAACTCTCAGCTACCAAAGTGTATCATGGGTACGATAAAACACGATAGCAAACGATCTGGAAACGATCGGTGTGTCGTTGATCGGTTCGAAAGACTAGTATACGCAACGAGCACAGGGCGGGTGAAAAAATGTTCTTATAGTCGGTCGCCTACTCGAAGAGTTATCGGCGTCGCTTTGTTACACGATCACGAGGTTCCCATTCACCGGCAAGAGATCGGTCGCTGGTTTTCGAGGCGAGCAAAGGACAGAAAGCAAGATGGATGTCGAAATCCTCGAAGCGTTACTTGTCTCTCAACAAGGCATGGAACCCAGCCGTGCCTCATTAAGATCCGCGAAACGATGCTTGCCAAAGATAGAGTCTACGAAGGTTACGCGTTAATCTCGCTATGATATTAACACCTAAACGCGTCTCTCTATCCCGTTTAACCCTTGCCCAACCAACATCGAATCACTTTTCATCCAAGGTTATATATCACCTGGCTAAATGTTAAGTAACGAACGGTTCGACGGATATACCCGGACAGGCATTAATTGCCATCGCGGATGGTTTCAGGCGGTCGCGAAGTCGCGGTTCTTGAAATTCCTCCTGTTTGACTGATAAAACGCAACGATCGTCGCTGTAATTTCACATTGTTCCAGTATATTATTTCATTGCACGATATCGCTCCATTAGTTCGACCCGAGCAGTGATTCCCGAGGTCATTATACCAGTGGAGAATCGTCGAGGAAAGAGCGAGTTGCAAAGGCGAAGGA